TTTTCTTAAAATAGCTGCTGTTGGAAACGTTTTCATGAAGGAAGGTAAAAATTATTTGGTCTCCGATTTGATCGGAATCTGCTTATGATCTGAATTGGAAATTATTCTGAGCTTTTTTTTTTTAGAGAACTCATTTCCAAGCTGCAGAGCCATTTACAGTAACCTGTCTCTGATTTTGACAATGATGGTAAAAATTAACGTTGATTGATTGTAGTTATCGACCATATTACTTAATCAAATTATTAAGTTTATGTTCGACGAACAATTGGACGTTCTTTAATTTCTTAAAAAATACGTTTTCCTCTTTGATGCATGTTTAGTTGTAATACATGAAAAAAGAAATCAGATGAATCTGGATACTATGGCTGTAAGTAGTTTTCTCTCCGTGACCCATGTTAGCAATTTTTGTCTTACATGACTAACCCCTTCACAGGATGTCCCGTAAGTAGAGATAAACATTTAAAGGAGTGATAGCAGAACTCAAGAAATACAAAAACGTTTATACAAACAAAGGTTTGATTTTCAGCAGGAAAGTAGGAAATTAAGTTTTGTGACTTTTTAAGTAAGTCACGTTTTTTGGTGAATAGGAAGTGATAACTAAAAAACTATTTAATTTAAGTAATTAACGATTATTCACTGTAAATTAGATAAAATTTACTTTAAATATAAACAGAGTTTGCTTATGTTAAAACCATTTAAAGAGGACTTTTGAACGGCGAAACTCAGCTAAGGAGTGGGAGAAGATGAGTAGTGGTGGGGAACAGGAGGGGTGGGGGAAGGTGCTTCCCTTCCCTCAGAAAATTCCTGAATCCACCACTGCCTTCAACACTAGCTCAGAGGTGCCAAGGAGGTTTTATGGCGCATGATGCGGCATCAAAATGTTTGAGGGGGCATATTTTGAGGGTTTTTTTCATTTTTGAGAGGGCTCTATTTTGACGGTTTTTTTCATTTTTGAGGGAGGACACATTTCAACGGGGTTATGAATTTTCGGAATGATAAGTCAAGGGGAAAACATTGAACAGACTGCAGTGTAATTGCATATGATTAAGGTTTTTCTAATTCTAATTTCCTTTCTTCTGTTTTTTAGAAAAGATGAGCAATAAAATATCTTGGGAGTAGATGCGGGGAGGGGGAGGAGAGGTAGGTTCTTGCGCCATCGACCTTGGAGAGGATGAGCTCTTCTGCACGAGCTTACGTTACAGCAAGGGTCTCCAAACTAGGGCCAGTAGGTGGAATCTGCCATGCAAGCATCTTCAATCCGGCCCGAGAAAAATTCTTTGGTTACATGGTCAAATTTTAAAACTATTTTAAAAATACGAAATTTAGCAACTAAAACAGAAGGTTACTGCCACATTTATTGCGCGAGTTATTTATCTTAGAAAGTTCATTTTACAACTAAAGTGTCATTTATAGAACAATATTTTTTTCATCACAAGATATTGAACGCGGGACTTAGTGAAGGTCTTAATGCGGCCCGCGGAACCTACTGGAGCAAGGAAGCTTAGAAGGATGTATCATGGCGCAAGTTGCGACATAAAAATTTTTAAGTGGGTCATATTTAAACGAGTTTTACAATTTTTGAGGGGGCCTATTTCGACAGGGTTATGAATTTTCGGTATGAAAAGTTTCATACCAACGAATATGAGGAAAACATGGAACAAACAAACCGCAGCAAGTGTAGTTGTATATGATCTGACAATTTTACTAATTCTACCTTCACTAGCTCTGTTTTTTAGAAAAGGTGAGCAATCAAATATCTTGGGAGTGGGAGAATAAGTTCTTGCGCCATCGACCTTAGGGGGATGGGTACTCCTATACTGGAGGTACATATGTGGCCCGCGGGCCATTATGTTGGGAGACACCTGCATTACAGTATAAAGATCTATTAAATTTTCGGTCTTTTTCTTATTATTGTTGCTCTAAAACGGTGTTTTCTAGCGTAAAGTTGAATTAATGATTATATATTATATATTCGGTCCAAGATTCCATTTCAAATTCAATGTAGTATTTTTAAACATCTATGCCATGAAAACGCCCCTAAATGCAATTAATTAGATCTCTCAAAATCAGTGACTGCTTGTGCATTCCCTATGTTGATAAGTGATAGGTATTTAGGTACAGGTATCCCAGGGTACAATTCAGTTACAGAAGTTGGAGCCTAGCTCTTTGTTTTTTAAGTTGTAAGTTTCCGAGGAAGAGTCATTTTCAGAAATTAGCGAGACTGACTAGGAATATCTGAAAAGATGCTTACTTCAAAAACATCACCGAAACTCTGCCCCTGGGTCAGAAAGCAATTCACCTAGCAACAAAAAAAAAATCTAAACGGTTTTTTTTTTTTTTGTCCTCCCTTTCCTCGCCTTTAAATCCATTATTAAATCCGTGGGTGACCTTTTTACAGACCATAGTCTAGTTCGGCTTTCACTACATTCAAACTTTGCATCTAAAGCATCAACTCCTAAACTAATTACAGGAAGAGTAAACCGGGACTGGGACAAATTTCGTGATGATTTGGAAAACAGCCTAGAACTAAAAGTTCTTCTAAAGACAATAGAACATATTAATGGTGCTATTAAAAAAACTTATAGTATCAATAAAACCTGAAACGTCGTAATCAGATGTGTAGTCATTAAGTTGACAAAAAATTATGAAAATTGGTGTAAAATGGCTGAAAATAAATAAATTTGAAAGTAGAAGATATTGAAGCCGAACTGGACAAGCCACTCCAAATGGCACTTCCACCTAAAGCCTTCCATCCTTCAGAAATACCCAGTATCATTCAAAGGTTACCTTCCTGCCAAGCTTCTGGACACAACCTGATTACATCTCAGATTCTAAAACTACTTCCTCAGAAAGCCATTCTAATCCTTACTTATATATATAATGCTGTACTCCGATAAACATATTTTCCTGACCCTTGGAAACTATTTATTATCAAAATGATACATAAATCCAAAAAGCCACCAGAATACCCATGCTATCTCCCTTTTACCCATCATGGGTAAAATCCTTGAAAAACATCCTAAAACGCCTTAACCCCACACTCCACCCTAGATTCTTATCAAATAATCCTAGACAACCAGTTTGGATTCCACAGATCCCATTTCACTATTCATCAATGCCATCGTGTGGTGGATGTCTCCTCTGCATTGGAGCGCCAAACGTACTGCACAGGAATCTTTCTCGTCGTAGAACAGGTTTTTGATCAACTTGGCACCCGGGACTGCTTGACAAATTCTGAAAATTCCTACTTCCTACATACTTTCTCATTATTTGTTCCTACCTAACTGATAAATACTTTAATGTAAATCACAATAACGCTTATTCATCTCTCTTTTCCCAGTTTGCTGGTGTTCCTCAAGATAGTATCCTAGATCCTATCCTTTGCACAGTTCATACAGCTGACATCCCAATACTCATCACCGCATATGCCAATGACACATGTGTCCTATCAGTTAATAATGACCCAACAATTTGCATCCGGAACTCTTCAATTACACATCACAAACCTTGAAGAATGGTGTCAAAACTGGATGACTAAAATAAATTCCAATAAATCCCATCGAATCACCTTTACCCTTAGTCCTAAACCTATGACTTTCTGTTCTACAGTATCCTTTAATAATAATCCACTTATCCCTATTGAACAAATAGGATATCTTGGACAAACGTCTAACTCATACCAGACTGAAACGGCAAGATACCGCTCAACATTTCCGACTACTCCAGCACTTACTAGACAAACGCTTTAAGCTATCAGTTAATTTAAAAAGACATACTCATGTACATAATTACAATAAGACCTATTTGGACTTACCCAGTTGAGATTTGGGGCTCCAAAAAACCATCAAATTCCTCACCTATCCAGTCCTAACAATCCAAAATTCTTTATAAAATCATCAATGCTCTTTACTTTAGTCACTAACAAAATCATCCATAACAATCTTATTGTTCCTTGTTTCCAATTTGGCCCCATCCAGATACCTATCCTTCCATAATAAAGTTCTCAAGAACCTTCTCATTTCTAACTTTGCTTCCTCTTCGACCCGTGATAACCCTCAGGCATCTGTAAAGAAGATGGCCTCGAGATCTCCCATTGTAAATACATTTTTAGAGTGCTATCAGTGGGTAGTTTCTCAACAAGTGTTTTCATGTTATTTATTTCTTGTTATCACATTTAGTGAATATATTTTTATTCTTAATACAGTTCTAAATGTCATAAATAAAAAAAATGTTGATTCCACCATTTTGATTTCTGTAGGAGGAAAAATATTAGTTAAAGATCATTTCATAACTTTCTTAGGCAAGTGTAAATAAAGAATTAAATCAATTTTAATCTGTTTTCCAAATAAAAATGAGAGATAAGTATAATTTTACTGATGGAGCTCTTCTTATTATTACTTGTGAATTGCTGCTTATTTGAATAAATTTGTATGGTTCTATTTTTATTAGTGTTCCTTTATCTTCATACCTTGGTACATTTGATTTAATTAAGTTGAGCTGCAAAGGGCATCTATTTTTAAATGTATTTATAACACAACATTATAATAATAAAATACAATATAAAATTGTATTGTATGTAGTAACACAATTAATATCTAAAATTATATTATAATTATACATAGTATTATAGCAACATTTTCAAATTTTAAGAAGCTTAAGGGGTCTCAAAACTTAGTTGCCATAGCTCTTCTATTATCATAATTACGCTACTGCCTAACTGTAAGTAATGTATTAATACAACGTTTTTTTAAAAATATAGATAAAACAAATTGTTACGAATATATACATATAAAGTATGAGAATAGATTACTCCTTTATTTATAGTTTCACTACCACAAGAATATTGTCAATAATATTGAAAATATCAGTTATATAAATAAAATTAAACATCAACCTAATACTTTGGCAGATAAAAAGTGTAATGAAGGGATAAATAAATCCCAAGAGCATATAATATTTGATAAATCATATAAAATAAAATATGATGAAATAAGAACTCGTAATAGAAATAATTTATTGATATAAACTTTTGAGTATATACATATTAATCAATGACAGTTTGTCCTGATAGGAATGTAGCAAACAACTATTTTAATATACACAGTCACAGCTTCTATAAGTAGATAGAAAATCACAGTCAGGCTTTTTCAGAATAGTTTTTAAACATAAAGGTGTTCAAGTATCAGAGTCTGAAATAGTTTTCAGCATATGTTGCTTTTCAATTGTTTTCCTATCTGCTTTCTTCTTTTTTTTTACCACTAAACACTTCTTTATCACACCTGAAAACAAAAATTATATTACAGTTCAGATTTTGTAATGAATTTATAACCTATTAATAATGTCTGATATTCAAGAGATCCCAAATAAACCCAAAAAATGGTATTACCATTACTCACCAACAATAGCCTAAAAGTTGTGTTCTTAAGATAGCTCAAAGTTAATTAGTTAAAATCGTTTAGATTAATATACAATATATAAAAGGATAGTAATTATTAAATGTTATTGGATATCGGAATTTTTAAATAACACAATGCTTCGGTCGTGAGGAAGCAAAAGGTTGATAAAATATTGCTTTATTAGAATCGAAATCTATAACCCATTTATCAGGTAAAAAATAAAGACTAATAGGAGTTTTTTTTGTTAAGCCATAGTGAATCCATAACGAAAATTTTGAATCTTGCTGATTCAATGAATTCATGCACTGATAAACTGTTTGTCTAAGAACATGCTAATCTAAGTTGAGGGCACCACCCAATCACAGTGATGGTTTTTTAGAGGTAAACATTGATGGAAAATCCACAAACTTCTTTTTGGCGAACACCTGGTCTCAACTTAAGCCAAGAATCACTAAGGAGTGCTTAGTGAAACCCCATAACAGCACTCTCACACACACTGTGTTTTTCAGAAATATTCAGCTGCTACATAAAATGCTCATTCAATACAGCAGGGATTAGAGGACATTCTCGAACATTAATAAACAAATAACATATTTTAATATGACACCAGTTTTGAAGGGTACACAATACATGTAAAAAGTTTAATTACTATATATGTAAATAAAGTTTTCATTCCATAGCTTCAACTCAGATGTTTTTGAAGTGTTTCAAAGTAACTTTCTTCTCTTGTTGAAGGATTGTCAAACACAACTCTAGTAAAATTATGATTTACAACATTCATTCACAACAGTTTCATAACATGACCTTGTACATTAAAACAGAATTGTAGCATATTAAACCAACAGTGTTGAGGGTTTGTTGCTTGCCAAAAAGAGTTGAAATTGATTAGCTGGCCAACCAATATCAATATCAATTTTATCTGGTAGGATTATCTTGGCAATTTGCTCTTCCAATCTTACTTGGAGCAAGAATTCTTAAGTGCCCTAAATTAATACAGTCAAACATTATTAACTGAAACCTATAAAACTCAAATTGATTGATAACTTAAATCTTAATATGGTAACTCGTTAATCCTAGTTAATAATGTGAAACTTTTATCAGTAAGTATTTTCTCAGAAACTTAAATGACAACTAAGACTAAACAGTGTAGTTTGCATGGAATCCTAAAATAATACTTCAAGCAAACCGCACATATTTTGCTCTCCAAAAGCAGTTAAGAAGTAATGTATTATGTAGGAATCCAAAAACAAGAATTTATAAATTATTTATCTGACCGGTATTTATATATAGCTCATAATGTTGGACAGTGACTAAATTCCAAGAACAGGTCCTTCTCAGATTCAAGAGAAAAGTGTTAAGAAAGATGTACGGTTTTTTTAAGAATGATGAAAAATGTTTATGAACAAGGAACATGGAGAAGAAAGAATAATGCTGAATTAAGGGCCGTATACGGAAAGCTGGAAATATACACCTTCATCAAGTTATCAAGGCTTCGTTGAGCGGACCAAGATGCTAGAATTAAACCAAATGAAATTCCGCATAAAACCTTTATATGTTCAATAACCTAAGCTTCGCTGGTAGAATCCACAAAAATATGAATCCATCAAAATTAAGGAAAACAAAAGGAAAAGGGACAGTCAACACACAGCTTAAGGCTATGTGTTCTGGAACACTGGTAGCCTAACTCCTGACAAATTCACAGAATGGAAGATGATTATTACAAAGGAGAGTGCTGATATACATGAGATAGTAGAAGCCGGCTCACCCACTGAAAATATCCAGTTCTACCAATTACCGGGATATCAAACTTATAAACTGCAGAGATCCAGACAGGTTGCATCGGGAATAATTGTCGCTGCTAAATCATCCCTCAAGGTAACCTTTTCAATTAAAAAGAAAATGATAAATTGTAGGCTGTGCAGTTAGATGTATGGAAAAATAAAATACATAGGCAGTTTTATGTAATTTAAAAACCCCAAAGAATAGACCAGACCTAACCTGGTTTGAAGCTCAGTGGGGATCCCAAGACGTTTTATATGGTGATATTGATGCCCCATCCACTAGATGAGATTATAACCAAACATCAACCGTTGGGAGGACTTTCGAGAATTTTACTGACTCGAACCCAGTAGAAATTATTAGAAGAGAAGACAATAGCCCAACGTTTATTTCATATTGAGGCAATACTAGCAATCCGGATGCAATTCTGACTCACACAAATCTAAGAAATGAAATTCACTGTTCTGTGTAACATGTGCCAGGAGAATTAGGACACAAGATATTAAAAATAATAATTAGGACCCATAGAATAAAGGACCCCCTGAACCTCGAAGAACCAAATGGAACTTGAAAAAAGCTAAATGGAAACTATTTTCCAAGATATGTGATTTACAATTAAATGAGCATGTAATATAAGGTAATGTGGATATTATTAATAAGAAAATATGTGAAGTAATCCTAAAATGTGCCTTAGAAACTATCCCTAGAGGTTGCGCTAAGAAATATTCTCCATTCTGGAATGCTCATCAGTAGAGATTGAAGGAGGATAGAAATATATATATATATATATATTTTAATGTTTACAAAATGAATGGGTCTAACTAATCAACTAATCCTCCGCTGCCCTACGAATCTGTCGAAAGGATTTTAAAATCCTTTTACAAGGAAGAGAACAAGTATTGGCAAAAGCAACATACAGTAGAGAAAAAATGGGAATCTTTAACAGAGGGGCCGAGGAAAGAAACGGCAAAAGCAAAGCAAACGCTGTATATTACCAGATCTGCAATACTGTGATCGGAAAGAGAGAAGCGAGCAGAGGTGTAAAACTGCACATATTTAAGGCAGTATACTTGCCTATACTCCTGAATGGTGCAGAAAGCTGGGTGCTGACTGACAAACTTGAGAGAAAAATCACTGCTGCAGAAATGAGGTTTCTCTGAAGGATCGCAGGGAAAACAAGACGGGACTGCATTCGCAATGAGAGAATCAGGGAGGAATTGGGGGTTCCTCCGATGAAGGATGTCCTGAAGACTCGGCAGCTTAAGTGATTTGGGCATGTCATCAGGATGGAAGAACACAGAGATCCCTTAAAGTCTATGGACTACGTCCCCAATGGCAGACCGAGATTATTGTACCTCGAATACGTATACCGCCTGTGCAAAAGCAGAAATAAGAATATACGCCAAGTCAGAAATCTTGCAAAAAGCAGAGAAAATTGGCAATCCTGATTAGATGCTCCCCTACGCTGAAAGGCACTACAGGGTGGTGCAAAAGAAGAGAAGAAGGGTTAAAGTCAGTGGATTTATGGAAAAATTTAGATAAGTTTGGGAAGAAAATATATGGCTGAGCTGGTAATCCTGCCAGCAGGTATAGAATGAGTCATGGAATGATAAAAGGGTTTGATAGAGTTAAGTGAATTCCTACGCAATCTATCAGCTAGAAAACATAATATATTACTCCAGCAGCACAGTATATGTGGAATCCAATCTGTAATTAATAAATACAACCAACAATGTTTGCAATAAATATTGTCAACTATAATTCCTGACTTTTATTGTTGGCTTTACAGACATTTTAGATCTTAGACTAACTAAACTCACCTTCTTCACTTTTCTCTCTCTCTCTCTCTCTCTCTCTATATATATATATATATATATATATATATATATATATATATATATATATATATATATATATATATATATATATATATATATTAATGCTTACAAACTGAATGGGTCTGCCACATAATAAACCTTCACCTATATCTATCTTGGACCTATGTCTAGCTTTCCTGTTTTTTACATGCAGCTCTGTATAATCTTTGTTGGTTCTATCTATCAATCTAGTTTTAGACCTCCCATTTGGTCTCTGGGCAACAATGGAGAAATTCATTGTTGTGTAGATGCTTTCTGGTGGATTGCTTCAAGCTACATGTCCAGTCCATTTTAACTTCCTCCTTTTCATCAGGAGTAGAGACCAGATCTTTGTGCAGTAAAAATCCAAAAAACGTGCAGCAAAAGACTTAAAAAGGGCAAAATCGTGCAGTAAAAACCCAAAATATGTAAAATTGCTTTTTTTTTAATTGAACTGAAATTTACAATGTAATATAATTCAAAATTCGTTTCTGTAAAATTGTTTCTCCTATCACTTAATACGTCTTTTTTAACTGAGAAAAAGAACGTTCAATAAAAACTGATGTAAGGGAACTCATTTTATAACAAGCAACCACTGCTGATTCTTAGTCAACATTAACATTTATACCGTTAATGCAGTCGTTATATTTTTTTCACCAGAATCATTAACCTTTCTCATATTTTTCTTTCTAAAATTATAAATTTAATATGGACAAGATAGTAAAATAAAAAAGTAAATATTTACACAAACACACATATACATTTATATATATTAATCATTTAATCTAGCAAAATATGTGCAATTTAATGCAACAAAAATCAAAACTGTGCGATTTAAGCCCAAAACGGAAAAACGTGCAATATAAAATTTAAATATGTTATTCTACAGATCCTGAAACACATAGATATTTGGATCCGGGGTTTTAACATGCAAGCGAATAAAATGTGCAATAACATGAAAATCAAGCCTCTAATCTAATCATGAGATATTGATTGACCAGTTTCTGTAGGCAGTTCTTTATTGTTCCTCTTTCTCTATGCATTAGCATTAGTACTTTCATGCCAGATAGCTCCAGTTATGTTGGGGAAGACTGTTCCCTCAAATTTTTCCATACTTTTTTTAAGGGTGCTGTTATCCTTGTCTCACAGCTGTCTATGGGAGCAGACTTTATCATAGGAGCATTATAAACCCTTAATTTGAAATTTATTAATTTTGGGAGGATTTCAACCTTGAAGAGAAGAAAATAGCCCATTTTTTGAGAAGCTTGGTAATTTCCTGACAAAGCAACGCTGAATACATAAGGCAACACGAATGATCCTACGAAGTAATTAAGAAATATTAAGGGAGAAATACATTTATTCTATACAAATAATTTAATTTTAAAACAAACGTACAATCATAAAAGTATCAATTTTTCATTCAAACAACTTTTAATAAATTTATTCTATTACTGTTTAGTCAACAATTAAAACGACTAAATTACAAACATAAAATTAAATATAAATAATGTAACAAAGGAGAAATCAACTGTTTTTTATTGATAAAAACATGATAACATAAGATAAGCATTAGAAAAGACCAAGCGAAGAATTATCAAGACACCTTACCTTTTTTAGGTCTGACTTCAAGTTTTGAGGTAATTGGCACTGCTCTCTTTGGATGGAACATTGCTGGTATACGACGGAAATAGAAGAATGTTGGGGTTAAAACAAATCTGTCTATTTCACACCATTGAGGTCTTGGTAATGCAATTTCTTCAGGGATAACCTTTTGGTAACTTAGAGACAAGTTGAACGTATGTTTGCTGAAAAATTATAATAACAAACATTATAATCATTAAATTTAGTTTCCAGATATGTAGTGGAGTTAAATAAAATGTAATACTGAATGATTAATGACTAAGTTCATGGACTGGTATTTGAAGAATGCACAAATTCAGGGAGGGAATTTTCATATCTTTAAAGCCCTAAATGATTATGCAACTGGGTCTAAGTTGGTGGATGAATGCAAAAGTAATTTAATGGGTTTCCTGGACACTCAGGAATCTTATGTAATGAGAAGGCAAAGACCTTGCTAGGAAGGGCTCAAAACAACAATTGTTGCAAAGCTTTGCAAAGCTGATCTGGGATATATTTTAATAAGCTCTCGATTGTCTAAACACACTCTTTATTTATTTAAAAAAATAAAAAAATTTCAAATATTCTTGGGATAAATTGGTTATAAACTGTGTTTTTCATCCAGATCTCTACTATAGGAATTGATCTGTATTTGTGAGTGACAAAATAAAAGTTTCTGGTCCTTACATTTATGTTTAAAATAAAAAAAAAACCTGCTGATTGCTTTAATTATTTTAGTTAAAACGTTGATTTTAGGATCAGGAATCTTTAATTTGTCACTTATAAATTTGGATCAATTCCTAAAATAGAGATCTGGATGAAAAACACACTTTATAATTGATTTAGTGGAAAAAAATATTGGAAAATCATTATTTTTCTAATTACTTTTTTTATAAATAAAGAGTGTGTTTAGGCAATCAGATTTATTGAAATACATCCCAGATCATGGAAAAACAGAAAATAAAAGATTTGCAACAATTAATTGTAGTCATTTTTGCTGATAACAGGGGTACTTTAACTTGACAGGATACAAAATATCACCATTTCTTTAAAAAAAACTTGAACTGAATCTCAAATTTTTCCCTAATAAACCTCAACTTAATTAATACAAACTTAAAGTTTATTAAACGAAGAAGTTTTTGTAAAAGTGGGGAAACTGAAGTATAGTTGGATGATATTAAAAAAAAAAAGGCGAATAATATATGATTTTTCTAAAAATTCTTAGTTTATTTAGCCGCTCAAAAGTCCTCTGTAAATGATTTTAACAATGATAAACTCTATGTTCATTTAAAGTAAATTTCATCTTGTTAACAATGAAGTAATTATTAATTACTTAAATTAAATATTTCTTTAGTTATTGCTTTTGATTCAATAATGAACTTTTTTGTAGTTCTTGATGTCTGCTATCACTCCTATGAAAATTTCTTCCTACTTATGGGAACCCTGTATATATAGTCCAGTCAATAAAGGAGGTATATAGTGCATGAGCAGAGACCTAAGTGATTCCTTCAGAAACTTGTTCAGGGTGCTTAGGATATGAACATATCAAAAGTTCTGACGTCTAGGTGGTGAGCCGGGGGAGGAGAAGAGAGGAAAGTTCATAATTTTTGGATTTTCGCTTATATCGTGAAAATGGCACATCATATGGGGACATTTTTTCATAGTAGTAATTAAAGTTTATAAAATTATCTAAAACTTTTATTCTATAGGTTATATCTGAATTATAAAACACTCAGAAAAATATGACCTTTTAGAAAAAAATCATTTTGTCTCACATCTTTTATCAAACATTCCTTCATATCGTCTAAGATATTCATCACAGAAAGAAATTCATTGAAAAGAAGTTGTAAAGACTTAAATTCCTTATTAGAATATATATACATATGCAAATTAATCTCCAACCAGTCAACAGTTACAGCTATTTTAGAATTGTTTGTCAAATGTCATTTTCAAAAAAAGTTGTTTTATCATATTCTTGACCCACAACTTTTGTCCGCGTGTCTAATTATATATGTGACTACAATTTAAATCCAATTATTAAATAAAGTAAAAAAAATTATCTTAATTAAAAAATTTAATATTGTAATTAACAGATAATAAAAGTCTCATGATAATTTTATTCTATTTTGTTATATTAAATACATACAATAATAAACCTCATTGTTATCAGTATTTTCAATAACTTATATGAGTTTTTCAATAGACTAACAATATGTACAATAAATTATAATTTATATTTTTATTAGGTATGTCTGAAATTTATATATTTTAAACAATCTTATCAAGTTTTTAAATTATTGAAGGAAATTATATTATTTAGAATTTTAATCATTGTATAATAAGGTAGTAATTGAATAATAATAGTGTTGACAATATATATATATATATATATATATATATATATATATATATATATATATATATATATATAAATAATCTAAACTGTTTCCAGGGACAAATGTAAACCTTTCTTACTTCAAACTCTTTATTGTCAATCAGACTATTTCACCCATTTTCAATTCTTAATTTAAAAATATATATGTATGTGTGTATACACATACGTACGCACACGCACACACACTCTTATATTAAGACTTGAAAATGGATGAAATAGTGTGATTGATAATAAAGAGTTTGAAGTAAGAAAGGTTTACATTTGTCCCTGGAAACAGTGCAGATTTGATAATTAAACTATCTTTTGTACAAGATAGTGTGATGTATATCAGAAATATTTTTTCTTTTCTTTTCAACAATCCTTAATGAATAATAATAAAAGGAATAAGATTGATGGACTCATGAAATAAATTTTAATCCTCGGGTCTTAATTAGAATAGATTGCCAAATTTCAGGACAAACCATTCTTTCTAAACCAGTTGTTTAAGTCCAATTAACAACACGTATTTTAAAATATAATAAATTTGTAATTTACATATTAGACAATAACATGTATGAGATAAAAATGAATGAAACAAAAATTAATTAATAAGTATGATAAAAAAATGAAATACCTAGTATCAGATTTGTAAAGTTGAGCAAAATTTTCATTTTCTGGAGAGAGTGACAAAAGGTAATTTCCAGGTTCAAATTCCAAAAGTTTTCCCAACATCATATGAATACAAGTCAAACGAGAATGTGGATTAAATTTATAAAAACGTTTTATTTCAGTGGTAAGATCTTGAAGAGATTTCTCCTCAAACATTACAACATCCCCTGTTAAAGGGTTTATTCGAGCTAAAAAAATAAAAAATAAAATTAATAATAATAATATTATTATTTGCCATCAAATATAAGTTCAAAGTTTGGTTTTCCATTACTGATTACCAATGAAAATTGAAGGTATAAGATGGAATTAATTTAAGTATCAATTATATAATTATGATATTTAAAAAATTGGTGTTGCTATATTTTTAATGTTCAAAACATATGAATATGGTGCTGAATACCGAAAGCTGCTTATTATAGGAGATTTGAAATTAATATTCATATGACATAATACTTGAATAATAAGAAATATTATTCTATAACAGTTTAAAAAACGCTTAATAAATATTTCGTTTGTTGTTTTAAATGTTTTTATAAAATTGAATATTTCATAAGTACTAAAACAATGGAATTTTAAAAGTAATGCATCTTTTAAATATTAAAGTAGCATTTTAATTAGAAATTTATGAACATAAATTCATTTTCCCAGTAATTTTTATTAATTTTTTTTTATACCCCTACCTTGCTATTTCTGGGATAAGGGGAGGTTGTTCTAGAGGTACAACCAAACCTATTCTAACCTAAGTTAAAATGCATTCCGTGGATCCACAACAAAATAAATTTTAACCTGCCCAGGCCGGATTCAAACTGGCGTTGTTAGAATCGACAATGTTAAAGTTTACACTTTAAGACGCTCAGTCATCACAACCTCTTCTTTTTCCATTATAAGACTGAAAATTGGAAGTTCAGTTATAATTTTTTTAGTACCTCTTAGCAGCTTGTAACCTGGCCTAATAATGATATTTCCCCAGTCTTGCATTCCTTCATTCAATGTAACCACTTCAGCTCCATATTCAGTTTGGTATTCTAACTTTGAAGAAAGTTTGAATAAATCAGTTTTCTTCTTCTGAAAAACAAAAATATATAATTAATTTTGTAAAAAATAAGTATATAACAGAAAGTAAATAAATATTTCAATCGTAGAAAGGGAATCTAAAAAGTTACTAAAATTACTTTGAAAGTTTATTTGAAAACTTTATGCCATTTAATCTAAATAATTAGAAATATCTAAATTTGAAACAAAAAATGTTATTTAGTCACCCTAAATGTGAAAATCTGACCACTGTACATCAGAAGTTTAACTAGAATAAAATAATACCTTCACAAAACTTAGCCTTGACAAAATGTAATGCTTAAATAGGGGAGATAAAAAATATTTTATATTAAGATAATTTAGATAAATAAGAACAAATAGAAAATATAAGTAATTTTGTAAATCAAACAAATGAATATTTCCAAAGAAAACAAAACAATTAAATTAAGAATTTTTGGAATGAATATTCAGAAAACATTTGTTTTATTTAAAAAAAGGGTCATAGGGACAACAGAAATGTAAAAGAATCTAAGTGTCAAATTTTTTTATAATTCAAGTTTCAGTTTGAATCATTTTTATGGGGTAAGACTAAATATAAAACGATACATTTTCCCTGAGCACTAATGATTGTATAAATAATGAAACAACAATTATAATAGTTTATAACTGAGCACATAGACTTGTAGTCTGAACACAAAAAAAGTAGTGATTTCGCCAAATACACTTTTTCTCTCTTTTACTCGAAACCTTTTTGACCATTTCTGACATACAAGGGGAGGGTAATTATTCTACAGTTATAATCTACATATTCTAACCAGAGTGGAATGGTTGACAAAATAAATTTTAATCCAGATTGATTAGATTTGACCCAGTGGTGTAAGACTCAAGATTGCTAGGTTTTGAAACCTTTACATTATCAGCCATCACAGTCTCAAGAACTGAAGGAACTTATATCCTTTTGAATTTCCATGGTTTGGTTGGATCAATCATTTTGAAAAGGAGCCCACTACATCTTTTTTAGGTAGAAATGACTCATTTTCAAAATGCCCAATTCGATTAGTAATGATTACACACACACATATATATATATATATATATATATATATATATATATATATATATATATATATATATATATATATATATATATATTCGTTTTTTTGTTTTATATTATATGTATAATAGTCTTTCATACCAACACTTTTATGGATGTTCAAGAGTTAACTATCAAAGTAAAAGGATTGAAAATTGGAGCATCTAATCTTGTGATGTTAGTAACATGAAGAAGCACAAACATATATAAGAGTAAAAATTTAAGTTGAATTACATTTGTGCATCAATAGCAATTTATTGTTTTGAAAGTAAAAAATATTTGTGTTTAAAAACAAAGAACCATTATAGACCCCACACCCATTTTTAAAGTACAGCAAAAAGTTTGTGACACAAGAAATCTTATAATCAGGGGTTCAAACTAAAAAGTTTCTTTTAACATTTCCTGTGGAACTTTTTTTATTTTATCCAGATTTACGGTAAAAGTTTAACTTTATTCAAGTTTAAATTTATTCAAGTTCTTCAATGAGAAATAAACAATAATTGGGATTAGAGTAGAGTCAAAATTTGTCACAAATTAATTACACATGATTCTTAAGTGTCATTTGTTTGATTAGTTAAGAATAAAGATAATTTTTTAGATTGACTTTTTAGCAAAATCGACAGAAACTTGTAAAACCTTTACTGGAAAAAGTTTTAGTTTCAAAAGAAATGAAAAACTATCGACAATAAAAAGTTGCAAAGGTACTATAACTTTTTAAAAATAAAAGTTGTTTTTCCGTTTCAAACTCTGCTTATGATTTCATAAAACTCCTCAAACAGTAGGCAAAGATTCATACCAAAAATAAAACTTCTCATGAGTTTTAAGGACAACTGGTAGTAACCTTACTAGTCTGAGCCCATGCAAAAAAATCAACATAATTTTATGAAAACTTTAAAAGCATTTTTTTGAATATTTATAACATGTATATTTAAAAAATGAGTCTGTCAGTCTTGCTACCTGTAAAAATGGTAGCTGATTTAAAGAATATTAGGCCAGTAACTTGAGGATCGAAGCAGAAAATTTATTGCGAAATATGTGGGAAAAGTTTTTATTTTTTTATTTGTATAAAATGGTTTAGAAAAGTAAAAACAAAATTTCTAACGTGTGCCACCAAGGGAAAACTTTTTATAGCCAAAAAAGTCATATTTATTCGATCTGTTTTTGTTTTTTCACATATAATTCCTAGACGGTGCATCAAAGCAAAAAATGGAAGGATGGAAGGATTTGGAAGGATCCTGTAAAAAATTAAAGAAGGTTAAATTGTGCGTCAAATGAGTACCAAAACTTAACAATTTAGTTAAGTTGTATGGTCGATAAGCACAGTCAACGAGCGCTGATTTTTACCAAATTCGTCAAGAACTGAGACAAATTTCTGTAAATAGCCCTGCAGATTGGAAATGAGTTCTTTAAGAGAAAAACTCACAGAATAAAAGTTGAAGAGCATTAAATTCAGCGTCCACTGAGTACCAACAGTTTTAATGTTAAATCAATTACTCTGCTCGAAACCAGTACTGAATACCAATGGCTGGAAATTGGTAATGAAGATATCTGTGATTTTAAATATTTCAACAGAATGGGTTTTAAATATTTCAACAGATACCAGATACGAGTTTTTCACAGAAATATACATTTTCTTACATATTTGGATTTCTAAATAAAATTATTAACAAACAGTTGTACTTCTACATCTAGTAGTCTAAAATTTAAATCATTAATAGTACCCCGTTCATATTCATCAACACTATATTCATCTAGATTATTGAAGTTCAGAAGAAAAGCTAAGTATATTTCAATATGGTGCATAAACCAATGTTTTTGTAAAGGTTTTGATTAAAAATGAAAGTACAATACTAAAACTAAGAATGTGTGCATTTATTGACATGTTATCATAACTTACTCCTTTTCCACCAGATTTTGAACGAATTATAACATTCAAATCCTTCAAGTTAGATTTTAAAAGCAAATTTGAATTTTCACTGACCAGGGACCATTGATTATAATACAGTTTTTCTCTTAACCTCTGATTTGTCTGCTGTCTTTTCGGCTGAGTCACAGTAGAAATCTGTAAAATGAAATAAGCTTTGATTAATAAACAATAAATGAACTAGATCTAATTAGTAGATAAATAAAGGTTGTTGACTAAGTAGATAACTAAAAAAATATATAATGAAGCAAGAATCAATACTGATATTTTAATCGCAGTTGTGAAAAACATTGGAGTTCCACAAACTAATTTATTAAGAAATTAAATGTCAAAATTGGGATAAGACTAATTATAAGATTAAGTTATGATAACACCATAAGCCCTTCATACAAAGTAAAAAATACCAAAACACACCAATGATAAGAGTTGAATTTCAATTTAATTTTAGTCATTATACACAAAAATATTACAACATATATTATGTTCTAAGTATAGAACACTTTCTACTGCCTACAGTCAGTATAATACAGAAGGTAACCTTCTTCTGGTAACAGGAACACAAATATTCATATCAAAATTATTCCAATTTTTTTATGAACATAGAGAAATTAAAATCTTTATATCAGGAAAATATAATTGGCTATTTTCCAAGTATCCATATAGAAGAACATGATTGGGTGAAAAATTCATCTTGTAAAGGAAAAACACCTAGCAAAAAATTCTTTCAGTAACAATAAAATGTTTTTATTTATTATTCTAAAGGAACATCAGTCTTTTCAAAGAGGCATTAATAAGATGTTAATCTTCTTCTTTTTTCAATTTCATTTCTATATTAGACTGGATTTATAATGTTACCTGATACAAAAACTAATAAAAGGGTATATTTTATATTTAATCTGGAAGATGAAATGAGTGCAGTGTTATTAATTATAACAACAAATATTTCATACATATATAGAACTTATTAAGTTCAAATATCCCACTAAAATCAAAGATTTTTGCAATGGGTATATTGGGTGACATTCTCAACGGCTAAATTGTTATTATTATTCTTAAAACCAATTGTTTCCCTACTTTTTGTTTGCCTTATTGGATAGATTAACAGACAGAGAGAACATGACAGCCATGAGTGTTAGAGCATAGTAACCTGAACACCCTTGAGTCTAGCGGCATTGGTTTGAATCCAAAACGGACTCTTACTGTTGTTCAACTTAGAGCAGTAGAAGGTAATAAGAACAAATCACCTGAAAATGGAGGATGCCACATAGAATAAATGATAAAATCCCTGGATATGTGGATGATATAGCTGTCCTATGAAGCAACCGAGAGGACATTAACAGAAACTCACAACGATAAGCTAAGAGAAACAGAGCAAAGCGGCCTACAAGTGAATGAAAACAAAACAAAATATATGTCAAACTGATAACTTCACCCCAATAACTGGATTTGTGTAAAGAGAAATCATTCCTGAAAGTAAACAAAGTAAAATACCTCAGCTCCACAATAACATCAATGAATGACCAATGATCAGAAATAGGCCAGTATATAACAAGCACAGAACTTTTTTCTCTTTCAATGGTATTGAAATTCTAAAAAGTCACAAGAAATCTTAAATTAAGGTGGTACAATGTTATAATAACGCCAGTTTTGGTATATCTTTGCAAAACCTGGACACTAACCAGCACCCTAGAAACAAAAATCCTTCGCATGATAGTTGATGGAGTGATCTGGGATGACAGTACTAACCCATGGAGGAGAAGAACCAATAAAGAACAGCTTACAGAAACTAATACTTCATGATATGAAGGCAAGTATGTTAGGATGGGCAGGGCATGTAGCTCGGAGCAATCAAGTCTATACACAACAATCAGTCCCTTAATAAAAGACAAGAGACCACATGGAAGGCTGAAAACCAGATGGATAGATCAAATCAACAAAGATGTAATTCAGTTGCAAACCATAACTAGAAAGAAATAGTCAAAGATAGGCAGAGATGGAGAAGGCTGGTTAAGGCGGCAAAAGATTGATGAGGCCTGTAATGCCAAACAAAAACCTTTCCAAATTAAATGATTTTTCATAAATATTGAACAAAACAGCTATTGAATATTGAACAACTCATAGACAAACAAAACAACTCATCTATAAATAAATGAAAAACATTACCACATGATCTCTGGTTTCACTTTCTTTTTCTGACAAATCTGCATCAATTATTAGTTCTGAATCAGAGCACGGTGATGGAGGTGATGCTTCAAGTTTACCTTTCATAGCATTATCTTCATTTATACCGAATGTTTCAAGTTCAGTAAAGTCATAATCTATATCATCAAAAGGTTCAGCATATTCTCTATCATTTCTGAAAATAGAAAATTTTTTTTCAAAACATAGATATCTATTTTATAAAGAATAAAGACTATAAGGTTTTTATGCAGCTACTGTGGTTCAATTCATAATCTAATTATTAAGTAGGGAATAGAGAAAGAAAAAAAAATGTTATGACTAAAAGAACATGTTGGAAAGAATCTCTCTGCCAATTAGTTGTGACCATTAGTCTTAGTCATATAAAGTTTGTATTCTATAACCATGTATCAAAGTTGAAAGGAAGAGAGGAAGAGGACACACTGACTCAGAAGAACATCTAATAGAAAATAATATTCTGGAAAGTCTAGAAGTCATTGAGGAAGACGATTTAGAATATACCATCCAAAAAATTAAAATAGGTAAAGCAGTGGGAAGGGATGGCATAGCCCTGAATTAATAAAATTTGGAGGACAGGAATTAATTAAATTTCTCCAACAAACCCTCCAAAAAGTATGGGATACAAAGATAGTCCCAAGGGATTGGGAGTTAAGTGTAATTGTTCCTATTCATAAAAAGGGCAGCTCCACAGATTGTGAAAACTATAGGCCAATAACCTTACTTTCAGTGGCTTACAAATTATACTCTTCAATCTTAGAAAGAAAATTAAGGCTCGTAGTTGAGAACCAAATTGAGAGCGAACAAGCAGGCTTTCGTCTGGGGAGGCAGACTCAAGATCACATTTTCGTGCAAAGAGGCATCGCAGAGAAAGCATGGAACAGAGACAAGAATATATATATGGCATTTCTGGACCTTAAAGCAGCATTTGACTCTGTTCCAAGACAAGAAATATGGGATGCTTGGCGGCAAAAAATGTTCCAGCTGATCTTATCACAGCAATTAGACCGGCTTATAAGGCAGCAAAAGGAATTGTAAGGATTAATGGTAGAGAGTCCAAGCATTTTCACATGGACTTTGTTTGATATCTCTTTTATTTTATTTTAATTTTATATTTACATTCTACATTAATGTATGATCATCCGTTTTCACTTTGTATTCATTTCACTTTTTAACCATGTCTCAATATTATCTAACATTTAAATATAATTTTCTTACATATGTACAACCAAATATAATTATAATTATTCATATTTTTTTTTTCCTCTCAATACCTTTGAATTAGTTATGCAATGTATGGTCTCTTATTTCTATATTTATATTTTACTTCTATGTACGTTTTACTTCTTCCATTTTTGTTTTTATTCACATTGTACTCTTATCTATAATCTCTTAATTCTATTTTATATGTATATGTATATATTTATAATTTATTATTTCATAGACATAGTATTTTTCCCTTTTATCATACATATCTTAAAATTTTAGATACTGTAATTTTCTAGTTTTTTTCCCATTACCCAAACAGGTCAGCAAATTTCCCCAATACCTACCCTTACCCTGATTTTCCAGTTCTAAGTGAAATCCCTAGATGAACACACCTGTAAGTCTCTATTTTTATTCTTCTAATTTTATTTACTGAGTATAGGTAGGAAAGTCGTGTGAGTGAACACACCAGATTTTTTTATTTTGTTTCCATATTAGAATATAATATATTAATAAACATAGAAATATATTGGAACGATCTCATTAAAGAATCTATAAAGTACTAAAAGGCAATTAATTCGAAAATCTCATATTCATTGCAGCTCCAGCTTTTTTTTTTAATTTCTAAGAAGTGGTGAGCACCCCTGAAGATCGGTAGGCACCCACCCCTCCAGGCCGGTGCCCCGGTTACCCCGCACGAAGACCGGCACTGATATTAAGCTCATGTTACGTATGGAAGCGTGTTCTAATCTTTCAGGCGAGCTCAGGTGTGCTTGTATTCCTTTGGTTCCTCAATTACAATTATTCTCCATTATGATCTCTTATTTCTCCTTTAGTTAACCATCAAAGTCTTTCATATTTTATATTAAACTATCTTAAATATTAGAGATTAATGTGAAATGGTCAATTGTTTCAAATAAAAAAATTAAAAAGACACATTAGGTGAAAAACATATATTTCCGTTGAAAACTCAGATTTGAAAATTTTCAGGATTGCGATTCCCTTTCCCTTTCTCTTTCCCTTACTATATATTTCATATATAGGTAAGTGAAAGTAATAAAGCCTCTCATGTTGTATTCTAGCCGGTGCCATTTCTAACTTGGGAGTGAGCCCTAATCTTATCTAATTGACATGATAAGTGACCATAGAGTAAAGCAAATTAAGTACAAAAAGACTTACTTTGATAATCCATTACAGTGTTTCAACAATCTTTTAATTTGTATTTTGGAAAACCATTTAATCCGTTCAACAGCAGTTAATGATTTTTTCGGCAATGCTTTATCTATGTAGATAATCTTCTTTTTCTCATTACCTAAAAAGCAATATAAGCATATTAAACGATTCATAGAAAAAATAACAATATATGTTTGATTAAATAATTTCACTGATTCCAATTGAATATTAATCCTTTAGGCTATTAGTGGTTTACCTAAGATTCAATAATAAAAAAGAATTTGAGAAGATGCTTTTGTAAAATATTAATTCCTTTATTTGTAAAATATTAAGCTATAATTTTAAGATGGTCACCATTAAATTATTGAAGCCGATGATTTGAAACAAACAGCAGTTTAAATACTTACCTACACAAGTTTCTTTTATTACGATTGGTAAATTCCATGATTTTCCAACACTTGTTGGATGATTATCAAGTAAATGCAAGAATCCACTGGCTGATAGGACAACCTGAGCATGATTAGTAAGTGCAATATTTTCAGCAATTTTATCTTTACTAACTGAAAAAAAAGAAAAGAAAATAATTCATTACAGCTCATTTAAATACACTGACAGGCAAAAAATTCCACCCACTTGATTTTTTCATGTTTCCATCTAAAAATATTTCTACTTTGCATTGGTCTATTGTTTTTAATGAATAAATAGGTAATCTTTTTGTTTGTTTTCAATTAGGAATGTTAATATAGAATACAATAACCCTTAATCCTTAATTCAATGAAATGATTCTAGATTCCAATGTTTACTTTCTATGGAATCAAAATGTTTATTCAGTATCATTTGTTCAGTGCCGTTTCTGGCAGCACATTTCTTAGTCTCCGGCTTTTAATTTTTTCAATATTAGGTTTAAAAATGCCACTTAGTGCTGAGGATGTTGGGCGTGGTGTGGCACTTATTGATGATGGACGTTCCATTAGATATGCAGCTAATGCCATCGGAGTTCCATATTAGACTTTATGAGACGACATCAGGCGTTTTCGAGAAACTGGTTCTTATTGATAAGGCCCGGTTCTGGACGGCCTAGGGCAACAGAACCACGGGATGACCGGTTTTTGACTTTGAGAATTTTATGAAACTGGCACCTTACCGTTGTTCAAGCGATTCATCAGCTCGAAGAAGTTCGAGGTGTGCAAATTTCTGAATGTACCGCTCGGAGAAGATTAAATGAGTATGTATTAATGGCTTTTCATCCAGTAAGAAGACCAGAGTTGACCAGAACTCACACAGTAACATGGCTGGCTTTTGCTCGAGAACACAGCCATTGGACTATGGACGAATGGAGTGCTGTACTTTTTACAGATGAGTCAAGATTCGCTCTTCGATATCCAGACGGGCGTGAAAGGGTGTGGAGAAGAAGAAACGAAACATATGCAGCCTGTAATTTTTCCCAGAGCCAACCTTTCCAACGTGGTTCCTTAATGGTGTGGGCTGGGATTTCAATGGAGCACCGCACAGAATTGGTTGTTGTTCGTGGAGGGTCTTTGACGGCCATTCGCTATGTAGATGAGATTTTGGAATCTCATGTATTGCCTATCCTCAACGAAATCGGCGATCGTTCTATTCTAATGCACACCCACATGTCGCCCGCATAGTGCAGACATTCCAACAGAACAATATTGAGGTTTTAGCTTGGCCAGCATGTTCTCCAGATTTGAACCCCATTGAGCATTTATGGGATAACCTCGGAAGACGAATAAGAGCATGTGCAACACTTCTTGATACACTGCAGGACCTTGAAAGGGCTCTTCGGGAGGAATGGGCTATCCTCCAGCAAAGGAACATTTCCCAACTGGTGGAAAGTATGCCGAGGCGTCTTCAAGAAGTAGTGAAGGCAAGAGGAAACACGCGCTACTAAACGATGATGTAATTAATTTCTTTTAGAATAATAATGGTTTGTTTTTCAATTTTTTTTTCTCTAATCTTTCCTGCCCAATCACATTTTGATTATTAAAGGTAAAAAAGATTATAAAATTCCATAAATACTAAGTATTATCTACAAATACCATGTATTATATACAAATACAACTTTTTTTACAAGTGGCAGAAATATTTTTAAATGAAAACATGAAAAAATCAAGTGGGTGGAATTTTTTGCCTGTCAGTGTATAATTAAGTTAGTAAATATATCAGAATATTCAAGTTCAGAGATAAACAATCATAAGATGTGGATAGATTCAAAATCAGTTCAACTTATTTTCTAAAATTTTACAGGAGAAATCAAAAACATATGATTATGCCTTGATTAATTGAACATGGTAGCCTAGAATTTTAATCCATTTTTATCCTATATTGAAATGTCCCTGGGAAACTAGGGAAAAATAAAACACAAATACATTGTAAAAAAAAAAAAAAAAAATGGATTGAGCCAGTTTATAACTAATTGCCTCACATATGTGCAATCTTATCTTCATTACAACATAATGAACAGCAAAAAAATATTTAAGTATCCAAAGATGGTCACACCTAAAGTTATCTAATAAAACATACAATAGTACAGAATGATAGTTAAATTCTAAAGTACAATTTTTTTTTAAATTTAACACTAAAATACCATCTGGATGATATCCCAAATTTTGCAAGGTCTTGTGAACAGGTTTGTAACTGTTAAAAACAGGACTTTGTTCTCCATCTTCCTTTTGAAGTTCTTCAACGGAGCTATTATACAGATTTAGTTTATTCATTCTCAAATTCGGAATATTATAACGAGGTATGAGCCCCTAAAACAGAATTTAAAAGTTAAAAAGCTGTTGATGTTAAATAAGGTGAAAGGTTAATTTAGTTTTATCTTCCAAAAAAAGTGTTAATTAAGTGTAAATACTTAATTTTTGTGTAACAAAAGTGTTTTATCAAGACAAGATTGCTAAGGACAAAACACCAAACAAAGATTGAGCGGATTTCACCGCCAACAATGGTGGAATCATCTCAAACTGAGGTAAGTAACATGAACTTTAAAAACAGTGATATAAACAATGAAGATGGCTCCTGGGAACTGGTTATTGGTCGTAAAAGACCTATGATAGATTCGAGATTCGAGCGAGCCAAGAACTCAAAAATGACCGACAGAATCTATCCCAACCTCGAACAGTTTTCAGGTTCTTACCAACATAACTAACTTACAAACAGAAGAAGTTAGAAGAACGCGTCAAAACGATAAAACTCCACCAATTTTTATAAATGGTGTTGAGAATTACCATGCATTAATCTTTCTAGAAAACGAAACGGGTCCTAGCATGTTCAAAACGAAGTTTACATTGAAAGGTGTCACTGTGTACCCAGAAAATCCTGACGTTTATCGAAAATTAACGTTATCACATTACCTAATTAATTGATTGATTAATTGACGTTTATCACACTACCACCACCTCCTTTCACACCATCACAAGTTGCACAAGAAATTAGACAATTGCCCAAAAGAAAAACCCCTGGTCATGACTTGATAACTGCTGAGGCGCTCCAGCAAATGCCAAGGAAAGCTCTAGTGTTTCTTACCACAATCTTCAATTGCATTCTCAGGACCACCAAATTTCCTATACAGTGGAAATACTCACACATAACCCTGATTAAAAAGCCAGACAAACACACTAACAATCTATCTTCATATCGACCGATTAGTTTACTTCTTTACATACTTCCAGTATGTTCTAAGTTATTCGAAAAACTATTGTACCCACGACTATTACATATACTAACAGACAGACAGATTATTCCTGACCATCAATTCGGGTTTCGAAAATTACATTCAACAACACAACAATTGCACAGAGTGACTGACTACATCTCTACAGCACTAGAGTGGAAATTATATGCAACCGGAGTAATTCTGGATGTCGCCCAAGCGTTCGACAAAGTATGGCATCAGGGGCTTCTCTTCAAGCTTAAGACCATACTTCCACATACTTACTACTTAATTCTCCATTCCTTTCTCTCAGATAGATTTTTCTCTGTTCGACATGGTCAAGGTCTATCCTCAATTCGATCAGTTTTAGCTGGCGTACCTCAGGGATCAATCCTTGCCCCACTACTGTACATCACATACACACACGACATTCCTCAAAGTATCCACACTCTTACAGCAACCTACGCAGACGACACTGCTATCATTACCAGGCACGACAATCCTACAGAGGCATCACTTACAAATTATACTCGACTGGTGTAAACTTTGGAAAACTCAAATAAATTATCAAAAGTCACAGCACATCACATTTACTCTAAGACCAGAAGCATGCCCTCGTGTATACTTAGACAACATACCGATTCCACAAACAGACAGAGTACAATACTTAGGCCTTACGTTCGATAGGAGAATGACATGGGGTCCACATGTGAAGAAAAAACGAATCACATTAAATCAAAGACTAAAATTATTACATTCACTGTTAAGACGACATTCCAAATTAAAAGCAAGACAGAAACTAAGTATTTACACATATCTTTTAAAACCTCTTTGGACTTACGGACTACAAATATACGGAATTGCAAAACCAACTCACATAAAAAAACTTCAAACTTTTCAGTCTAAGATACTACGACTAATCACTCAAGCACCATGGTAAGTAAAAAATCACACTTTACACACCGACTTACACGTTCCGACAGTCAACGAACACATACGAACGTACTACAAACGATTTCATAACATGTTAAACGGGCACTCCAACCAGCTGGTAAAAGAAATGGCCACAACTAGTATGCCGGAGAACTCCAGAAGACGACTAAAAATGGTCTGGATGAGGGATCTGCTGAAATAATGTTTTAATAAATAAAAGCCATGGAAGGGATACCGCAGGGTATTGCTATTCCTCATGCCTATCAAGCCTTTTTATTTATTTATTTTATTTTATTATTATTTTCTTTTCTCTCATTACTACGCCAGCACATCTGCTGATTGTCAATCATAATTGACAGGTGCGGATAGATATATGTAAGTGGAAAAAAAAAAAGTTAAAAAAAATTCTAAACATAGAATAAAAATTAAGTAAAATAATCTACCTAATAGGAGTGAAAAAACAATTTCTATACATACGACGAGGGGGGCACTTGTTAAGAATTTTAAACTACAAAGTGTATGAAATAAATTAATTTCAGCCATCATTAAAGCTACTGAATAAGATACATACTGAAATTCAATTCAAATATAAATTTGTGGATTTACGATAGAGCAACCTGATAAACAATGTTAGGTGTTTGTTCTCTTGGTGTATTGAAAAAATAATGGTTCCCCTTATCCTACAGCAGAGGACATATAAAAGAAGCGTTCTTACCCACTTGGTTATGCATAAAACATAAAGATAAAGTAAAATTACTCAATCATAAATTACAAATTAAAAAAAAAATTATCAAATTAACATAACTAGTCCTCTTAACATATTATGTGTTCAACTACTATACAACATTATTAAAGCTCTACAAAATTAAGAAGTGCAGTTTAAATTGGTTTGAGTTTTCCTTTTTTTTTTTTTTATGAAAAATATCATTTTTGAACTTCCACCATTTCATTCCAATGTTGTGAACATGAGGTTCATATAGCTTAAAATCTACTCAGGAGTCTCCAGGATGTACCATAATTGGGTCCTAAAGAGTTTATAATAATAGAATAAAATGATATATTTTTAATATTCCCTCCTTTCATCCACGTAAATTCAATAGTTGGCTCATAACTAAGGCAATAAAAGTGAAGATACACATCTGCCTAATAGAGGACAAAGATTATTTGAATTCAGTTTTCTCAGAACTCAACAAATGATACTACCATCTTCATCCCCTTGACCCTTCAATTAAATCTAAGCAATGTAATAATCATTTGAGTTGGTGATGATAATCCTCACTTAATATTAATTGAAATGTTTCTAATTGCTAATTTTATACAAATGGTTAAGAACAAATTTTATAAGATCTATAAATTATATTCTAAAAATCTTATAAAAAATACTATTGAATTTTAAATTTTACCACATGCTTTGAAAGTTTAATATGTTTCATTTCTGAAGTTTTGTTTTCTCCTACATCAAACAATGAAATATCCGCAACTTTAACATAATGTTTTGGATACCATGAAACTCTTTCCAGTCTTTCCTGAAAAATATAAAAAGCGTAAATATTTATTTTTAATACAAATAAAGATGTAGGTATATATTAATAATAAATAGGCTATAAATAAAATTCAAGCTATTAGGATTAGATATCAAGTGATTAACATTAAATGCCTAAACATGGATAATTCTGACACTTTAATGAATACATTTTATGAATATCAGATGTGAAAATATGAAACCAGAATTTTAATTTGTAAAATACATGTTTATGGAATAAAAAAATATTATATTTGAAATAATGTTCATTGCTAGTTCTATATTTTCCCATCTCTCCGGTAATTTTTGAAGGTCGTGCCTAAAAAACTGTCATTTGTGACAAAACGATACTTGAACACCTTTTGTGATGCAACCATGCCCTAAAAATGAATCCCAAGCTTGAGTTGTGCAGAATAAGAAAAAATAAATAATACTGACAATATTATCAAGTGATTTATAATGTATCATAAATTACAAAAACCAAAAAGACGCTTCCAGCAAAGTAGGCCAAATAAATTTTTATTATGAAAAAGCAAATTAGATTCGTTTTTAGTGTACTTTGAAACTCTTAATACAAATTTTTATAGAAATTGAAAATTGCAGTAATTAATACTTGATTTTCTTTCTGGCCGATAACAAAAGCATTCATAACTTCTAAGGAGTTTCTCCAAATTCAACATTAGGACAACCGTTGGAAAGCGGAATTACTGCTCTACCAACCCACTTCAATCACTTTCAGATAGCATTCCTTTTTAAACTAGAAATTATGAAAAATTTTCGAATTATTATTATTTTATATCTTTCGTTCTAATTGGTCTATGGAAATCAGTTATGTACCATTTTGTGTAGCATATTAAGCCCTAAATTCCTAATAATTTTTGTGTGGATCGGAAGAGACGTTATAAAGTTATCATGTATCATATATTATATAATTTGTTTGGTTGTTGACAAAATTTTGAAGGATCTAGCCTAAGGAAAAATTTTGTGCAGAAAATTTTAATTTTTCTATAGATATAAAAATTCATATTAGGTTCAGGTTACAACATTTACAGATCGTTTATCCAGTATAATAATGTTACCAGGGGGCACCACGTGAGGCGACCCCGTCTTCACTTTCACATTCATGTAATGTATCATAAAATACCAAAACCAAAAGGCTCTTCTGGTAAAGTAGGCCAAATAATTTTTTATTATGAAAAAGCAAGTTAGATTCATTTTTAGTGTCCTTTGAAACTCTTAAATACAAATTTTTATCTATATATCTATATCTATCAGATCGCGCTACAATCCTGTGATGGGTCCTCGCCTCCTCTATGAGCCTCCGCCATTTGGCTCAGTTTTGGGCTGCTGACTTCCAATTTCGGACTCCAAGCAGGTCTCGTGTGTCTTATACCATGCCAAAATGAAATAATGATCGCACATAAATCAACAATTGAATAAAAAACTGTTTATCAAATAACTTTTTGTTTTTTTTATAATTTTGTAATTCTATCTTTCTTGTTAGTTACATCTTTAAGGGGCAGTTGTACAATTTGAGTTCAAGTCAAGTTCAAGCTTGAACTACAGTCTACCATGAAAATCATGAATGATTGACGGTAGTTCAAGCTTGAAGTCGACTAGAACTCCAATTGTACAACAGACCTTAAGTTTTTTAATATTGTTATAAAGTTCAAAATTAATATTTTTATTTATGTTCAATTTTTTTTATGTTTTCAGTTTTATTTGATATAATATATATTTGTATTTGCAATATTTATTTCTATTTACTGCATTATTATTTATTAATTAGTTTTAGAGGATTAAGTTTGTTATTTAATACTTCAAATACCTTGTCTTTAATTTTCTGTATTTGTTTTATGTGGTAATTTTATTTTTATATTTCAAGGAATTATTCCTTGCCTGGAAAGGTAAGAATATTCCAAAAGACTGGGAAATCTTAATCATTGTCCCAACCTTCAAAAAAGGTGATACTCAAGAATGTGGCAATCATAGAGGTATTTCATTGCTAAATGTTCCAGGTAAAATATACTCTTGTATCTTAGAAAGAAGATTAAGACACAAGGCAGAACACTAACTGGACGAGGAGCAGTGTGGCTTCTGATGAGGCAGGAGTACTCAAGCCCACATCTTTGCATTCATCGAGTACGACAGATGATCACAGTTTTACCTGGGTTTTATAGGCTTAGAGAAGGCATTCGACAGGATACCGTGGAATGAGTTATGAGCTTCACTCCAGAATAAACAAGTGTCCGAGGCTCTTATACAGAGAAATAAATCATTCTATAAGACCTACAGAAACTATGTTAGAACGTCCCATCAAACATCCGCCGAATTTGTCACTACAATGGGAATCAGGCAGGGAGCTCTCTATATTTCATCACCCACATGAATGATTTTATTCAGAAATGTAATAGGAAAACCAAGGAGACACCACTTGGATATTGGAAATTGCAGCAAGTCTGTTCATCGTTTGCATTTGCTGATGAAATTATGCTAATAGCTGACAGTAAAGAAATACTACAGGCAACTTTAGATGTCTGGACAGAGGAGTTAGCAAAACGAAACGTAGTCATTAACACTTCCAAGACCAACCTTAGGCTAGTGTCCAGAAACAAGAATTTTGGGAATCGCATTAATGAGGAGATGATAGAGCAGGTTCCTATGTTCAAGTATTTGGATGTGACGATCAGTGAGAGCGGGAAAAAATCAGAGATAAAATTAATACGAGAGTTGCTACTTCAGGAAGGCTTATCTGGATGGATGTTCCCTGCCATCAATAGGAACTTTTTAAGTAAGAGAGAAGTGGCAAAAGAAACAAATTTGCCGTATATCCCTCGATTTGTTTCCCTATCCCTACTTATGGAAGCGAATCCTGAGTCTTACAGCAACGTGATCACAGCCGCCTCCAAAGCATGGAAATAAGGTATCTGAGGAAAATAGAGAGAAAGACCAAGAGGGACCGGATATGTAACACAACGATACGGACTACACTCAAAATAATAATAGAGAAAGGGTAGCTTCCATGGTTCGATCATGTAAAGAGGATGGATGACTGCTATTCAGCAAAGAAAATTATGGAGGCTAAACCAGCGGGAAAATGACCTAAAGGAAGATCAAGAATTACTGGGGAAGATAATCTCAAAAATATTCTTAAAGTTAAAAGAAATGAATGGGCGGAAGCCAGGAGAGCAGCCCTCGACAGAGATGGACGGAAATCCTTGTACAAAAATCTTTACACCGAAAGGTAGAAGAGGTTATTAAATAAGAAGAAGAAGAAAATTTTCGATCTTTTCAGAAAAAAAGTTGAACGAAAATTTTCTGGGATTTTACTTGCTTTTAACACATTATCTGCGGTAACGGTCCCTGGGTTCCAATATTCGTCACGACTTCGGCTGGGATCGTTTCAAATTTTGTCTGTCTTATGAAGTCTATAAAATGGTTATTTTTAATAATAATTGAATGGGAGTTGGATAGATTTAAAGATAGATACAAATGTAAATAATCATTATATCTGATACAAAGCTATAGGGCGCAAGGAATCGTAACCACAGCTAACGCGTTAATTAGCAGAAAAATCATTCCAAACAAGATAAATCACTCTGTATAAGAGTTTTAACCTACCTCTAAACAGTTGGAAAATTGTTTACACTTCAATTATTTTATTTTTAATTTGAATAAATCAATTAACGAATAAACAAAATATTCATTATTCTTTATTCAAAGAACTAACTAAATTATTTATTATCTACTCCTTGTTATTTAAAATAAAATTTGCCCTTTACTCCAGGCATAAGTTAAATGACCTACTACTATACAAGATTTTTTTTAGGATATTGAGACAATGAAGAAGTTCAGTATAGGAACAGTGTAGCTTAGGAAAGAAAATATCTATCCTAAAATAATCAATGCAATAAATACCTTCCATAGCCTGTTGCTGAATTCAACAATCTCTGGTCTAATTTTATTGTGTCTTTCCTTATTTATTCGAAACCAGGCTTCTTTAGCCATTTCTTGGTAGAGCTTCTGTTCTTTTTGAATTTTTGGCATGTATTCCTAAAAATAAAGTGCATAAATGAGAGTTAATAATCTAATGATTACTTTTAAATAGGAAAAAAGTGTTATAAAAAACTGCAATTAATAAGGAAAAGTTTCTTACATTGTAAGTCACCATTATTTCATTATCAAGAGTTTTATTTTTACAAATGTCTTGATACATAGCAAAACAATCAGACATTTCTTTTTTAGTGAGTTCTGAAGTCATAGGAATGAATGATTCAGGAGTATAGCCAGGGACAGCAGTTGATTTTTCTGATTCCTAAAAAAAATGTTGCATAATGAATTATAATGCAAGGTATGACTTGAGACATAAATTAAACAAGCTAAAACATGGCTTGAATAATATTTATGGTTTCATAAGATAAATGATTTAAATGTTGAAAACTTCCATTAATTAATCTGACAACCACATTAAGAATACTCATGCCAACCACAAAATATAAATGTTATACTGACAAGAAGTTCAATCCATAATAAAATACTATTAAACAATTTAATTTTAATCAGAAAACATACTAAGATTTTCAAATTAAACATTTCTAAAAAATACATGAATCCTAACATAGCCCAGTTTCCTACATAACATTACAAGATGTAGCAACCATATAGGAAAAAGGTAACAAAAAAATAAATAAATAAAGAGATAGTCAATGCATATCAAATCAAAATATATTAAAAACGGTTAAAAAGTTGAAACTACAAAGTTTGAAGAATAATGTTCATTATTATTATTATTAATTAATGTTAAAAATATTTTTGAATTAATAAAAACTAAGCATATCAATACCAAGAAACGGAACTGCACAAAAAAACCATATAACATTGAGTATGACATCATTGAGAGAGACAACATTATACAGAATCAATTTATTTTCTATTGAAAGGATAAGGTTTTAATAAATAAATTGCTTGAAAAATACCATCGGCTTATTGCAAAAAGTCATGAAGTCAAATTTCATGACCTTAAATAATTAAGAACTTTGAAGAATTTTAACTTTGTGAAATCAGAAAATTGTGCACTTATTGTAACTATATTTGATAAATAAAAGGATTTGTTTCATTTCGATGCACTTACAGTTTTTTTTTGTATAGATTAAGCAGAAATTCATAAAACACTTTTGAAAGTTGACCTATATCAAAAATCCACTTGGTGCCTTTTTGCAATAAACCGACAATATGAAAATCAAACATCAGGACAAACCATGGATATCCTGACCATTTATGTTCAATAGACGGATCAACATTTGAACATAAAAATAATTGTTATATAAATATAACATAAAGATAATGAATGTCTTCTACAGAGTGGGACAAACCCAGCAATCAAGGAGGGGAGACTTGTAGCAGATTTTCAAGTGGATTCACATCTGATATGTTAGGTAGTTTGCAAGCCCCTACCTACCTGGCAACTCCACGGGCGTTAACCGGCACATTTCCCCAAACAGAAATATTTTTATTTCATATTATTATAAATCTTGATAGCTTAGACAAAATAGTTATTATTTGTAAGATTGAGGAATCCATTGAATGGTGTAATAATTTGATTGCAATTTTAAAAAAATTAATGGTTTTATGTACATACATTTAGATTCTAGAGATCTTATTAATGTAATTCAAGATGATAAATTTCAAATTCTTTCTCATGAAAAAATAATGGGTGACTTATACAATAAATATTTCTCAATTTTAAATGAATATATAGGTTTTAATCAATGATGATTCATCACTTTTGCCTATTTTTTCTACTCTTGTTGGGAAGTATACATTTTACAGAATGGGTATGGGTATAAAAATTGCAGCTCAAGTATTTAAAAAAAAATAAAGAAACATTTGATTGAAAATAGGGGTATAAAAATGTACACAAGCAATCTGTTTATTTGTAGATCTAATAAACATGAACATGATGCAGCTTTGGCTCTGGTTTTGGAAACTACCATTAAAAATGGAATTACTATATATTAAATGTTTGGGACCTAGAAGAGAGAGGAGGCATTCAGGCACCATAGATTTTCTGCCCTGAGAGGGGTTACTTCCTTCCACAAGGACAACTAAGCTTCCTCCACAAGATTAGTTCCGAAAATGCTGTTGATCTAACAAATACATCTTTGAGAACATTTATCACCCATCGCCTTTGCAGTATGGCAGTTCATAATCAGATTTAAATGCTTATCAGAAACACCTTGAATAATAATAGTCTTCACTTTATCATCATGGACCGAGAATTTCTTCTTCTCGGAGCTCTCTGTAGGAAGATCTCTCTCCAAAAAATCTTTAACTTGCTCTTTTCCCAAATCAATGATATCCTAAAGAAGACGTTATTAAAATGAGTTCCAAGTACAGGAAAGGATGATCCACTCGACACCATGGTTATTCAAATAAATATTACTATCCATTAATACGAGACATAAGTAATTCCAACTAGCAAATTGGAATATTCTGGGCCCACAATCTGTAAGAGTTATTAGGTATGAAGTGGAATAGAAAATATACTTTATAAATTATAATATATAATTCCACATAGGATAACAAAAGTAAACATGTCATACTATAGGCACAAATTCTCATGGTCACACAGGTTCAAGATTCATAAGATCCACAAACTCCCAAATGGTCCTTTTTAGTTAAAATCTGCGCCTGGATTAGTTTTAATTACAACAATGCTTTCGACTTCCACTGGCCCAAAAAAAATTGGCAATTTCAAGTAGGTCCTTTACAGTTGAGGATGGGGTTTTACCAGGGGTTTACTCTCCTGTCTGCGTTTGGCCATTCTCAAAATTCTATTAATAGGGTGATCATGATATTTTTCCCCACTTATCAAGGTGGAGATAAACCTGCAAAGTGGTACAAATTATACTATTACAGTTCTAGATAACATGTTCTTCATAAATACCTGTTTTGGTATTAAATTATCAAAGTTCAATTCACCAGACTTCAATTTCTTTAAACATGCTTTACTAAATAAATGTTCAGTTTCATATTCATTTCGAAACGATTTGAAAACAAATGAGTGGGCTAATAATTCATCAGCTGCATCTGAAAAACACTTGGACTTGACATGGTCATCCCTTCTCCTAAAAAAATAGGTACATTTACCAAAAAGTACTTCACTAAGAAAAACTGTATCATACAAATTCAATAAAAAATACTCGACTCTTAAAGATTTAAATATTAAACATCACTAAATAATGTTAAATCATACCATATTTTTTCAAAATCGGCTTCACAAGTGAAAATTGGTGTATAGTCATCCTCTTCCGTCATGATAACGAATACAGTATTCTGATGTTAATAACAACCTACCAGATTAAATTAGCTGACAAAATCCAGGTAGTGAAAATTCAATTCTTAAATAAGTAGTATTTGTAATTCGCGGATTTAAACCGAGCAGGTTATCGTTCATATGCTGTTATCTGATCGATTACAAAAATGTCAAACCAAAGCAAAGTCAAACTATTTGATTTTCCTTCTTGTATAAAATCCAGGCACAACTACAACTCTTATGTTTTTATGACTAATTGGAGCAATTACTTTTTAAATGTTGTTATTTTAATTAATTATGATATAATCACATTCATTTCATAATTCAAAATAATTTGAATAGAAATTTGAGAAGGTTACATTTATATCGATTTTTAATCATTAAATCAAACTTGTTTACTAACATCGAGATAAGGATCCGCCAAAAAGTGTATTTTAAAAGCAAGTCTGAGTGCCAAGTGTTGTTTGTTGGAATGTGAAGTATTTTCATTTTTTTAAATATTTGCTGCTTGTTTCAAACCACTACCTTTTAAAATCATTAAACATAAATATATTGTAAAAATGACGGAAAGAGTTATTTCTTTGATAGACATGGATTGCTTTTACTGCCAAGTTGAAGCTCGTTTAAATCCTTCATTAGATGGACGTCCTATGGCTGTCATTCAGTACAATCAATGGAAAGGAGGAGGGTAAAATTTTGAATTCATTCATTCACTTTGACCTGAATTTAATGTTCTTTGTCTTATAATATTTCTGTATTCGTTAAACTATGTGATATTGTTTAGTCATTAGCTTTGATGGTAAACGTTTTTGTATACCAGAAGAGAACGTAACAATTCTCTTGTTTACCTAAACATTATAATTGATCTTGTGCAGACAGATCAATCATTAACAATAGTTTATTCTTTCCCAATTTATTTTATCTGTGTAATCTAATTTATTTTGGTCTATCAATGATAGTAGAGTCTGTTACATGATAACTTTTCCCTTGCATCTGTTTAAACAATCTTTGATTCATTTTAAAAAAAGTTAAAACAGACTCGCAGATAACTGATATGTGTTTTTTTTTTACATTTAATTGCTGAGCTATTTCTGAAATATTTTAAACAAACTAAATACCTAAATTGTAGTATTGAAAGAAAGAAAGATACTGCTGTACAAATGTCACTTTACTTTCATAGATGCTACAAGATCTCATGATCACACCTTTAATGGAATCCGGAGGATGGACAAGTTTGTCAGAAAGTGGCTAAATCGTGTGATAAGGACTCATTAAGGGTGTGTCTATCCTGTTTAAATGAGAAAAATCATAAGCACCAGTTTAATTCAAGTTAATTAATGCTCCAATTTTAATTGAAAACTATCAGTAGGAAATTTGTCAAAGTTGTCAATTGGATTCTAAATAAAGGGAGGTAAAGAACCCCAACAGCACCAGGACGCGAACTCGTTTAATCAGGAATTATTTTACTATCTATTGTAGTATATAACTGTAACCTCTATTTATAAATTATAATATAATCGATTACATATGTTAATTAGATAAAGATAAGACAGATGGTGTATTTTGTAATAAATAATAAAGCACACCTGTTCTAAAAGTATTTTTATTAATTAATCATACATAGTACATCTATAATTAAATTATCACGTTGCTGAGCAATGTGCATGTGTTAGCTCACTCGGCCAAATTTTGGCCTGGAGGCAGGGCCAAATTTTGTATCGTGATCCAAGGGATTTTGGTTTACTTGGCTTAATGGAGTGGCATTGGTACAGTGGTACCGAAAAAACTATTTATGATGAATAATGATCTTCCTGATGAAAACTTGTTTCTGTATTTTTATTGTGACAGTTTTTGAATCACTACTCCGTTGTGGTGATTGATATTAAGATCATATTAACCACACTGATAACAGAATTTCAAAGAATGATGATATTAACAATCTTTGTTGACATACTATGGCAGATACGGTCTGGCTTATACAATTCTGTTAATACATATTTATTAATTTATACTGTAACAATTAAATTATGTACAGTAAAGAGAAATATAAACTTAATTTTGATTACAGTAGTGCTACAATTTAAATGTGATTATTTTAATTCAATTTCTAGTGTTGTACCTTTATGTTGTTTGTTTTATTATACATAATAATTCAAATGAGTGCAGGAAATTTTGATTATTGTAGGTCGAAAACTGAGATTAGGTGGTTTTCCTAGAAAGAAGTGAAAGTTTTGATATATCTTTTCACACCATTATTGATAATATCGGTTTATTTCAAAAAGTCTTTTAGTAACATTTTAGAATTGGAGCTATGATCAGAAATTAGTACGAAGGGATGGCAGTTTCAAAACGCTATTCCAATTCTTATGCAGTCGAATCATACGTACTCAGGTAGTTTTAGGATTCCACTTACAGTGTGCTCGTAACCGACATCTTGAAGTTGTGATTTGGCAATAGTACTCCTTGGTACTTCTTCAAAATCATATCAGAGTAAATCTTTAAGTTATTTCTCATGTGTCATACCAGTTTTATAAACAAAAAAATAATAGCAAATATTGTACAAGAAGAGGTAAAATTAAGGGTTGAGTTATAAGGTACTACTGAAGCCTATTTCAGAAATGTCTGGGTTATGGAAAATGAAGTATGCAAGTGCATGATTATGATACTCCTTACATACTTCAACAACCTGATTTGATCCCTTCTGACTTTCACCTGTGGACCTAGGAATGACTTGGTTTCCGATTCAGTGACTTGGATTACATTGAAACGATTTTGATGCCTGGTTACTTGATGGTGCACATTTTATTGTGAATGTTAATCAGTCAATTCGAGTTGTTAACAGTTCATGTTATAATCTGTAATTATTGTTGCTTTTATTATATCTTCATTTATGGTTTTTATGACACTTGAATCATAATTTTATTTCACTTCCCTTGGAAGAAATGTACAATTAAAAGAACACCCGCTTGGACTGACTGCCCCAACCTGCACTTTTTAAACTATACAAGTTCCATCACAGGTTGGTTCAAGAAGAAACAAAAGCTGGAACCAGTTGGATGGATTGATAAAATATCCTTGAGTAGCTAAGAGAAGCTCTATCATGTTAATGTTTCAGTAAATTTATTTACCGACTACCTTTTCAGCTATATTCATTCATTAACCACTAATATTTTGCTAAATACAAATTCAAAATTCTAGGGAGTCTCTCTACCTATTTGGTTACATTCACATTTTAAAGGTGGACCAGAGCAGTCCAAGAGGACGCCTAGCTTAGCTGTTACTTGTTTATAAAAGTTTTCATTATTACATTTATGATAATAATAATGCACTATATTAAAAAATATGATTGCATCTGTATACTACTTCAATATTGTTGACCTGATTAATTTTTTTTTTTCAGGATCATTGCTGTCAATTATGAAGCGAGAGACAAAGGTGTAATAAGGTCTATGCGAGGAGATGATGCTAAGAAGCATTGTCCAGAAATCATTTTAGTATCTGTGCCTACTGTAAGAGAAAAAGCAGATTTAACTAGGTAAACTCTATCTTATCTAAGATAAGTTTGAGGGTGGGTAGAGGGGGAGAGAGATGCTCAGTGGCAAAACATTTTCCTGCTTATCCCCCACTCTATTATCTTCTCTACTCATTCATACCTACTTATAAATTTTTGTTAACATGTAGAAATTTCTTTTATTTTTTCATTTCTTTTCCTAGTTTCTACATTGACTCACAGAAAGATTGGCTGTTTACATACTGTGATGCATTTGATTCTTGCTAGTACAGTACAGTCTAAAATAATACATAACATGGACAATTCTCTTTGTTTACATGCAGAAGTAAATGAAAAAGGCTCCTCCCCATTATTGAATATCCGATAACATAGTATCAGATTTTTTTCTGTTCTATCTTTTCCATTTATTTCTTGGTAAATTTAGATCTTCAGATCCTAGTAATAACATCGAGTTCTGTGAACAGTAGACCATATTTATTTTTTAATTAAAATCTCTACCTTTAATAAATGTTCGAAATTTGAAGAAAATGGAATAATATTTTCCAAGTATAAGGTGTTCGCTATGGTGAAGAGGAGAAATGGAGCTGGAGAGAGGTCTTTATAAGGTGGAACTTGAGTAGAGAAAAGCTGCACGAGCTTCCTTCCCCTACACCCAAACTTAACTTATATGCACTATACTAGAATTTGCTTGACAAAATTATTATTTGATATAGGTTTATTTTAAATTTAATTGGTCACATAAACAACTTTAGTCAACAACTAATGGAAAAGTAGAGGTTTTATGTAAGTGAATAACTGTTTTAATTCTATGTTTACTCTGACCAGAATATATTACTACTTAAAAAAACCACTCATTCAAAAATTGTATGATTTAATAATTTAATAATAATATTAGTGTACACCATAGTTTTTCTTCTGATTCTTGTCTATATTGACATTCTACTAACTGGGAAACTGCATGTTGTCACCTAAGAATGTGGTATGTTTAGATTGCAGAGGGGCGGGAATGTCACAAAATGACGCTTTTGATCTAATCTTTAAAACTGAACCATCAAATCATGCATTGTTTGGACTCAAAATCAGTCTCAAGCTGTTAGTAATTTAATACTAAGAAATTTTTCTTATTTTCTGTTATGATATTTAGTAAACAGAGCAATTAAATCGAGTGCGGAATTCTACAGGCTGTCCTCCAAAGTATGCCTCCAATTATTTTTTCTTATTTTATGAGATAGTGCAAAACGATTAAATAGAACATTCCTTAATTTTCCATGTAAATTTCAAACTTGACAAGTTTGTGCAAATTTGGGAAATTGTCATCAACTTTATTTTTTCCAATTTGAAGTCCCTTTTTTTTCATTTTTAAAAAGTTGTGAAAAAGCCAATTTTCTGTAACATAGCTTCAATTCAAACAATTTTAATGATTTTTTTTTTTCAAAATTCAACTTGAAGATTCTTAAATAAAATCATCAGAAACAGTTTAAGTTGAACCTAAACTAAAACAGAAATTGACTTTTCTCCACTTTCTGAAAATGACAGACTACCGTCTTTGATATGAGGCTACTAAATTGGCAGTTGTTTTAATGTTTTGTCTGGCATTCACTAGAAGTGTGTAAAAAGCAATATTTTTCATTTTATCAATTACCATATATATATATATATATATATATATATATATATATATATATATAAAATATCTAAATATGAAAACGATTTTCCATGTTTAGTTATCATTTGGAGAGAACATAATTCTTTCACTGTTGGTCAATATAGTGTTCTATGTGATATTTACAATGGCATACTACATGATATACTATGTCTCAATGGTCTCTTAACATTAAGGCAGACTAACGAACCGCTGACTAAACATTTGAGAAGGGAAAGGTTGGAAGTAAAGAAATCTAAAGCTTTTTATAGTTTGTTGCTGGTTTGTGATAGATCAATGTATTATCAACCAGAGTACTCTAGGAGAAAAGCACAATCATGGCCAATAACTATTTTGTTTTTCTGTTTGCATTACAGACCTTTTAATTTTTTAAAATTTTATGTTTGTTCTGAAAAATAAATTTAAAAAAGTTATTAGCTAAAAAATCTATAATATAGTTATAGCCTTCTCTTATATTACATCTTTTTATTAAAAGTATTGCTGTCACTTTACATTCCTTTCCTAATTACATTTAAGTAACATGATAATTTTCTGTCATCTAGGTATAGAGATGCTGGAAGAGAGGTTTTAGCCGTATTGTGCAGATTCAGCAATTGTGTTCAAAGAGCTAGTGTTGATGAAGCTTATATTGATCTCACAAAAGCAGTTGAAGAAAGGATGAAATCTCTTTCTCAATTCAGTCCAGATAAATGGAAATCAACATTTGTTGTAGGATACTCTACAAATTCCTCAAATGATGAAGGTACTGAAAAATGATCGCAAAAACAAAATTGTTTCCAATCATTTTTACCTGAATAAAGTTATTTTATTCATAATGAAGTTATTTTTATGACTAAAATCTTTCTAAACTTTAGGAGAAAGGAAGAATGGATTCAGAGCTTGGTTAGAAGATTCAGATTCACTTAAAAATACTGCTTCACTTAAGCTTGCTGTTGGCGCTTTAATAGTTGAAGAAATTAGGGAAACTGTTTTATCTGAAACTGGTTTTAAATGCTCTGCTGGTATTGCTCATAATAAAGTTTGTTTTCATTTATATATGATACATTAAGATTTATTTATAGATATGCTTACTAAAATAAATAATTGCACTCTGACTGTCCCATTGCAAAAACCTGTAAGATCAATTTTATTGTGAAATACTAACTTAAGCTTTTCTTGGCCTTGTGCTTATTCAGAAATACTAACCAAAAATGCTTTATTAAAACATTTCATCTTAAGAAGGTAATAAAAATCGAACATAAAATCTTGTTCATGACAAAGAAAATTCAGTTTTTGCACTTACAGGATTTTGCAATATGGCTGTCAACATATTGTTTTTTTTTATAAATGCTCAATTTATTTAATTCACTTGTGTGAGAAAAAAATTATAACGTCAGTTTTTTTTTTGTTTTTTTTGCAAAATTTCATTAAATAACATTTTTAAAAAAAGAAGTCGCTAAGTAATTTGATATATTTTCTCTCTATGAAATTAAAACATTGTACACTTATTGTTACTATTGTTTATTTATAATAGGGTTTTTGTAAATTTGATGCACTTAACAAGTTTTGGCATTGATAAATTTATTCAAAATTCACAGATATATATACCTAACAGTTTAGTTATTTTTTTTTTTGGTCATCCCCTTCCTCGCCGTTAAAGGCTATATATATATATATATATATATATATATATATATATATATATATATATATGGCGCCGGGCCAGGGAGTGTGGGCGGGGATTTAAAAGACTCCCCTGGCACCGGGACGCGAACTCATGACTATTTTAATATCCATTTTTCATAGATCAGGTCGCTGGACAACGGCGGTACTGTGCTCACACGTTAGCCTGTTCGGTCACCCTGCCCACCTAAAAGTTTATTCCTATTGGAATATAAATTATTGTAGCATTGATATCAAGCAGCCACTGGCTTCCCACTATATATACTCTGTACCGCCTTTTGTACCCTTCCAGTCCTCATAGAATGCACTCATTAACGTACGAGGGGGACCCAAAATAATGGGAATTGGGCTGTGGGAGAGGGGAAGGGAACCCATTGTTCAACCTGGTGTCCGTTAGAGGTACATCTCCTGAGTTAGAGTGCGAAGTTGTGTCACTGTGAGTACATCAGTTTGCCCTTAAGAATTTTCTTAGTGAAACAACTTTTTTTATTTTGCCAAAAACGTGATGGCCGATTGTCAACAGCAATTCGTGACTATGAAATTTTGTTTCCTTTTGGGAAAATCAGCTGCGGAAACTATTGTGATGCTTAAAGGAATGCTGTCTTAAGTAAAACCTGAGAGTTTTTCCTGTTTTAAAAATAGAGAAATGTCAATTGAAGACCAACCCTGTGCAGGACTCCTTTTAACATCAAGAAGTGACGAAAACATTGATAAAATCAAAGCTCTCGTTTGTGAAGACCTTCGCCAATCCATTGATCAACTCCGTGAGATGTCTGGGAATATCATAGAGTAAAATCCAGAGGATTTTATCCGAAGAGTTGCAGCCAAATTCGTCCCTCGCCTTCTCACAGGTGAGCAAAGGGAGCATCGACTTCTAGCATGTTTTGATCTTTAAAATCAGCTCAAAGGGGACCCTGAATTTTTTTTCCTAGGTAATTACTGGTGATAAATCGTGGTGTTATCCTCATCCTCCAAAAACGTTCGCCAAGTGAAGTCAAACATCAAGACAATGCTATGCTCATTTGTTTCTTCGATTGTAGAGGTGTTGTGCACATGGAGGTCGTTCCCCAGGTTCAAACTGTCCGCCAGAAGTTCTACTTTGAGGTTTTAAAAAGATTGAGGGACAGAATCCTGAAGAAAAGGGCAGATTAGAGCATAGGTGCCTGGATCTTCAATCATGGCAACGCTCTGGCCCACACCGCCCTCTCTGTAATGCAATTTTTGACCAAAAACGGCATGACACCGATTGTCCATCCTTCCTTTCCTCCCCCCTACTCACTGGATCTAGCCTCCTGTGATTTCTTTTTGTTCCCCAGACTCAAAAGGGACACGAGTGGAAAGTGTTTTGCAACTTTGGAGTTGGTAAAACTAAAATCGCTGAAATCACTTTTTTAAAAGTGAATTTAAAAAATGTTTTGAACAATGGAAGGATCGTTTAGAGAGTTGATCTGTGGTCAAGAAAGAATACTTTAAAGGAGATCAAGAAAAGTGTAAAAATATTAAGGTATAAAGAAGTTATGACGAAATTCCTGTTTTTTATTTGTTTTTGTTTTTGTGTCCCTCCTCGTAGATATATATTATTTTAGTTTCTTTTCTAAACTGGCTTGGTCTCTTTCACCCTCCTTTATTTAATTTGTATGATTAAAAGTTGTAATGTTTTATTTTGTTGGTTAATCTTTTCCACTCAATGATTTTTTTTTTTTTAATCCTTTCTACTTTTGAAATCTTTTAGTACTGAATTTCATATCTGTCATTTTTGAGCTCAGAACACACTAAATGTATTAATTCATTGAAATAATCCTTTAGAGATTTTGTGCTACTGCAGGATATCAAAAAGATTTCGAAGAATCTTTCGAAACAGTTAGGGTCAGGTGTTTGATTTCTCAAATTTCAGCATTGTAACTTATTGAGTATCAACATAAGGATCTCCTTACATGGTTAATATTATTTGTAAATAACCTACTGAAAGTTAATTTTAAATGATTAGTTTTGGTGGCAATAGGCGAATAGCCTTCCGCTTTTATATCGGAGATTCAGGTTATTTACACTCGTGAATTATTAAAACAAAACCCCGGCACTGGATATCGACTTTTTGAGGATGTTTAACTGTTGTTGGAAATCTAATACTTTTGTGACACTGTGTGAGAAGAAACAATAAGAATATATATATATGAAATGTGGGACTTTGTTAACACTTTGAATGAATTGACTCACCTGGTTATTCTTCAATTGTGAGGTCTCTAGGACAACTAAATAAAATGACTATTCACTCCTGTCTAACAAAACAAATTTATTTTAACAACTGATAATAAATGAATATATATAAGTGAACGGTCGGCTTGGTCTTCAATGTAGTTAGGCTCTCTTCCCAGATGATGTCTTCTCGTGTTCCTGTCCAGGCCTCAAGTGTTTGGCGTTATCTTCGCCATCTGTTCCCAGCTGCCTGCTCTGACATTTTTCCAGCATTCCTCCTCATCGATTGTTTATAGATATGAGATTTTTCAATGAGCAGTTTGTCCACTGCACAATTCACAGTGCAACCTCACATTCCTATATATTATATATTCCTTCTCATTCCCTCACACAATGTCGTCTAAAGGAGTAAATACAGGGGGATGTCTACTATATATTGAAGCAACATTTTAACGCAGAGATCTCCATACTATGGCCTGTGAGCACCTGCAATCCGGCTTGTGAAAATTGCTTTGATTGCAATATTTGTATATATTTTTTTAATTTGTCCCAGTTTTTGAACAATGAGATTCTAAGAAATGGCCAAGACTTGCCTCCAACCTTTGCAAGACTATAAAGTAATTCATTAAAAACAATAATCAATCAATTGTTCAATTTAGTTTTTGTTGTTAACCAAAATTCCATGAAAGATGTATCTTTATATTTTGGCACCCAAACATGCGCTCGAAAAATGTATTTAATTGCCAATCTGAATGATTGACATAATTGTTATATTGCCAATTGATAATTAGTTGTAATTGTGGGTTGATGGTTGACTGTAGTGAATAATGAAGAGAAGGATAGTTACTATGATCAGTCAAAATAAAAATGGCAAAAATAAATAAAATTTGCTAACGTTTCGACCCGAAGTTCAGCCCTGATGAAGGCTTGAACTTCGGGTCGAAACGTTGGAAAATGTTAAAATAAATATTATTTATTTTTGCCATTTTTATTTTGACTGATCACCCCAACTATCCTTCTCTTCGTAATTAGTTATATTTTTTCTTTTACCGTTTCAGAAAAATATTTATATTAAATTGCAGTAGGCATTCATAACGGAAATTCTAATGAATCAAGGATTGATTCAGGCAATTTAGATGTTAATCAAATGAAACAACATATAAATTTCAAATATTGAAAAATTCTCAGATTCACTAAGTGACAATTTCTTGAAAGCCACTGATGAAATGAGGTCAGCAAATAATAACAAGGTTGATCTTAGTGAGAAAGATTTTAATATTCAAAAGCATGACATCGAAATGGACAATTTATTAGAAAATAAGATTTTGAAATTGTAAATGACATTTAAATTGATAAGGAAGCTAAAATAGAAGATCTAAATATTGATACAAGTGTCAGTGCCATCCTGTGTGACTTAAAACTACTGAAAATAATTTTACAAAAGAAAAAACTTTTGAATCCACGTTAAAAATGGCTGTGTAATTGAAAACAAAGTTAAAGAAAAGAAAATATCATAATCCTCAGACTTAAAATGATTTTTATGAAAATTCAAGTAGCACTGATAAATCCATAAAAGAGAACACTGTTAAAGGATTTTCAAAAATAAACAAAACCAAATGTGAAACAAAGAGCACAAATCATTAGCCATAAAATGAAATGTATCCAAAAAAAAAAAAAAAAAAAAAAGAGTGCAATCAAGTGTTTTAAAAGAAAATAACAATTTGAAAATTGGTTGATTTTCAGACGTGAAAATCAAAACAGAATTACATTGGACCAAGAAGAATATATAATAGAAGAACTATTTATTATATATAATTAAAGGAAAACAATTGGAGAAGAGTCAAAATCAGACTGATTAATCTTATTTCATCTTTACAACTTTAACGTAGTTTTTAAGTTTACCACAGATGGTTGCTTATACTGGATTCAATCACTTTGAAACCTAAGCAGGTAATTACCTGATCTAGGCTTCTAGGATTTTATTTATAGCTTTATATTCTTTGTTCTTAACATATTATCTGTAGCATAGAAAGAGGGAGGCTGAGTTGAAGCAAAGTATTCTTAAAAGGCCACAGAAATATATTATTAGAATATTAATTATACATATTATGAAAGTAGTAAAACTCTCTCCAAACATTTCTCAACATTTGTTAGCCTAAAAGGGTAATAACCTATTTGGTTTTCAATACATGTTTTGTATTGTATTGTAAAAAACATTAGTTAATGCTTACATTAATTTCTAGATTTTGGCTAAATTAGCATGTGGACTTCATAAACCAAATCGTCAAACTATTTTACCTCTAGAATGTGTTTTGGAACTCTATAAAACATTACCAGTGAAGAAGATAAAAAATTTAGGTGGTAAGCTGGGTGATAATGTTGTTGAAAAACTTGGTTGTAAAACCATGAGTGATTTGCTGAAATTCACTGAAAAAGAACTTCAAGCTAAATATGATGAAAAAGCAGGGTATGAATTTTATTAATATTTTAATAGTTTGAAAATGTATTTTTATATCTTTGTTTTAAAATAAAGGATCCCATAAAAATTGTAGTCCATTATGAAATATCTGATCATTTGTTTTCAAAATTAATTAATTTAACTCAAAAGCCCGCTAGCGAGTCTTGGCTTCCTCCAGCAGCAATCTTGTACATTAACTTTTGCTACTTTTTTTTTTAATTTAAGTTTTATAAATATATATAGTAGCTCTTTGATAAACAGTTTATTTAATAACTACATGTTCTATTACTTTGATGATGTTTCGCATTAGCCTTCCTCTATTTTTTAAGAGGAGTAAGAGTCTTAAACTTCCCAAGGTGACCAACTGTACTGGGAAATGGGTTTCACTATTTGCTTCCATATTTCCCACCATGAATTTTTGTTCTGTACTGTCCTCCATCATGTCTCCACGGCTATCCCAAAAAAACAGTTGCCATCTTTTTTCCAGCCGAGTAAACAGTTTTTGCTTTTTTTGGACCCGATTCCCCCTTTGCAGTCCACTGTTAGGACTGTATTTTTGTTTCGGGTATATAATGGTGTATCCAAATTTCTTTTACAGTAATTAATCGGTGCCAAAACTCGGATTGATTGCCCCAACAGAGCATTTGAAATGTTCATTTGAACACATTTTGGTCTAACCTGAGCAAACGTGGCACCCAACGAGCGGACAGCTTCCTCATATCCAAACGTTCATTTAATATGTAACAAACACGTTCTTTTGACATGTTCAAAACCTGTGCTATCTCTCTCCCTTTATTTCTGTGATCGTCTAACACCATTTGGTGAACTTTGGCGATGTTTTTGTCGGCACTTGCAGTTTTTGGATGTCCCGAATGTTCATCGTCTCCCAAGCTCTTACAGCCACGTTTAAATTCAGCTGCCCAAACTTCACTGTGGACCTAATTATAGATTTTTTCTCAATTTAATATTTTTATTTGTATTAATATTTTTTATAGATCATGGCTATACAACATAGCACGTGGTTTAGATAATGAGCCAGTCACAGCCCGCCTGCTATCTAAAAGTATTGGTTGTTGTAAAAATTTTCCTGGTCGTGCTGCTTTAAATAAAACTAAAGATGTGCACCATTGGATAAATAAATTAGCTGAAGAACTATCTGAAAGGTTGCTAGAAGATGAAGTTATGGTAAGTATTATAAAGTTATTTTGATGACGAGTTTCTGTACATATTTATAAAAAAATTATCCGTTTTATTGCTTTAAACAGGAGGACCACCTTTCTTAATCATTTCCTTCTGCTTACAAGAACATTAATGCTATTATCCAGTTATCAAATTTACATTTCACTAGTAGGCCCGTGCGAAAAATTTGCCCATTATCTTGTTCAGTGATCAAATGACAAATTAATAATAAAATAAAATGTATCGTAGGATAGAGAAATCAAATGTTACTTCCTCGCTAAATATAATCGACAAAGGAAATGAAAATTAATTTAAAATTTCACTAATGTTTGGAACCAACATGCTTACAAATTTCAATAAGCTTTATTTTCGTTAATAATTGTCCGATTTCGAAGTTTTTTTTTCCTTTTGTAGAGAATTCTGTAATTTTTTATATAATCATGAACATAACCAGGAGAAAAGTGTGTAACGTTTTAGTTATTCACAAATAAAGTTTGTTTTCTTTCATAACTTTTTTCTCTGAATTTTCGGGGTGATTGGACTAGTTTTCCCGCTATTCTTGAAGGAGAACCTTCAAAATTGGTGGCTCACTGTTTGGTGAAACATCAACAATCAAACAAACACCGATTTGATGAAAAATTAACGATGATATGGCTTAACAACAAAAACACACCTTTGATAAACAATATAAACTCTCCTCTCTCGATCATAGGAATGTCAAGTCGACGAAATGAGCCATGTATTCCATGACAGTACTATAATTAATGTAAGATTGTCTAGATGCGAACCCTTTGCCTTGCATTATCTCGATAATAGTTTGTTTTTGGGCTTAAGAACGCAGAGCCTGATAGTTCCGAAGGAACTATCTGGATCTTGGTGTACACACCAAAATCTTCAAAGCCCAATTTGTTCCATATTGATCTACAGACTTACCACCGTTCCAGTATTGAAGCTTAGCAAAATGTTTGTAACAACTTTATTTATTATAGAAAGAAAAACAATGGCAGAGAGTACGATTTGTTAACCCCTCCCCTCTCCTCTTTGTGAAATTCTGAATCCAATGGTACCCCATTGCCATGGTATTTGAGCATGACAGGAACTTATATTTGGTACAAATCCGATTTTGAGTCAAATAATAATAATTTATGTGGAGATAAGTAAATTCCTGGTACTCATTATGTTAATTGTAGCCTTTATGGGAGAAGTATTCTCTCTGATTTTCATAATTTAAAAAAAAAATGTTATTAAAATGTTACACAACTTAATAATCATTTATACAAAAAAAAAAAACTTGAAAAATAATATTATTACTTTGAAATTATTGCTTACTCATCCTTATTCACCCATCTATTTTTTATGAATTCTTCCTATAGCTAAAAATCATCTAGATTTTAATTTATAAACTTAATGTATTACAGATTTTAAGATTTTTTTGTAAACATTTTATTATACTAAAAATTCCTCTACTTATAGTATTGTCCAGACAATGGTACTCAAAGAAGGGATTTACTTTAAAATATTTGATATTTTTCTCTTTCATAAGTTAGAGGTTTGCCACCTCAATTTTTACTTTCACTTACATATATACGTAATATATAGTAAGGGTAAGTATTGCGATTGTGAAAATTTTCGAATCTCAGTTTTCAACTCATAAACAAAAAGTAGTACAAAATTGATATTAAGTATTTAAGGTTTGTATATGAGCTGGATGTGACAGTAACTTTTTCGTTAAAATCGGCTAACCGGAAGTGCCACTTTATATGAACGCTGAAACACATTTTTACAATTTTCTCAAAAACGGCTCTAATGATTTTGATTAAACTCCATGTATCATTGTATAATTAAGCGGTCTTTAATATCATTTAGGTTTTATCCCCATTGATGTCACTTTACTGGGCTTAAATGCCCAATGTTCATATAAGTCTTCCTCTAAAGTGCCTTTGATATGGTTTATTTTAAAAAGTTAATCATTTTGCATTATTCAGAATTACGAAAAAATGCTACATATAACTTTTGAAAGAATTTGATGAGTTAATAAAGGAGAAAAAAAATAAAAATGCAGAAAAACCTGCATTGCTATAGACTGTAGCGCCTAAACGAATGTACCGATTTCAATGAAACTTCGCTAAAGTCATTTTCTCGACACCCTTTAAATTTATCTATATAACATACTTCAATGAAAAGAAGCTGGAAAAAAAGTTACGAGGGATGGTAAAATTATATTCCGAATAACTCAAAAAGTATACACTTTTTTGTTGAAATTTCCTAAAAGAACAAAAAAAAATTGTTAAAATCAGACAATTAGGAGGAAAGATATAGTCTCAAGTTTTTTCTCCTGAAGAGGCGAAAATTTGTATAAATTTTAAATATACTTTTTTAATTGTTGAGAATAAAAAAGCTTATTTTCTACAGATATTTAATGAAGTATCTTACCTCAGAACATCTTTCATAAGAAATAAGTACCTAAATTTGTACCTTTATTCTCAGTTATATATTTCAACATTGCAATCACCACCTCCGGAATCAACTTACTCACTGTCTGCATAGATAACTTTTCAACTAAAAATATCACTAAATTGACATTACTTAAAAATGTTGAAATTGGAGTTAGTCATTCTGTGGTTTATAAAAGCAGATGGAGTGATTAGATTTTTATTGCCTAACGCCGATATAATGGTCTTAATGACTTGTTATATTTAAGCTTTAAGCTTTAGCCCCATTTAAAATGCACTTCAAAAAATTTTATAATAACCCAGCATTGCCAGAAAATAATTTCTATTCGAAGTAGAGCGGTAAGTGAAAGTTGTGTGTTGGCGCACCAGATTTTTTCCCTTCAGTTCCTTATTTTGAATAAAAAATTATATTTTGTTCTATTCCTAAACATATTAGGAGCTAGTTTCTAGAATAAACCAATGTTCATATTTTAATTAAAGAAAAGTTTAAATTAAAAATTTCATCCCTAAATAGAGCTCTGTAAGCTCAGTATTTCTTGAGATACAGTTGTTCTGATGCTACAAATAGCATTTTTTATTGAAAAACGTGAAATCACTATTTTGTGACTTAATTTTGGCAAATATCATAGAAATAACTATTCCCATGAAGAAGATTATTCTAATCATTTAACTAAATTCATTTTGAGCTTTATGCCTAATAGTTACTGAGGCATCATAATTTTCTCAAAATGTTTCATTTTCGACAAATTAAATCTTGTAAATTTTTTTTATGTTGCGCTAATATGATAAGAAAAGTGACTAATATCTGATATAAGTCATTTTTCATGAACTGAATTGATATCTCAGTAATAATCAACTGTTAATAATTAAATCATGATGAATAATCGAATAATTAATCGTAAATAATATTGTCAATAAAAATATAATTAATAAAATTAATGAGTTAGAAGAACAAAATATTGTGTTTACAATATGCAATCGATGACATGAATCAGTTAACATTTACATAAGGCTAATAAAATAGAACATATACACTAAGGAGGTGAACATTTTCACTCCTATTCTTGTTTTAGTATACCACAATAATCTATTGCAATATCCTTCTCCTCCTCCTTTGTGTCTTTATCACAGAGCATTGCCAAGTCTTGAGTTTCAAACTTTTCTCTTTTTCTTCCAAAACTAATGGAGTATGATTTTCTTCTGTGTCTATATTCAAGAGAAATGTGGCAACATTTTCACAAGACTGGTCCTCTTGAGAAAAGTTTGATTGAGAAGGACTAGATTTATTTTTATCTTTTTTATTACACCTACAAAAGAAGTTGATAGAACATTATAGTATTGATTACTTGACTTCGATTTCGGAAATCCCTTACCTGAAACATGAGGCTGACATGGAGTTCTGCAAGTTTTTTTACTCCATGCCAGATGTTTTCTGCTTTTGTACCATTGTCCATTTCCATGTCTCCATCTTTGCTGGCCTTGTGTGTTTCACTCCAGACTCTGTTGGTTATATTGGTGCGGCCTTCTCCATTTTTGAAGCTTTATTGTTCTGTGGATTGATTCTTGCTTAGTTAATTTACAGATCTTGACATTGAAAATAGCTTCCAACCACCACATTCTTAATATTAAGTTATTTCTTCAAAAGTCCTTGTGCATGAACACAATCCTTAATTCTAACTCTCGAAATTCGCTGGGATCTCTTGGAGTTTTGCCTTATCCTCCACACGTGGGAAAAGGCCCGACTTGGAGCTCCCTCGGCTGACTGTAAATATTTTAAATAAGTATGAATGTGTTTTTATTTATTTTTTTAATGTTGTCTCATGTTTGATTTGTTCTGTTATTCCAAGTTTTCTTTTGTTAAAATCTTGTTTTTCTTTTATTGTATATATGGTATGTTTGTGTTTCATTCATCCTAAATACTCAATGCCCTTAATTGAGACAAAAGTATTTTTTTCTCAATAAAATATTATTAGCAGTAACTCTTAAAATTAATCCTATAAGAATGTTTTTGTTCCTACTATATATGTCAATGCTTACTTTGATTAATGATTTAATTCCTTGTGAATTGATTTTATTTTTTGGGATCATTTACATTTTTAAAACACACATGCAATGTCAGAAGAAAAAGTTGTGATTCATAGTCCATTCTTTTGAAACATTACTGGAAAAAATATCAAATTACTGCAAGCAAATTATACATAAATAAGTATCCCCACATATATTATTACAGCAAGGCTTAAAATTGGTTTTGTACCAAATATAAGCTCCTGTCATGCTCAAATACCATGAATGGGATACCGTTAGATCCAGAATTTCATGGGGGTTAATGAATTGTATTCTCCACTTTTTTTTTTTCTAAAATAAATAAAGTCGATACAAACATTTTGCTAGGCTTCAATACTGTAACGGTGGTAGGTCTGCAGATCGATACGGGACAAATTGGACCTTGAAGATTTTGATGCGTACAGCAAGACCCGAATAGTTCCTCCGGAACTATCGGATCCTGCGTTTTTAAGCCCAAAAACGTACTATTTTCGAGATAACGCAAGGCATAGGGTTTGCATCCACACAACCTTACGTTAATTGTAGTACTGTCATTGAATACATGTCTCATTTCGTCAACTTGAGGCCTCTATGATCGAGTGAGGAGGAGTTTATATTTTTTAGCGATGGTGTTTTTGATCGGCAAGCCATATCATCGTTAATTCTTCACCAAAGCTCAAGATTGAGCCAACAATTTCAAAGGCTTCCTTCTCCTTCAGGCGGACCGATCAATCACCCCGAAAATTCAGGCAAACAAGTTATGAAAGAAAACAAACTTTATTTGTGAATAACTAAAAAATTACTGACTTTTCCCTATGTCATTCCTTTGATTATATAAAACATTATTTACTTGTCTATAAAAGGAAAAAAAAATCATTGAAATCGGACAATTTTTCGCAAAGATACAGCTTATTGAAATTTGTAAATATGTTGGTTCCAAACATTAATGAAGATTTAAATTAATTTTTGTTTCATTTGTTGATTATATTTATCGATAAAGTAACAATTGATTTCTTTATCTTTTGATACATTGCATTATTTTATTTTCTTATTTATTTGGCGTTTGATAACAATATACTGTGCAAAGTTTACGCACGGGCCTGCTATTACTTATATATTACACTTTTAATAATCTTGTGGGGGTATTATTTTTCTTGATAATGGAGTCACCACTAAGTGAGGGTATTATTTTTTTTTATAATAACAGTGTTGCCACCACAATCTTATTAAGTTTAAGCTATTTGTATTGTTTTCTTCTTAATTTGTGTACATTTTTGTTGCAGAATAAACGAAGAGCTAATTTGTTGACAGTGTCAATGCACTTGGAAATAAACAAGAAAGATAATGCTTCATCTAAATCAGTAGTTTTATCATCTTATGAAGTTGACAAGATATTTATTGTAGCTGAACAAGCTCTTAGAAAAGTTTGTAAAGTAGATCCATCTATTGATAACTGGTAAACTATATATTATTAATTTTATTTAAGATTTATGTATAGTCCAGTAACCTTGTACATCATAAGTTGCATCAAATGGGGGTAGAAGGTTTCTTGTATGGGTTGTGACTGAGATGCAAAATCCAAGTTTTCTACCTAGGCCTCCTCCCTCCCCCCTGGATTACTTTTGGATATTCCAAAAATTGCCATATTTTTGCACTTTTTTTTCCATTTTGACCATGAAGAAACAAGTTTTCGGCAATAAACATTCTATATATTTTTAAACTAGATTATATATGCTACAATTTAATATCAGAATAAGTTCAGTTAATTTAATAGTTTTTTGAGATACAGATTGTCAAAGTTTGGGAAATTTTGCGAATATTGAAAATTTTAAGCTATTTTTCATGTTTGATTATGTGCAATTCTCTTTATATCATCTTCATGAAATGGAATGTAAATATTTACTAGTTGAATACTCCGAGGTAAAAATCCACAAAACTAGGGAGCCTATACGTAATTGGACCTCACGATCCTTTTTGCCAACTAATGGCGGCTACCTTAAGGCTGTTGCCTCGCCGCGTACTTACCAGAGGAGGAATATAAGGATTAATTTCCCGAGACTTTGAGAAATGAAAATTAACTGACCCAGGTGGGAATCGAACACACAATATTCAGAACCGGGTACTCCTAGACCCACCCTCCAATATGCTCAGCCATCACATCCTCGTACATAGTAACTTTTAACAAAATAATAGGAGTGAAAGTATACAAGACTGATCATTACAGATTCTACAGATAACTCACACAAGAATACTTTAAACCTGCTTTCCTGCAGCTGCAAGAATTTCTATATCCCTTATTGCAAGTGCAAGCAAATCATGTTCAGCAAATTTGGGAGACTACTTTCCTCGACACCATCTTTGGAAAAAAATCTCAGACCGTAACAACCCTCTTCATTTAAGCGGATTCTTTTCGTAATCCAGTCATTGTTGCGTCAGGTGATATGTGTGAAATGAATTTAGCTTTTTCGTATCTTGCGTGGAAAGAAGTTTGCCCAGGTTGAAACTAGTCCTGTCTTGCACTCTTAGTGAAGAGCTGATAGCACTAGTCATTATTTAACTTGACTTTCTCCATTGTACAGTTCAATGGTTTTCTGCCCGGCTTCAACTACTGGGGCAGGTGTAGCGGCTGGATTAGATACAGCTGTAGCTTTCCCTTTAAGATTTACATATTTCAGCAGTGTTTGAAGATGCAGTGTTCCCCTTCTTATAGGCCAAAGAAGTGCGAGATGCAATCACAGTCTTGTTTGTGACCCCTTAGACAGGTGAAGATGACCAATAAGTCTACGTCCCCTCTTGCTATAACCACGACTTGAAAATCAGAGAACTTTCTGATAGCTATAGTGATGATTAGCGTGTCAGCATCTTTTTCAGCCTGAAAAACTTCAATGTGTTTGGCAAAACAGATGGCTTCTAGCGTGAAATGCTACTAAATCCATCTCCTTTGAAATTTGTTCCTTTATTTTGAAGGTCCATTCGCCACCTTTCTTTTAGCTGTTATCAGTATGTTTAAGTTCAAGTTCTTCTCAACAAAGTTCACAGAATTTTTTTTTTTCTGGCAGTTTTTTCTTGTGTGATTCAATGAACTATTTTGTTATGACTTTTCCACATATGTAACACTGCTCTCTGAAATTAATTTCTGTTTGGAAGCCCTTGTTGTTCCTGTCACATTTGTGTCCCCATTTTTAACAAGTGCTTTGATAAATTTAGGATTGTTATCCCAGTCCGCTGGTGTTCCTCAAGGTAGTATCCTAGACCCTATCCTCTATTCAGTTTATACAGCTGACATCCCTACCTATCTCAACACTGTCATCACCACATATGCCGATGACACATGTATCCTATCAGTAAATAATGAACCAGCAATTGCATCCCAAATGCTTCAATCACACATCATAAATCTAGAAGAATGGTGTCAAAACTGGAGAATTAAAATAAACTCCAATAAATCCCACCAAATTACCTTTACCCTTCCTCGTAAACCAACAACTTCCTGTCCTACAGTTTCCTTTAACAATACTCCACTTATACCTGTTGAGCAAATCCGATACCTAGGACTCCACCTGGACAAACGACTAACTTGAAATCCTCATACTAGACTGAAACGACAAGAAACCGCTCGACGTTTCCGATTACTTCAGCACTTACTAGACAAACGCTCTAATCTTCCAATTAATTACATAAGACTCATATACTTGACTATAATAAGGCCTATTTGGACTTACAGAGTTGAGCTATGGGGCTCCACTAAACCATCGAATTCCTATGTATCCAATCCTTACAATCCAAAATCCTTCGTAAAATCCTCAATGCTCCCTACTTTGTTACAAATAAAACCATCCATAATGACCTTAATGTTCCTTTTGTTTCAGATCTGGCCCAATCCAGATACCTATCCTTCCATAATAAATTTCAGAATCATCCCAACCCTCTCGTTTCTAACCTTGCTTCCTCTTCAATTCCTGATAACCTTCCGAGGCGTCTGAAAAGAAGATGGCCCCGTGATCTCCTAATGTAAACATATCATTAGAGTGCTACCATTGGGTAGTTACTCAGCAAGTGTTTTTCATGTCATTATATACATTATGTTCTAGTTTACTAGATGTATTTATTTAATACAGTTGTAAATTTCTTTAAGAAACAAAAAAAAAAAAAAAAAAAAAAAAGGATTGTTATAACTCTTCAGGCATGCTTTATGTACATAAATCTCAGTCAAATGTTCATTATTCCTACTTTTCAATGCAGCATTAGACACTTGTAGGGTTTTAACTCCTATTTCTTTCATCTACACTATTTTACCCTCATTTATACTTTCACCACATATAAAACATATAGAACTTGTTTATGATCCCGGCTTCAACATAGTGAGAATTTTGTGTCTCAAAGTCACAAATAACTCATTTTAAATACATGATATTACCAATCAGGCTTGGTTTCAACTGAATCGAGAAGAGTTTTTAAAATTGGAATAATCCTTTTTTTTTCTGCCCACTGGTTTACTAGGAAGAAGATCAAACGCAAGAAATGGCTCTGGTCATTCTAGCTCACTTATTTTATCAATTCTCTTATAGTATTAGATTCACATAAATCAACATTAGGTTCTTATCTCTCACTATTTATCGTCATTCTATCCGTGTATCCTCCTCCTTCAGATTCCATCCAGGAACAATCGGAACAAACAAAAGTGAGTCTGTTTTTTCAAGCACCAGTATTTTTTGGCTTCAGCACCATAGATTTTCCCAATTCTATTATTTATTAGACAGATTAATTCCACAAATGGAGGTAGAAGGATCAGGATCATCTATTTCCTTAATAATGCAACTGTCAACTATTTAATATTCAATTTTTATTATTAATTTAAAAATTAATAATAAATAAACATGTTTTCTTCCGTACTCAGAATGTTAACCAATAAAAAGTGAACAATATTAGGAAGATCATTATTTTATACTGTTACATAAAGTTTTTAGAAGATGGCATGTTTGTTTCTGAGATTTTTACGAAAGTTTTTGGATATTTATTACTGTGAAATATAAATAATCTATAAATACACTGGATAATCACCAATAAAATGTTCCCTTAATAGTTATTGAAATAACAACAGTAAAATCTTTTTTTTTTTTTTAGGTATCCACCAATAAAACATTTAGGGCTTTCAGCTGGTAAATTTTCTAACAGTTCAAACAAAATTTTAAAATTTTTTAAACTTTCTGAAAATTCAAATCTCAATAGTACCAAGACAAATTGCAACACAGACAATGCAGCACCAATTTCAGAAAATGAAAATAAGTCCTCTTTCTTTGAACGTATGTTTCAGCGTGATGTTTCAGATTCTAACAAGAAATTGAATATGGTTCCTGATTTTTCAAAACATGACTTATATGTTGACAGTGAAGATTCTCAAAGTTCGATGGTAAAGGCAGTCAATGAAAACAGAGAATCTCCTGATGAAAGTCAAAAAGATAATATCAAAAGAAAACTGTTTAATTTAGAAAATGATGATAATGAACTAGAACACATTGATGGAAAAAAGACAGAAACTGATTCAAAAAAATATTTTGTTATTGAACAGTCAGCAGTTAATTTGAATGAAAAAAATGTTGAGAAAAAGAACACGTTAACAAATTTTCTAAATCAACAAGTCAAGCAAGAAGAAGAATGGATTAAACCTGAAGAATTATTTCCAGATATCTCTCAAATTGATGATGACTTACTAAGTGCTCTTCCTTTATCTTATAGAAATAAAGTTATGAAGTTGAAAGAAAGTTTTGATAGGGATTTGAACACAAAGGAACATGGTGTAATAAACAACATAGCTGTTAGTAATGGAGAAAAACTCAGTAGTGAATCATTAAGTGCAGGCAATAGCTCATTTAAATGTGAAGAATGTGGTGAGATTGTTGAAGATTATGAATTGCATCAGGACATGCATGTTGCTATAAAGTTGGATAAAGAACTGAATTCTATCCCCCAAGTTGTGAACAGAACAAGTTCTTCTACGATAAATGACAAGGACAAAAAAAGGAAACTGAAAAGCTGTGGCAAGAAAAAAAACTCTGATAACACAAAAAAAATGAAGAGTATAGATATGTTTTTTAAAAAATAATTGAATTTTAGAAATACTATAATATGTTAATATTTGTTTATAAAAAAGGAGTATATAATTTATAAGAATTTCATCAGTTTATTGCAAAAAGTCACTTAAATAAGTGCAATGTGATAATTATTCAAAGAAAAAAATATAGTAAGTACATCAAAATGACAGAAACTTTTTGATATATCACATATAGTATAGTACATTTGCACAATGCTCTAATTTTACAAAGGAAACATTCTTTTTAATTCAAGGTTATGTAATGTTACTTCATGACTTTTTGCAATCAACCAACGATTTACTTATTAAAGTGTTTTTGTTATGTAGAACTGGTTGTTAAATATTTTTATGTACAAAATATATATTTTAATGTATATAGATTTTATCAGAAACCCAAAAGAAATTTTAATTTTTAAATGATATCTGTGTAATAATATTATTTATTTGAATTGATGTTATTAAAGTTTTATTATTAATGATTATGTCATCGAAATTGTATTTTGTTTGAATAGGATCGCTATATATTTTATTTTTGTTCAAGTTAAATCTTAAAAAAAAAAAAAAACTACACCATTTGTCAATGGGTCATTCTTAAATTATTTGACCATTTAATATTTCTCGATCTAGGAATTCGGGTATAAAAAAATATCAACTATTTGAAGAAAAATTGATCTTCAATATTAGTATAGATATCCTCGATAATAAACTTGAGCGTGAATTGTCAGTTTTCTTAATATTAGTTTTCCTTTTCTTTTCATTTTGAAAATGGGATTTTGCTCAGAGTGTTACTGCGTAAAGAAAAGACATAGAGAAAAATGATTCTTGGTTGTCATCTTTAAGCTTAAAAAATCACTCTGAAAGTTATAAATTTCTGAAATAGATAAATATAATCTAGAATAATACAACTTACTGCTTAATATGTAAGTTGATTTCAATCTTTTTATCTTTTATAGAAACTTTTCACAACAACATTCATAAAATGTACAATAGATTTATAAAAAGCAAACCTTGGTTATGCATTTTTTATTAAAATTAAAATAGGTGTTTTCAAAAATGATTGAGCAGATAGTTACTTAATATGTATTTCTAAAGAAAAAATAGCCTCCAACAACATAATTTACTTCCATAGAATAAAGTTACAAATAATTCATCCAGTTGAAATAAACAAACTTTATTAGCATATTAGAGAGACATATAATGGCTATAAATGTAATAAAGATAAAAATAAACTGTAAATATTTGATGTCAAAATAAAAAAAATTAAGAAAGAAAAAATGAAAATTTTCTGTCATTTCATAAAAGCCTTTAAGGAATGCAACTAAATTCATCCTTCTGTTATTTAAATGCTTATAGTAAAGAAACTGGTATGATCAATTGGTGGTAGGAACAATTAAAATATTAAATTTATTAGAATAATAGTTACATTTGTTAGGTTTTCATACGACATTGCTGTTACTAATATAACACAATTTTGGACAGGTATGAAACCTTAAGCCTAAATAAATACGCCATAACTACTAATTTTGCATTTATCATCCATAATGTCCAAAATTTTAAAAATTAATGGATGCGGATTGATCCATATCAAAGCATGAAGAAATTCGCATCCTCACCTTAGGGACATAACATTCATTTCATTTTTTTATATTCACATTGAGATATAGTTGAGGTACATTTGTTTTATGTGACCATTCCATACCTTAAAAACAATACAAAGAATTGATACCATTGTTTTTTTAATATGAAATAATGTGTGAGAAGAAATGTAAAGTGCGGGGACATCGAATGGTCAAATGATATAATGATGACCCATATAACAAAATCAATTTGCTCCCAAAGAAATTAATAAAACCATGCAGTTTAGAAACAGTTATTTCCATGTTAATCACTCATATTTACATTTATTATATGTATATATTATACTCATATATTATAGTATATATATGTGTGTGTAGATAGTATATATTATATACTGATATATTTTGAGATTTCTTTTAATGACTGTCCTTACCAGTAATATAACAGCATCTTTTGTGGCTATGAAAAAAGTTATTTTAGTGTACAGACAATTTTTTTCATTACTATTTTAGAAGTTTATAACCAGTTTCTTTTACAAGAATTGATATCAACATAATTGTTTTATTTATTTTAATATGTAATATTATTGCCTTATTAAAAAATGTGATATTTATTTATAAACATTAGTTATTCAATGTAGTTTAGCTGTTTAAACTGTGATAATTGTTTTCAAGTTATTTCCTATTCTATATTATATGGATTGTTTAAAATTACATAATACATATATTTTCAAATCATTAAATATTATTTAAAATTAAAATTAAATAATTATGTTTGTGACAACATATCAATGGACTCTAATATTGATCAAATTCCAAAGGTTACAAAAAACTGGATCCACAATTGCACATTCTAAATCCAACAGTATTCTCATACTTATCCTTTTTTTTTTTTTTTTTTCGATCGATGATGATCCAAATTAAGGTCCATTATTATATTGTGGGTCTATAAATATAAAACCTCGCGCAAGCTCATTACCGCATATGGGGAGCATCCCACAGGTGGTGGATGTGGGGATGGTTGGTGGAAGTTCCTCCCCACTATGTCCGATGGACTCGCTGACCAACAATGAGAGGGGCCCTCCAGGCTTGCTGGAGGGTGTGACATAGGATTGAACGCCCTACTCACTTATCTTTAGTTCACCAAACACCACAAATAGTCATGGATCTCCCTAAGGTAAAACGCTCATTATCCGGAAGTAAACTAGTCCCCCGTTCAGGTCTTTCTCAGGTGGGGACTGCTTTAGAGGATTCATGGCACAAGTTGAAATATAGGGATTTAAATATTGGTACATGGAACGTAAGGAGTTTAAACACAGCAAAGGGGCTAAAATCGGTCGCGAATGAGGTAAATGGGTACAATTTGGATGTCGTGGCTCTGCAGGAGGTTCGCTGGCCAGGGGAGGGCTGGATGAGGGAAGGAAAGTACACTATTTGGTACGGAGGAAGCGGGAATCATTGTTTAGGTACCGGGTTTCTAATTAGGAGTAGGTTACTATCCGCTTTGAGGGACGTACAATTCTTTAGTGATAGAATTTCGGTAGCTATATTTCAGGGACGTTGGTTTAAAATCGCATTAATAAACATACATTGTCCGACCGAAGACACTGACGATGAAGTCAAAAGTGAATTTTACGATAAACTCGAATGGGTTTATGATAAACTACCGCAAAACTACATGAAAATAATTGTAGGTGACGCGAACGCAAAGGTAGGAAGGGAAGAAGTTTATATTCCAACGATTGGTAAAGAAAGTTCATAAATATACTTGGACATCACCGGATTCGCAAACACGAAATCAAATCGATCATGTCTTGATACAACACAGCTGGCAAAGCAGTATGATGAATGTACCGTCTTATCGCGGAGCAGAATGTGGGTCGGATCATAAATTAGTAATCGCGAAACTTCGACAAAAACTTAATATAAAAAAGAGAAAAGAAAACCGTTTCGATTTTGAGAATTTTAATTTGGAAAAATTAAAAAATCCATCAATTAGAAACCAATTCGAGCTAGATGTTAAGAATAGGTTTGAAGCTTTAGAGCTTCCTAACGAGGATATTGACAAGTTATGGGTAGAGATCAGGGATAATATTAAAGCGGTCGGTAACTCGTGTCTAGGAAAATAAGAATAACAAACCGTGGTTCGATGAAGATTGCTTAAACATGTGCGAAAAAAGAAAAGCCGCTAAATTAAAAGCTCTAAATATTCCTAGCGAAGACAATCTGGAATGCTTCCGAACCTCAAAGAACGAAACGACAAAATTGCTCAAAAATAAAAAAATGGAGTATCTTAAAAATAAAATAATTGAAATAGAAACTAATAGAATCGAAAATAACGTAAGAGACATGTACAAAGGCATAAACAGATCACGTAAATGTGTAGGGCCCGTAACGTCTGGAATTAGGGATGATAATAACAATATTCTGAACGATCCGGTTGACATATTGAATAAGTTTAAGGACCACTTTGACAATATTTTAAATACGGGAAATTATGATCTGTGTCCTCCTTCTGAGCACCAGAGTGCTGAACCGTTAATAGAAGGACCAAGTAAAGAGGGAGTTGAAGTAGCTATCGGAAAATTAAAATCATATAAAGCAGCGGGAATCGATAATATTCCTACTGAACTAATTAAAGCATGCGGGGAAGCTGGAGTTTCTAAAATACATCGGTTGGTTAAAAAGATCTGGGTGAATGAGAAATTACCTGAAGAATGGAAAGAATCTATTCTTATTCTGATTCACAAAAAGGGGCCGAGGACGGATTGTAATAACTATCGAGAAATTTCACTCCTTCCGGTATGTTATAAAATATTCACTTTAATCTTAACCAGTCGCACCACGGAATATGCCGGGGAAATTATCGGAGACTACCAATGTGGATTTAGACGGAATCGTTCGACTATTGATCAAATATTTTCTTTACGGCAAATGTTAGAGAAAAATTGGAGTATAACGGTATTGTTCACCAGCTGTATATAGATTTTAAAATGGCTTATTGGTCTATTGACCGCCAAAAATTGTATAATATTCTAATCGAGCAAGGGATTCCAAAAAAACTAGTAAATCTAGTCAGGATGTGCTTGACGGAGACACTCAATAAAGTTAGAATCGGTAATAATTTGTCCGAAAAATTTGAGGTTCGTTCGGGTTTAAAACAGGGGGATTCTCTTTCGCCTGTACTGTTCAATTTGGCATTAGAACATGCCATTAGGGAGGTAATGCGAACCGAGAGAGGGTTGGATCTGGGCGGGACAACATCCGTGCTGGGTGGGCTATGCTGATGATCTGGTACTGTTAAGCGAAGACGTTGAAACTATAAAACTAAATACGACAACGTTAATGAAAGCCGGTAGAGAACTAGGACTCGAAATAAAATATATGGATAAAACAAAATATATGGTCAGCTGCAAAAAATGGTGATATCGATATAGATGGTAATATGTTTGAACAGGTAGAGAAATCTAGGTTCTACGATAACTAGAAAAAACGAAATTGAAGAAGAGATTAAGGTTAGACTGAAGGCGGGAAATGCTTGTTTTTTTTCTGTGACAAAACTACCTAGTTCGCGCCTCTTGTCCAGGAACTTAAAAATTAGAATCTATAAAACAATTATCTTGCCTACAGTTCTGTATGGATGCGAAACTTGGCCGCTTACACTAAGGGATGAGCAGCGTCTTAAGGTTTTTGAAAATAAAGTATTGCGTAGAATATTCGGACCGAAGAAGGATGAGTTAACCGGAGAGTTCAGACGGTTACACAACTCCGAATTGCGTGAGCTGTATCCGGGTAATATAATTGAGGTAATTTCATCGCGGCGAATCAAATGGGCGTGTAAAGTTGTTGGGCTTAGTAACGAGAGAATTCCTAAAAGGTTAATATTTGCTGTGCCGAATGGTAAGCGTCCGAGGGGTAGACCGAAGCGAAGGTGGGAAGATTGCATTAAAGCCGATCTGAAGGGACTGGGTTTGGACGGCGAACGGTGGAAGGAGGTGTGTAATAAGCGATTGGTGGTGTCGGCATCGAACCTTCGGGTTCGCTAAGCCTTTTATTATTATTATTATAAATATAAAAAAAGGATAGTATTAGCCTAGGAGCCAGAACCAAAAAATCCACCTGATCCCAGGGGAAGGTTTAATTGTAAATTATGAAAGTGTATGTTATTCTGAATAAAAAGAACCTTGCCTGCCGTTCCAGAGCCGCTGCTTTCAAAAATGGCTGCTGATTTAAAGAATATTAGGCCAATAATTTGAGGATATAAACGGGAAATTCATTTCGAAAAATGCGAGAAAAATTTCTGTTTTTTTAACTTGTATATATGAATTTAGACATGTAAAAAAACAAAATTGCTAATACGGGACGCCAAGGGAAAACTTTTTACAGTCAAAAAATTTCGATATTTTTTGGGTTTTTCACCTATATCTCCTAAACGATGCATCACATCAAAAAATTTACTCCTTAATAAATTAAAGAACGTTAAATTTTGCTTCAAATGAGTACATAAACTTCAAAATTTGGTTATGCGGTAAGGTATAAAACCACGGTCAACTAACGCCGATTTTCACCAAATTTGCCAAAAACAAATTACTATAAATGGTCCTGTAATTTGGAAATGAGTTCCCTAAAAGGAAAAACCCATAGAGTCAAAGGTGTAGAGCATCAAATTTTGCGTCTACTGAGTGCTAACATTTTTATTTTAGGACAATTATATATCTCTAATCGGAATTCGTTATTCCTTTATAAAATTTATATCTTTCGGCACATCGTTTACCAAAATCCTTTGCTGTTGAGAGGTACTCAGAATAACATACACTTTCGTAATTTGCAATCAAACCTTCGCCTGCGATCAGGTCGATTTTTGGGCATTGGCTCCAGGGCTATATGAAAATACTGTCGGATTTAGAAAGCACAATTGCATATCGTGTTTTTGTAACTTCTCGAATTTAATTGTTGAAAGAGCCCCAGGCAACATATTAAACGACTCTAATATCGATCAAATTCGAAAAATTTCAAAAACATGATGCGCTATTGGGCATTTTTAAATCCGACAGTATGTTCATAAAAAGAGCCCTTGATAACAATGATGGACCCCAATATCGATCAAACCTGAAAAGTTACAAAAACGTGATGCACAATTGCACATTCAGAAATCCGACAGTATTTTCATAAGACCCCCCTCCCGACATAATAATGGACTCTTATATTGATGAAATACTGTTAATAAGTAAATGCTCTTTTGGGTGCAATTCTATGGAATATCTGTGGTTTAGATTTGATGAGAAGGGATTGCATGCCACAAATAAGCATATAAAAGATGCTCCACCACCTAAGGATGGTACTGCTCTCAAATCGTTCCTCGGACTGGTGACGTTTCATCTAAAGTTTATTCCTAATGCTTCTGAAATATTATACCCTTTATACTGATTAGGAAAAAAACTGTTAAATTTATCTGGACAAAAAGCTGTCTAATAGCTTTTGAAAAAATTTAAAAAATCCTAACTTATGAACCAGTCTTAGCATATTTTGATCTAAGTTTACCCTTACAATTGACAGTAGACGCATCAGCTAAAGCGGTGGGAGCAATTCTTTCTCATATTGATAAAAATAATGAACGCCCTATCGCATATGCTTCTAAAATGTTGACTGCATTTTGCAACTGCTTCACTTAAAGCATCTAGGTGCAGTTAAAATGAAGAGTTTAAAATTATTTTTGGTGGCCAGCTCTGGATAGAGATATTGAGATGTGTGCCAACTCGTGTGAGACCTGCTACCATTTTCGACCGTCCCCACCTAAAGCAGTTTTATAGCCATATCCGTGCCCTTGGACCCAGATCCGCGTTGATTTTTTGGGCCCTATAAATAAGAAAATTTCTTATTTTGTGGTCATGGATTCAACGACAAAATGGATCGAAGGTTTTTTAGTATCATCAATGACGGTTGAGACAGGTATGTCTAAGCTCTCAAAACTATTCGCACATTTTGGGTTACCTTGAGCCTTAACATCTGATCGAGCCAAATGCTTCACAGGTTCAGAATTTTCAACTTTTTTGTACAAATATGGGATACAGCATTTGGTAGGAGCTCCATTCCATCTCCAATCAAATGATAGTGCCAAGTCAGCTGTTTTAAAAAGATGTATTTTGAAGTCTTTAGCTGAAGAGAAAAATCTGTGCCAATCGTTGAATGATTATTTGCTATAGGACAGGAACACGGAGCATGCGACAACTGAGGGAATCTCCAGCAAATCTACTTCTCAAGAACTCAAGAACAATTTTTGACCTTTTGCTACCGTCGGCAGAAGAAATCGTGGAGATGATTAGAAATGAAGGCCAGCGTCGGAAATTATTCCATGTCGGAGAACAGGTTCGGGTAAGGGATTTCCGCTCGAACACACCAAAATGGACAAAAGGATGCGTACAAGACATCCTGGGACCACAAACCTACCTCAAAACAGAAGAAAACTTGTTGTCGAAGAGACACCTAAACCAATTGTGCTCATATCTCCAAGGAAAACATTTGCCTGGTATGGACATATCTAGAAGTCAGTCGCCAGTCAAGATGATACCATTGGCTCTCTGAGACGTTGCGATACAGATACTTTGGAAGAATATGACCAGGATATAGAACGAAATGAACCAAACCATGGACAGAACTCTCCTAAAGAGACTCTAAATGAACGAGAGGATCTTAGCCCGGTGGAAGTATTAGACACCGGACTAGAGGATTTTCAAGCGGAAGAAGATCTCAGTCTTGATCAAGAACAAGTAACACCTTCCTTTCCTAAAAGGACTATTCGTAAACCATTACGGTATTCACCAGACTGAAAGACATTTGTGTATGACTACATTTTCCTTCTTCTTATTTTTTTTTTTTTTTTTTTTTTTTAAGTGAGCAAAATTTTCTTTTAAGGCGGAAGGAGATGTTGTGATGCCACATAGTGACCTATTATATTTTCAGCATCTGAATTGGACAAATGAGACTTATTTTTTATTACTTAAATTGCGGTTAATAAATGTTGTTGTTCTAACTTGTTTCAAGAGCATATTAACCCTTATCCTATAAGTTTTGGTGTGTCTTGTCTCATATTAGTCGGAGTCACAACAGTTATATTTTACCATTTTGTGAGGGGCTTCAGCCCGAAAGTACTCCCCACGTAGATCCGCCTGTGAATGTAGGCACAATAAACTTTTATTATTTATTTATACATGATATTTACAACTGTATTAAAAAATTAAATACATTAAGTAAATTTGATAACAGAAAATAAAAACATGAAATGACTTGTTGAGAAACTACCCACTGGTAGCACTCTAAAAACAAAATGTATTTACAATAAGAGATCTCGAGGCCATCTTCTTTTCAGACGCCTCGGAGGGTTATCAGGAATAGAAGAGGAAGCAAGGTTAGAGATGAGAGGATTCGGATGGTTCTGAAGTTTATTATGGAAAGATTGGTATCTGGATTGGGCCAAATCGGAAACATAAGGAACATTAAGGTCATTATGGATTATTTTATTGGTGACAAAGTACGGAGCATTGAGGATTTTCCGAAGGATTTTGGATTGTAAGGATTGGATACGAGAGGAATTTGATGGCTTAGTGGAGCCCCAAAGCTCAACTCCGTAAGTCCAAATAGGTCTTATTGTAGTCATGTATATAAGTCTTTTGTAATTTACTGGAAGCTTAGAGCGTTTGTCTAGTAAGTGTTGGAGTAGTCGGAAACGTCGAGCGGTTTCTTGTCGTTTCAGTCTGGTATGAGGATTCCAAGTTAGACGTTTGTCCAAGTGAAGTCCAAGGTATCGGATTTGTTCAACAGGGATAAGTGGGGTATTATTAAAGGATACTGTGGGTATTAAAGGATACTGTGGGTATTAAAGGATGCTGTGGGCACAATAAACTTAAAATGAAATAAAGTAGGTACAATAAATTTAAAGAAAATATAAAATTACGATAAGGAAATTAGGGATTGAAAGTAGCGGAAGCAAAGTAAGGATAATAACATAACGGTGATAAAGTTAGGAAATATGAATAAAATAATAATACTAACAGAGAACTATGAAATAAATAATAACGGTAACGAAGTAGGATCTAATGAAACAAACATAATGAATGAAATAAGATAAAAAGAAAAATGAATTAACAACGAAATGTAATATGTAATGGAATATACTATGTAAACTTTTTGTGTGCATGTTCCTTATTTAAAAAGATTGAGGGACAACTGATAACATTCCTAAGGGTGCGTTTAGACATTTAACAAACTATGAGAAATACAATTATCTAACTTAACTGTTAACGCTAAACCCAACTTTTTAATTTTTTTTTATTTCTCTTATTACCGACAGCAAATGGAAAGCATAAAAAAATAACATAGAGGAAAAACTTTTAAATATGTGTGTTTTCTATATTTTGTGGATTGTCTAAACGCACCTTTAGATAGTTATTGTTAAGAGTATCGTACAAAAGTAGGGCCTTATATGCCTGTAGGGCCTCCTGATTAGGTATCGTGAGTATCCAGCTATTGTATACAATTTATTAGTATTCCTTTTTCTGCTTTAAAGGCATAAAACGTTTATTAGGGTGGTTAACTGCATTTGAAAGGAATTCACAATGTCATTATGACTAATTAGAATAATAAATTGTGTAGTTAAATACACAAATTATTCTATGCATGTATTACAGCTTTTAATCCGGGAAAGCAATACTTTTTAGAGGTTCAAAAGTTCAATTTTTGTTGCTTATTTATTTATTTAAATTGTGGATTTTAAAATTAACTTTTATTTTAATATTCTTATGTTAATCGATTATGTAGTGTGTATTTTTGAACAAACCTGCGTGGCTACTGGCGACGCGCCCAAACTAAAGCAGCAACAGATTTTGAGGATTGTAAACAATTGACAGGTGACGATATAAGAACAATATGAAAAGTGTTTATTTCAATGCATTTGTAGGTACAGCTTCGGGTGTTTTCAAAGGTAATAGTTTGTTTATATTATTTTTAAACTTAGCCATTGTCTCTTTTTTTGAGTTAAATTAGGTTAACTCACGTGATATTTGAAAAAAATTGTATTTAATCTGATTCGATAAATTGTTATATTTTCTATCTATTACTTTTGTTGAGTACAGTTTCATTATTTTGTTTTAACACTATCAATATTGGATTACTTGTGAGATCATCATACTGTCAGGATTAATTGGTAAACTTTGGATTTCAGGAGTTACTGCAGTTGAAAAATGTGATTTGTATGTTAAAAATTTAGATAGCTTGAAATCAGCCACAAATAAAAATCCTATCACCTCTATGAATTGGGGTGATGGTTTTGAAGAAGAAGTAGTTATTGGTTATGGATCCCAGCTTGTAAAAATTTATAATTTGAAGACAAGATCATTTACTATGGCTGAAGAAAAGAAATGTGGGGATGGAGCAATAATAGGAATAAGTAGACGTAATGGGTGAGCATTAATTTTATGTATGTAGCATTGTAAAGAATATGATATGTTATAATAGGTTTGATTTTGAGCCAATTTTTAGTATTTGTCCATGAACACTTAGTTTTCATTTTTTCTTTGTTTTAAAGTCATGAAAATTAAAGTATTTTACAAGATACTGCAGCAACTAAGTTAGACAGTGCTTAAAGCACAAAGTTACTTATCAGTGTATCCCTTTTATCTCAGTAGGTTGATTTTAGATTTATGTTCAATCTCTGCATGCCATTGACTGCTTCTGAAATCTAGGATTTGTTACTATTTATCTGTTTGTTGCTTGTATTTGTATTATTCTAACATTTCAGTAATGTTGTATAAAAAAAATTAATCAGTTCATATCCTGATAGATAGCTTGTGTAACGTTTCTAATTTGTCTAGAATCTTATATGAATTAAGAGTGATCTAATGGATAATCAGATCAAGATTCTAAGAGTGCCTGAACTAAGTTATCGTATGATTTATATGGTAAATGTGTTAGTTATGTAAGTACCACTACAAATATTATTCTAACTTCTTCAGTAGGCCAAAATCCCTTGTTCACTGTATAACTTAGACCCTGAGAATAATTGAGGTGTTCATAGCATTACCTCAATTTATTTAGATTGAGAGTTACAATTTTGGAAAACTCAGTACTGGTCCTTTTTAGTCCGTGTTTCTAATGGCTAGTGTATTTGATCTTTTCTTTATTGACTACTAATATTATGAATATATTACTGGTCTCGCACTTTAAACAATAAATATAAATATTAGCTGACTTAGGTAGAAGATACATATAAACCTCCTCCTAACTGAATGTACTCTTAAGTGTTTGGTTTCTTTATTTACTAAACTCTATAATTACACGGTGGGCCAGACCCCCTTACCGTGCACCCCCCCCCCCCCCCACATCCCTATAAATTGCATATCGTTGTGTTCCTTGTAACAATTTATTAAAAAAAAGCCAATGTTCCCACAAAAAAAAGTGAACGCACTGCCCCAAAATGGCGTCCAAAGATGGCGGATTGACGACTTTGACTTTAGTTAGTTTTTTGGTCACTGAGAATCAGCATTAAGCTTAATTTCCTCATAGTTGGTCTTTTATTAAAGCTGAATAGTTATAGAATAATAAAACATGAAGAAATATTAAAAAATAATTGGCTAAGGCTATAAAAAACACCAGTAAAGTCAATTTTTTTAACAAAAAAATTTTCAAGTTACAAATCAAGCGTTGTTTGTAATTAAACGGCCTACAATAACGCAAAACGTGCTGAAATAAACCATCTGGAGAATACATTTCTCTTTCTGAAACGCTGATTATTTTTTACAAATGTTTAAGTAGTTCCGTAAAAAATGCACTTATGCGGCAGAAAAGCGGTACTGGCGTGGGTGCCTACAGGCCTCTACCACGTTTTATTTCAGCATGTTTTGCGTTATTGTAGGCCGTTTAATTACAAACGACGCTTGATTTGTGACTTGAAAATTTTTTTGTAAAAAAATTTGACTTTACTGGTGTTTTTCGTAGCCTAAGCCAATTATTTTTTAATATTTCTTCATGTTTTATTATTCTATGACTATTCAGCTTTAATAAAAGACCAACTATAAGGAAATTAAGCCAAATGTTGATTCTCAGTGACCAAAAAACTAACTAAAGTCAAAGTCGTCAATCTGCCATCTTTGAACACCATTTTGGGGCAGTGCGTTCACTTTTTTTTGTGGGAACATAGGCTTTTTTTTAATACATTGTTACAAGGAACACAACAATATGCAATTTATAGGGATGTGGGGGGAGGTGCACGGTAAGGGGGTCTGGCTCACAGACTACTAGTCCCACAATAATAAAATTATTTTAATACATTCTTACAAAACATCATTATCTTTTAATATTAAAAGTCTAACTATTAATACTATGTATTCACTAAATATAATGCAGGTATGCATGTGTAATATTTTTATGAATTCATCATATTCACATCCTATGAATCATGGTAGTTGCTAAAATTTCATTTTTATACCTGTCATTACTGGATACTCAAGTATTAAGGAAAGTGAATGACAATTTCTCTCATTTCTCAATTATTCTCATGGACTATTATAGTCTATATATTTTAAAAATGTGGCTCTCCCATATTCCATTGGGTGCTGAACAGGTTTGGGAGAACCACAGATAAATGAATACATTCATTCATTACTGGGCTCTACAGTCCTTGAACCAAGGCCTCTGCTAACGTCTTCTTCCACATATCCCTGTCAGCAGCGAAGCGCCTCCACCCATCTCCTTTAGGTTACCTTCCACTTCGTCCAACCATCTGAGCTCTACAGGCTTTGATATCTTACATTTTTCATATGTCTTATTTTTACTCTTTCATTTGTGTTAATTATTGAAGCTTCATCGACTTATTTCATAACCATAAATCCCTTGCCATCATTAACCATAAAACCTGTTCCCCATACATTAATTGTAATTCAACTCAAACCCTTTCAAAAATTCTGAAAATAATGATATTTATCGATCAATATTGATTTACTTATCATGTGTCATTTTTATGAAAGAAAATAAGTTCACCATTTGGTTCAATACCTGATATGTGCTTCACTGTTTATTACGGCTCAAATGTGGCAGTAGTTTTGTATGGATACCATACAGGTACTGCACAAAAAGGCTAAAACAAGTCTGAATTTCTCAGACCTTAGTCATCTTTAGAAATTATCTTTAATGATCAAACGCAGAAGAAAGATTTTTTTTATATAGCATAAACTTAATTTGGTTACTATCGGAAGGTGAAGATCCTGACAGGTTCACTTCATGATCTATTGTTAGTCATTTAAGAAGATATCAATTTGTAAATAATGCTCGCTGGAAGATCTTATTTCTGTTGACAACTAAGATTCAGAATTTTTCATGATCAGAATACTTTCTCTTACTAAATATTTCATGTATGTAAGTGAAAGTAAAAATGAATTTGATATTAATATAATATTTCATACTTTTCTTCCATAAAACCCCAGATTCCATAAAACTTGATAAATACCATATTTTTCAGAACTTTCTAAAGGGTTGGAGGAAAAATAAGTGATCATGAACTGTCCCGACAAGGCTTCAATTATGTTACAAAGAATAGAAGTAGAAATAAAATAAGTTTCAAATGTTAACAAATTTTAGTAAAATGAAGTGAGTAGAATAATGACAATAGTAAGAACTAATAAATAAATAATAATATCCATTACAAAGTGTGGAATGATGAAGTAAACATTATCAAAAAAGGTCACATAAGTATTAAAATGGTAATCATAGAATAAAATGTAAAACAGAAAAAAGGAAGCTTTCATTTCTTATATAACTTTATATTCCTTTTTACTGTTTTACATTTTATTCTAAGATTACCATTTTAATACTTATGTGACCTTTTTTGATTATATTTACTTCATTATTCCACACTTCGTAACGGTTATCATTATTTATCTCTTAGTTCTTACTATTGTCATTATTCTACCCACTTCATTTTACTTCAATTTTTTTTACCTACATTATTTATGTTTTTCATACCTTGTTAACAAATTTTGTCTTATTTGAACATGTATTGAATGGTAATTATTGTAAAAAAATTCTTTCCGGGTCAAAAAGTCGATAAATTTTGAGATTTTTGAAGTGTTGTGTTCAACTTTCTTTGAGATTAAAAACATGCATTATTCATTGGACTAATATCATAAACAACTATGGGAAAATTGAGAACTATTGGATTTTACACACGCGTCAATTCATTTTAGATACTAAGGTTGTTGGTCTGAAGGTAGGGTTATGTGTAATGAATCTACCTTTGTAAACTTGTAACAATCAAAATATGGTAAATAATTTTTTTGTTATTTAATAACTATATAAAACTATATACAAATCCAGCCTTTGGTTATTATTAGTAAAATGTTATCATGCAAACTTTTAAAATTGTAGTGAATTAATTTTATTATTAAGAGTTTTTTAATTATATGAAATTGGTATACAAGAAAAATATACACGGATGGTCATTTTTATCTTGTCGTTTATTTCTTTTGTCAGTGTTCTACTAACTGCTGTTGAATCTGGATTGGTTAAGTTATGGAGAGAGGGTAGTGACCCACTTACAATTAATACTGGTGGATCTTTAGAAAAAGTTAGACCCAGCCCTCACCATTCTAATATTATAGCTACTGGTGGGAAAGAAAATGATATTAAGCTCTGGGATACTCAAACTGGAGAACAAACATTTTCTGCTAAAAACGTGAGTACGTTTAGAAGCTTTATATATTTCATTTAATCTTCTTAATCCAGCATCTGACTATTCGAATACCTGTCTTTTTTTTCCTTTTACTAATTTTAGATTTTATTTTTTAAACTAATAAGAGGAGGCCACAGTCCGTGGCTCACTGCTTTTTAAACTAAAAAATGAACTTTGTTTCTCCGTATAAAAATATTTACTCTAGATACCAGACAGGTTTTGAATAATTACTATATTTGGCAAGTAGCTACAATATGGGGATAATTTGAACCAACCGACAGCAATTCAAAACTGGTCTGATATCTAGAGTAAAAATATTTTTATGGGAGAAACAAGGTTGGTGTTCATTTTTTACTCCTAAAAAAGCTTTATTACAGAATTGTATAGCTATAAAAAAAAATTAAAGTTTTCTACACAAAATTTTTCCCCAGGCTCCACCAATTCACAAAAAAATAATTAGGAATTTAGGGCTCTATACGCTACACAAAATCGACCTCAGTAAACAAATTAGAACCAATGATATAAAATAAAAATGATTAAAAAGTTTTTCTTAATTTCTAGTTAAAAAAGGAATGAAATCTAAAATTTATCAATGTGCGTTAGAAGAGGAGTAATTCATAACTCAGCTTTCCAACAGTTGTACTAACATTGAATTCGGAGAAAATTCTCAGAAGTTATGAATATTTCAGTTATTTGCCGGGAAGAAAATCAAGTATTAAATTTTGGAATTTTTGGTTTCTATTAAAATCCATCTTTAAGAGTTTCAAAGGACACTAAAAACGAAGCTAATATACTTTTTCATATCAAAATTTACTGGTCACGCAAGCAAAAACAACATGAATTTTGCTTACAATTATATTAATTTTTTTTTCGGTTTCTAAGCCCATTGGAACGGATGCCAGGATATGTAATATTTTTCTATATAGTATCACTGGAAGCTAATTTTTTTGAAATCGGTACTCCACTGATTGTAGTATCCCCCATTAAGACATTTATGTTTCATTTAACTCTTTTAAACTTCTGGAAGACAGAATGCAGACTCTTAATTTTAGGAATGTAAGATTACTGTATACCAATGGTATGCTGGTAGAAATGAAGAAATCTACTAAATTCTTTTACTTTTAAGCAGAATAAACATTGAATTTGAATATACATGTAACTATAATATGGGATGTACCAGATCAGAACTGCACTCGGTTGGGCAGCAAGAATTGGCTCTTTTAGTTCTCCTTCATAAGGATTATCAATATTAGTATCTTTACGTTCGTCCATTAAATAACTGTGTCATTGGCTCTTTGAGTATTATTTATGTCATCAAATTTCATTTAACAATGCGGATTAATGTAATTAATTGTTGAAAATATAATGGCTGTGGTGTGAAGTGTGATAGGCGAGAACAAAAAGGGAGGTTATATTAATTTTTAAACTTAGTGCAATTAAATCGTCTTTTTTTATTGGAATATTCTAATCAATTTACAAATAAAATCATTAACATTAGTGAAGTGTAAAGGTATCAATTTTATTTTTTTTATTTTAGGAATTTCTATTACATGCAGACAAAGAAGGGACAAAAATGTATCCCAGATAGTTTATGATAAATGGCAGCGACAATAAATATGTTAAAGAGAATAATAAATTTTCCGAAACAAGAAATTAGCAATCAAAGAGTAAGTTTGTTATTCCGTATTTACTCAAAAGAAATGATGATGAAGCTATTCTGGTCTAATTGACAGACCGGTTTTATTTACAATCCTCCCTCCGAACTTGGTACATCTTCAAATCCACCGACAAATTGTTTAGTTAGTTCTGGAACCTATGATGAAAATTATGATTTATTTTCGTTATAGCGTTTGATTTGATTAAGAAATATTAAAAGTAAATTCGCAATTAAATATTGTATATATAAATTTATAATTTGAGTCCTGAATTACAACTATACTGAAGATTTCTTTTTAAGTAACAGTCTATTTACAGTAGACTCCCGCTTAACCAGCGGTAACGGTAAAAAAAAAAAAAGTTTATCATCCTTAGAAGTATTTATAACTTTGTGAGATTCTCAACCTCTGGTTATAAATTTAATTTTTGTTGTGTTACGGTTCGATTGATTTTAAATAGATTGAAATGTGGAAAAAAAAGATTTTTGTTAGTTAATTTTTTACAATTTACCAAACCTTGATAAAACAAGTTTATTTAAAGTAAAATTGTTTCTTGAAACAAAACCCATATCCTTCATTTAATTCATAGAGAAATGATAAAATACTGTGTAATTAGCGATGCAGTACTGTAACTGTGTTTATATTACTGATGTTAAACAGAGATTAGGGCTGAATATAAATAAAAATTTGTTTATATATTACTGCTTAAACAATTAAAAATAACCACAATGAAACATAAATAAATATAGTGGTCTTTATCACTGGTACTCATGTTGGACTAAAAAAAATTTATGGCACTTATTATAAATTATTTATAATTAAACTTATAAATTATTTATTATAATTAAATAAACAATTATAATGTCTAGTCATGGACAGTGACAAAAACTCAAAAATTTAATTGTTTTAATTAATATGTTGTAACATCTATAATTTTTATTTTCACTCCTCTTTGTATGAGAATACCAATTTTTACTCAAAGTAGGATGGTAAGTGAAAGTTGTATGATGCAGCATACCAACATTTTTGTTGTAACTTTTAATAGATATGAAATAATTCCATATGAATCATAATTTACATAGTTTTCAAGTTAATTGTTTTTCCCTGAATCTCATTATGTACATTAGGACTGACCAATCCAATAATCTTTTCTAAGAATCTAGTTACGAATTTTTCTCCAGTCTCTTTCTTTCTATTCTCTCCCACCTCCGTCAACTAGAGATAATACTAAATAGTGATATTACTATCGGAGAAATAGTTTTTGATATTTATTTTCTTACATTTGAAACATGCTCAAGTTAGGTTTGATTGTTTTGTTTTTTAATATTCCGTTTTTCTGATAGTTGTTAATAAATATTTTGACTAAATATATTTTATGCTATTCCATTTTTTTATTTGAAAGGATCTTAAGTGATTTTATTTAAATCATAGAGATATGACTGATGGACTCTTATATATTGACACTCTGTGTACATACAACAGGCAAAATCTATTATGGTCGGTTCATCAATAATTCATGCTAATAATAATCGTGTCTAACTTATGCTAATTGTTGGTGTCCTGCAAAAATCAGGGAATTCCATTGTATGATTTTAGTAGATTCCTTCGTACTATTAGGTTCAATCCCTTCACAGAAATCAGAATCTAAATGCAGTCACAACCTAAATAAAAGTACTACCTTCGAGATATCGTTCCCCAAACTGTGAACCTGCTTGAATTGAATTAAAGTCGAGGGAGTTGTTAATTGAAGAGGTGTTTATTCTACTGGGAGTGGCCAGTATATAGTCCTTTCATTGAGTAGAAATTTTGCACTTCTCTTTGTACAATATCTTCTTGAAACAGCCTAAAATGTGTTGTATGTTTTCCAATAGAGCTTAGTATTATTACCTTTAGGGAACTTAAATTATAAGTTTAAGGTTTAAGCTCCATAGTATTTAAATTTGAGATATTTTGGTCTGAATGTTCAAAACAATCATTACATAGTCCGACTGTTCAAAACAGTATTTATTTATTTTTTATTTTTTTGCATTATCTTTTTCCCTTTCCAACTCTCTAACTCAGCATCACACCAAAATACAATTTTGAATTAAAGCTCATTAGAAGAAGGATGAAATGCTGGAAATTTTCTTCACTTACAAACTGCTAGTCTGAATTTTAGTTTTTAAGATATTTTAATCAAAATGTTTAAAGAAAACTCTATCATTTGGTTTTTTACACTAGCTTTTTCTCTTTTTGCCTCTAACATCACAACGATATAATTTGAATAATAGCCTATTACAAAGAGGATGAAATAATAAACATTTCTCTTGCTTACAATATGCAGGTCATTTTTACTTTCACTTTCCTATATATGTAATATGTAGTTAGAGAAAGTATTGATATGGTGTGAATGTGCTCTCAGAACTCTATTGTAAATGTCATTTATTGAGACAGATTGTAATATTTATCAATGAACCAAAAAAAAAAAAAGAGAGAGAAAGTATTGCAATCCTAAACATTTCGATTGTGAGTTTTCAATGGAAATACGTGTTTTGAGGTTCCCTGAGTCTAAATAACCAAGTCCTACAAAATAATTTGTGTGTGTATGTGTGCGTGCGTGCGATCAGTTTAGCTTATAAACGAAAAGTTGTACGAAACTGATATTATGTACTTCAGATAGGTATATGCATTGTATGTGACAGCACCTTTTTCGTTAAAATCCACTAACCGGAAGTGGAACTTATCAACGGTTATACACATTTGTACGATTTCTGTGTATCATTGTATAATTAAGTGGTCTTTAATATCATTGATGACATTTTACAGGGCTTAAATGTTCAACATGTCTTCCTCTAAAATACCTTTAATTTTGTTTATTTTAAATAATTAACTATCTCTCATTATTGAGTTACAAAAAAATGCTGATTATAACTTTTGAAAGAATTAATAAGTCTTTTCGGTTTTTTCAGGAAGAAATAAAACTCAATGTATTATAGACATAAAATTTATTTTGATCTACAATATATTGACCATTATTTAATATGATTTATTTCCATCTTTCCACTAACTGCATAATGCCATGTTCATAGAATGTCTGTAGTTCATTGTTAAAAAGCTGATCCAAGTGGTTGTTGATGGACTCTTCCTTTTGGAATTTCTTTCCCTTCATGAAGTTTTGCAGAGAACGGAATAAGTGGTAGTCATTTAGAGCTAGATCTGGTGAATAGAGGGGGTGGGGCAAAAGGTCCCATCCAAGGCTCAATAATTTATTGAACGTTGTCTCCATGGAACACAACACCCTTCCGATTATTCATAACTCTTTAGGATGTTCTCCAAATTTGATGTTACTATATCCGTTAAAAAGCTGAATTATTTCTCTTCAAAGCTGTATGAATGTTTTTTTATTTTTTTATTTAATGCCGAGATAAGGAATAAATAAACAAAAACTCCTTAAAGGTTTTTATTTTTTAGCTCCATTTGTAGTTTTTTTACGAAGATCCAGTTAATGTCATTTTGTATAGTTATGTGGCATTAAATTACTGCTGAATTTCTTGTAGATAGCTGAAGTCGTATCGAAGTTTTTGTGATTTTTGAAAGACAATTCATAACTCCAGGATATGAAGTTTTTCTACTTCACAAATTTTGTAAGAAGTCTAAAATAATAAATACCTTTATTATTTTCGGTATTACTTACAAGTTGATGTTACATAGCTTTTTACATAGTGTTTCCCATCTTTTCTCACATTGAGCAATCTTATAATGAAAATCAGTGGATTGAAGGCTATCTAGAAATATAGTGAATCAATTTTGATAGGCCATTTTCCCTTGTTTCAAGGGTGAAAACTTGGATTTTTCTTATTCTCTACATACCTAACAATAAATATATAAAATAAATTTGAATTACCCAACCTTTTGCAAGCTGGATCCCATTTTTGTTGTGCTAATTTTACTGGGCTACAAGTCCCCTAAGAATAATCAAAATTCTAGTTCGTTGGCATAAAATGATATGATTAATGAAATATTTGAATTATTATCTTGATGTGCTGATAGTAAGGAGCTATAGTTTCAACTTTTTTTTTTATTAGGTAAGACATGATGACTTAGAACTCAGAGTTCCTGTTTGGATTACTGATATGGCTTTTATTCTTAACACCAGAAAAGTTGCAGTAACTACTCGTCATGGTTATGTAAGTCTGCATTACTCATCTTGATAACGCTGACAGTGTTTATTTATTTCTTGTTTTTTTTTTTAATTAATTAATTTTTTATGTTTTATTTTCGTTCAATTTAAAAGTTTGAATGTAATATTCTAATTAAAAAAAAAAAAAAAATGATATCAGCTGTTATAATTGGTAATGTACATTTAATCATAGTCTATAAGTTTGATGTTGTGGTGTGCATAATAGTGATTATTATGAGTTTATTATAGCCTTAATTATAGAAAAATACTAAGTTTCTAGTGTTAAACCCGTGAATTTGGCACTCTTCAGTTCTTTACTGGAGCTAAGGGTTGCCAACTGCTGTACTACCGAATTGCAGTTTTACATGAGTTCTGCTGCAGTCCTTCGCTGCAGACTCATTGTTTTATTGCCCATTTGCAGTTTCATAGAAAAATATGAGCACTCATAAATTATTTATATGAAATTTATAAGAAGATAAGATTGCCTGTTCATTCATTTTTGCTGATCATCACCTGCGTGCACCCACATAAAGTTATTAAACCTTTGTTTTTTGTTTTATATAAATTCTACATTTACTTTCAGTCATGTTTTGTTAGTTTTAGAATTAGTTAAGATTAATTAATTTTGTGAGTAACAAATATATATCATTTCTTTTAGTCAAAATTTCAGCATTATTTTTATTTATCGTTATCTTTATCTTATCTTCATTTTCATTTTATTATCAATGAAATGGAAAACTGGTTTCATTTTTGTCTTTATTATAATTAGTTGTTAAGGAAAAAAGAAATGCTTATTCTACGTTTGGTTTTGTTTCAATTATTTTTATTACATAATTCATTTTTTTTTTTCATATTTGTTAGTTAAGCTTCATTCTATGTTTTAGTAAAATCGTGATGGAGCTTAACAAAAATCCACTATTATATATTGAAATATTATTCATTCTTGAAGATCAAGTTTTGAAGTTCTTAATTTTTCTGATGTATATTTGTATAAATAATTGCTGTAAATGAAAAGTTGTGGGAAGGAGTTACCTCTCAAGGGTGAAGACCGCACTATGCCATAACATGCTAGTGCCTAGCTCATAGTGTTATTTTTTACTTTTCATTTTTTCTTTCACCTTCTCAAGGCTATTTAACCTGGCATGTTTTCACAATAGGTCTGATATTTAATGAAATAATAAGAAATTTTTGTTAACATAATTTTTTTATATTATATTTGAATTTCTATAAAAAGCTCTAGTCACTAATGGCTTAAATATAGAAATTTCATGGTTTACTAAAATCAAGAATTTTTTTTAGTGATTCTCTAAAATATTGGTTTTATAATCTGCTAAAAATATCTAAACTTTAAATTTACTAATTAGTACAAGCTATTTTGATTTGTTGCCAAAATCTTTCTATTCCTTTCATTTATCTGTCAGAATAGATAGATAAAAAAACTTACCTTAATTATAAGGAATTTTAATTTGTTTTGTTAAAAGTGTAAAACCCTTTATTCAAAAAATAATATATGTATTTTCATTTTATAGGTAAGGTTATACGATCCATCCACCTGCACAAGAAGACCTGTTGTTAGTGTCCAAGTACCTGAACAGGCCTTGACTTGTATTTCTTGTTCCAGTAAAGAACAGTCAGTATATTATTATAATTTCATTTGTCTTGCTTGTTGATTTTAAGTACTAAATGATTAGACAAACAAATTAAGGGAGATTCTTGTGGCTGGGTATTTTAAGCTCAGGGTAGGAAAAATCCTTTTGCTTTCATAATTGACTTACTTCACAATGGCAACCTTCTTTCTTCTATTCCTGTTGGTCCATGCAGTTCACATGAAGGAGACATATGCAAATATGACAGCCCTTTTGGACTCACTCAAATATCATGAACACAAATGGAAAATCTGTGGTGATCGATGCCATACTCTTAGGAATGCAACAGAGGTACACAAAACATTGCTGCTTCTTGTTTATGTGGAACATTAGAGCTAGGAAATTGCATTATATAAAAGGAGATTGACCTGCAAAAATTTTTAAACCCTAATAAGGAAAAATGACGTTGCCAAGTCTCTCGTGAACACAAAAGATATTCTAATTCCACCTCTGCATACCAAGCTGGGTTTGATGAAAATTGTTGTCAAAGGATAAACCAAGAATGACTTTACGGGGCTATAAGTACATAAGAGAGAAATGTTCTAAATTAAGTGATGCAAAAGTTAAGAAAGGAATTTTTGTCGGGCCACAAATTTGAATACTTGTAAAGGATCCTGCATTTGGCAGAGAAAGAAAAGGAAGCTTGGGAAGCCTTCAAGGGAGTTGTTCGTGGATTTTTAGGCAACAAAAGAGATGACAACTACACGCATTTGGTGATGAAATCGAAAAAACTTTGAAGTTCATCAAACAAACAAAATTAATGAATTATATTTAAGAATGATCGTCGCTAATGGCCATGGCCATGGCAGTCGAAGCAACATTAAAAAACAGCAAATAAAAAAATAATCAATTCTTTTGTAAATTCACAATTGTGCATTACCCAATTTAGCAAGAAAATAGTTGCCAGACATAATTGAAATTAACTTGGAATCAACTGGAAACTATTAAATTTAGAAACAAGTTTTATTCTATTGAAGTTATTTCGATTGTTGTGAAAAGACCGTAGCAACGGAACTACTACAGAAATGTTAATTGAATGTGAAATAACCTGAAATTTTTTTATATATTACAAAACATTGATGTACTAATATAATGTAATGGTGTAATTATTAGTATGAGTATTGGATTAAGAAATAACTATTTATTGTTAATTTTGCTTTTTACTTTCCTTTTAGTCATGTGATAGTTGGAAGTGGCAGTGGACAAATGAATCTTGTTGATTTACGTAGTCGAGGTCTTGTGATGAACAAGTATAAGGGATTTGTTGGTGGAATTAAAGCTATTGCATGTTCTGAAGAAGAACCTTATATTGCATCTGTCAGTTTGGATAGACATTTTAGGGTTCATCATCTTTATACAAAAGAACTTCTTCTCAAAGTAAGTATTACGATAACATTTATTGATTATAAAGAGTTTGTCTCTTATTAATTTTTAGTTATTTATTTTATTTAGGTTTACTAAATTATTGATTGTTTTTATATTTAATGTTGTGTTCTATTTATTCTTAAAATTTATTTTAAAGATTATTCACTACTATTGACAGAGAGAGTTATGGTATGCGATTTTATTATAATTTCAATATAAGATCTCCTTGAGCTCAACTCTTGTTTCAGTTACCTTATGGTTTATTTTGGAGATAAACCATGAATAATAATATTTTAATTTAAAATATGTTCCAATTATCCAAAAATTCTTCTTTCTTCTTTTTGAGCCAATATTGGTGTAGAGGTGACTAATTCAGCACTGCCAGTTTTTCAAGTCCTTGCTCAACTGTTTCTTAGCAAACTTTTGTTGTTATAAAATTAAAAAGTAAAATAAATACTTTGAAAATATGTTAAATTTAAGTAATTAACAACTGCTTACTTACAGTTGTTATGTACAGTAAACTGGACAAAATTTACTTCAAATGTAAGTACAGTTTGTTTGCCTTCTTTTAAAGCAAATTTAAATAAGTTGGTTTTTAAGTCGTTAAACTAGGCCAAGTTGCTTTTCTCAAAATTATAGGTTATATGCAATTTTTTATTTATTTTTTAATCCCCTTCCAACCGAACTACAGATACCTCACTTTCAGATAAACTTTCTTGTTAAATAATCTTTAAGTGATGTTTCTTAAGTTGAGATTACCTTAGTATTGTAAAAAACCTGTGATCTTAAAGTACCTTTGTTTTCAATAAATATTGTGACAATAATTTGTTATTGTAATATAATAATTATTTATAATAAAAAATATCGCTTTTTCTATTATCTAAATTGATAATGAAACATTGTTTTTTTAAACAAACTTATATTTTTAGAATTGATCTTTATTATATTAATTGACTGACTAATTATTCATAACCATTCTAGCAGGAAAAAATATCAAATTAAGTGGACATGTATGTATCATGTCTTATTGTAGCTATTTCGATGTCTTGAAGTTTTTCTAAATACAACGTGGAATAGTCAGAGAATTTAACAAAAAGGTTTAGATAGGCATCAAATTTATCAAAACTGTCTTATTACGTTTTCAGATTTGTAAATACTCGTGTTCCCTCAATTGTCAAAATTAAAAAGAAGACCAGATGTATAGATATAGTTATACTTTTTTCTCGACTCTAATACTATTATTTACTCTCACTTTATTATGTACCAGAGATGGGCTGGTAAATCAAGAATTGAATCATTCTGCAAGAATCGTACTCTGAAGTGAATCACACAAAAGAACCACAATTCACTAGGAATCGGAATCAGTCGATTTACTAAGAATTGGTACTGGTTGATTCACTGGGTTATTAAATTTATGACAAAACTTATATTAAAGAAATTGTCTAAATTAGACCAGTTTTAGCAATGTTAATGTATATTGAATTTTATTCAGCGATAATAATCGTTCATTTGCCCATTTTACATTGCTTTAGTACATCAAAGAAATCTTACTTTAATGTTTTCCCTGATCGGGTATCTGTAAAATTAGTCTGATTCAATTCTGTTATTTTTAATGAATATATTTAAAATTTAAAATTGATAGAAAATTCATGTGAGTGGAGACACCGGATGTTTTATTTAAATAATTGGTGACATAGTATGGATTGTCTTTACTCTACAATTCTTCCATTCCAAGGTAGGGGCCTATCACTATCTTTCTTGGCAATACCTTAAAAGTATTGTCAAGTTAATTTTATTTATTAATTTGTTTGGACTTAACTATGTTTATGTCGATAAAACATTTAAATGTACCTATTCTGTAGTGTTGTTTTTATAAGTCATCATAGACTAATAAAATTATTTTTCATTTCGTTATTATTTTTTACAATCTATTATACAACCAGAATCTAATATGTAAAATTAAGAAAACTTCCTTCCTACTTACAAGATCCATAACTTGTTATAATTTTATACATTGGAACCAGGACTTCAATTTCAATCAATTAAAAAATATGTTTGCCTAAATAACTATAAGAATCATTGCGAATCAATTCAGTTAATAAAAGAATCAAAATTCCCATCTCTATTATGTACTTCCAATACAAGACAGTTCAGTACCATTTGTGTACATCTTTAAAAGTAGGAAATAAAGAAAAAAATCTCAACACATTTTTATTATATATCTCTAGTTCTAATGTGTTTATGGGTATGGTTTCTGATTTGCGGCATTTAGTGGTATATTTTATGGAGCCCTAAATTCCTGTAAATTTTCATGGTGATGGGTGTAGTCTAGGTGGAAATTCGAAGTAAAATATTTTTATTTTTCAATTTCTATGAAAAATTGTATCTATGGGGCTTTTCCAGGTACAAAATACAAACCTTAACTCAGTTTCAGGTTAAAAAAAATGTTTGAACCCACTTAGCTCCTATGGTTGGTTCTATAAATTTGTCAGCTCTTCTAAAAGATATCAACCGAAGAAAAGCGGAAAAAAAAAATTCCAATGAAAATATCTCATAGGACAATATTTTTTTAGATTTAGATTATTATTAATTTTTATCATTTAGTAGGGAATTCAGGATACTTTCTCATGGGTAGAATGAACCACAGATTCAGTTATTTGCAAATAAAATTTTTAATCAATTGTTACATTTTCTTCAGCCTCTTTTGAGGGAATTATGTTATATACATAAATGAAATGGGCTTCAAGGAGAAGATTTTAATCAAGTTTCATTAAAATCGTTACAGCTCTTTTGTAATGACAGTCTATACTGACACATATTTGTCAGTCACTATTTTGAAAGATAGGCTGAATGGTAATGAAATGTATATAAAAACACTCCTGAATTTGATTTCAGTGTTGTATCAAAATTTCAAAGCAGTGAAGAACTTTCAGATATTAGTGATTTTGAACAAACTAATATTTACATTTTTATTTATACTATCAGTTTCCAATTGGTTTTTATTGATAATACTAAAGCTTGTCAATAGTTACTAATGAAATAAAAAAATCGATTGAGAAACCAAAGAGAAAAAGATACTGAACTGTTTTGTCTTTGTTTATTTATATAATGATTCTTTTATATTTCGTCTAAATTTTGGTTTTATTAATTTTTCTTATCAAAACTCCAGAATATTAGCTTCTAGTCATAGTAAAGAATACAAGTGCAAATTATCACAAAGTTTTTATAATTAAAAGTGAATGTAAAATAAATCTCTGAATGTAGGGGACATTTTGTATTAAAAACTATACACATTAGATATGATAAAAATATTGGAAATCAGAAATTTCATGTTATGAACATATGCAAATATAAGTTGAGAAGCAGTGTCTGTAACAACACATTATTGATAAATTGCAAGAAAGGAATATTCTAGAGTGTTACTTTTTTAAAAATTAAAGACACTTTTTTTTTTTTAGGAATACATGCAGTCGAAATTGACCTGTTTGTTGGTTCGATCGAATTTTGATTTAACAGAACCAGAAAGGGAAGAGTCAGGAGAAAGCGGCGAAGAACGTGATAAAACAAAAGAAGAAGAGAAAGAAAAAGAAGAGAGTAGTAGTAGTGATGAAGCTGAGGAAATCTTTAAAAATATGCCCACAGTTGGTGAAAAAAGACCGAAAGGAACTAACTTAGGGAAAAAAAAACATAAATCATAATCATTTTGGGCAAGTTGCTGAATCACACCCACCCTTGTTCATTTCTGTTTTATGTTCTTGTTTCATTTTTTGTAGTTATTTATTTTGTGTTAACTGTTATAATAGTATATTTTTTATATTATATAAATAAATTTAACATGTTTTACACAAACAAAAAATAACAAAATGAAAAATTAAAGTAATATAAATGTTTAACATTTTAAAGTTCCTACTTGTAATTATTCATATTTTCACTGTACAAATAAGTTGTTCAACTTGGTGATATGAAATGCATTGGGAAATTTTTGACGTACTTCCAATTGATTTTGTGCATTTTTCAATATATAACTCTATAAGAGTTATGTGCTTTTAAAAATTATGTTTTGGCTGTGTGAATTGATCTAGCTATCATTTTTTTAATCTTAAAAAAAAAGATATATTTTTGGTGATACATTTGTTGAGAAAACTGGGTTTACTCATTTATATAATTGTTTTACTCCGTAATGTAGTATTCTTTTTTGGGGGGGGGGGGAATTCTAAAAAGTAATTTAAATTGCATGAATTTTAAAACTGGATTTTGTTGTTTTAATCAGATGGGACAAAATATCTAATAAGGGATATTTTTCAATGTAGTCTTTTTCTTGTATATTATAATGGTTTGATCTTTCTATTATTTTTTTTTCTAATTTATAAGTGTATATATGTTATTTAATATTATATATATATTCAAGAAAAGTTCTCAACAGTACTTTTGTTATGAAAGTATTATTTTAGACCATTTTTATTATTTAATTAAATTAATTTAAAAAATGTGTTATTTTGATAAGGTTTCAAAATTCCTGAAAATAATGTAAATGAAATAAAATAATTATTTCATATCATTGAACTTATGTTACGGTTAAACAAAACATTTTGGCCATATTTCTTCTTTAAAGTTAATTATCAAATTAATTTTTATTTTATGAAGGTGAATCAAATAAAACCATTTTTTAAATACTTTAATTGATTAATTTCATTTAGACACCATATTTTCAGCATTTCTCATTTAGGTTTCCAATGTGATTTGAAAATTTTTGCCGTTGATTTAGAAGCTTGTTGTCCAGCCAAATGCGAAAATATTCCTAGACATCTTGATTGGTTTGGAATCATTCTCTTCTAAATGATTTTTCAAGATTTAACAATTATCAAGACATGCATATGTAATTAAAAATTTGTTCAAGGATTTCCCAGCGGCTTTCTTCCAACTTCTATATTGTCATGGAGAAGATGGGATCACATCTCATAAAAGCCTCCCTAGTGTTTTGTTCTGTAGGTAGTTTTTGCCAACTGTAGCATTGGTTATTTATTTATCATGCAGATTATTGATGAGTAAAATTCCACTTGATTAAAAAAAATATATATATATTGTTCAGTTGAGAGATTTATCTTTAGTATTTGTGTTTGTGGGGTGTTAAATCTCTACTACAGCCACCTTTTTTTTTCTTCTTTAGTTTTACCCAAATACCTCATAAAAATATTTATTTTGATTGATCAGAGCATTTATAGTGACTAATATTTTTTTATTTCAATGAAATTGCATTATTCCTTTAACCTCAATTAATCAATCAACACAAGATATTAGAGTTTATTTTGCTTGTAGGAAGAGACAGACCAGCAATGAAGCATCCGAATGACTCATAGCACCAACACCCATAGTTATTAAAAGATTCCCACTCTATTCTGACTGGAATTTAAATGCTATAAATTAAATCATAGCTTGCCCGAGTGAGAATTAGTTCCTCTCCTCCAAGCCGTGTGCCTTGGCACACTCTCCCTGCAGTGACTAGAGTCATGTTTAATCCTGAGCTAAGACATGTCCTCGATCCTAGTGCACCCTATGACTTAATGATAAATTTGATAGGTTTGACACTCTATTTTTTTTGTTCAACAAATTGTCAGAAAAGAAGATGAAGATTTTATTTCATTAAGAAATTAAAGCTTTTTCACATGCCTGTGTTAGATTAAAATTGTTCCTCAATATCATTTTTAATTTTTATGACATATTGTCCTTGAAATTCCCCACTGCATTCTCATATTTTACTTGTTTCAATAATTTTCTAATCAATACTATTTCTAACTATTTTTTTTTTCTTATAGTTTCAGTACTACAGAAATAGTAATGCTAGAAATAACAATATTTTTTAAATATTGTCATGATTGTATAGATATATTTTCTTTTTTTTAAATCTTTTCAGAACAATTATTAAATTAAAATGTAACATAATCAGTTATAATATTAAACGATAAGAATAAAACATGTTTTTATTTCTTGCAATTTACATTCATCATAAAATTTCGCTTTAATGCATTAAAAAGGTAGATTTTTTAAAAAGATAATTTATGTTATATATTACAGTTAATATAGTAAAGACCATGTTGATTATTTTTATGTAACATATTCTAAACTGTAAATAATATGTTAGCTGTAAAAATGTAAATAGTGTGTTGATATTTTGAAAATATGTAACAGACTTCTTGTAAATATTGTTCATTATTAATTATTTAATATAACTTAAGTTTAAAATTTTGAAACAAGATGAACCAAGCATTTTGATACTAAAGTTGCCATGTGTATCAATTAACCTTGCCCAAATATTGTTCAAATGAATTTTTAAGAAGTGAAATTTCTGTACAAAAACGAACTTAAATTGCATTTTCTCCCTGCATCGCTAGCAATTATCAAATGTATTGTTCAAATTACCAGGATGTTTTATTTCTTAATTAAATTTTAATGAGGCTTAATTCGTACTTGTACAATGTTTTTTTTTAGTTTGGGTTTTGTATTAAAATCTTAAAAATTATGTATGTATTTTTTTTTTCAATCTAATACTGATTAGTGTTATTGCTTTTAATATTAATGTTTTGAGTACTAAAATTGCTTTTCTCTTTATTTTTTTCTTTTGTAGAATTTTGAAATTAAGGTAAACAAACATTTAGTATATAAGAGTTATGCACCAGTATGTTATTTTTTCAATTGTAAATACAACAGATAAACAGTGTTTGTCGTTTTATTACTTAATTACTTAATGAACCTTTACAATTTGTATGCATATCCAATGATATATTTGAAGACAAAAACAGCCTTTTTATCAGTACGTCTCCGTTTAGAGATCTATTCGATGGCATCGAAGAGCTCCGTACTGATTTTAATAACAACTTGCCCCCTCCTAATGGAAGGTAATCCTTGTATCTGTTTTATCTCGAGTGAAACAGTTTACTGTAGCTGTTTAATGAAAAAACTGTTTAAATTAAACAGATTGCTACTAAACACCCCACCTCTACTGTGAAGCTTCATTGTATCAATTTAGCTATATTTAAAGTGTAACTAGTTATTTTCTTCTTTTTTTATATATTTGAAAAATAATATATTCTGCTGCATTGGAGGGCATTAATATTAGGGCTACATTAAACATTCACACAATATATGCATACAAATGATAACATAGGCAAAAAAAAAAAAAAAAAAAACAAGAGGAAAGGAAAAAATAGAGAAAAGCTAAATGAAATTAAAATATATAAAACACATTCATACCTATATACAATATTTACATTCGCCCAGAGGATTCCAAGTCATGCTTTGTCCCCCAAATGTGGAAGCCAAGGCAGGACCCCAGTGCTTCTCTCCCAGCCGCGTCACTGCTTTTGGTGGTAGGGAAAGTGGAATTGGTGAGGAGAGGAATTTTTCTACTTTTGTTGTATGGATGGAATGGGATTCAGGATGAGGAGTAAATGTACAGGATAGGTGTTTGGCGAATTCCTCAGCTTTGCCTACATCAGACGCCGCCCAGGAGCCATCGCCTCGACGGACGGGATGGGAAATATTTTGGGATTTTAGAATTTTTTTAGTGATATTCAAGAGGGAATTGTTGTGAGCGGAGGTGGAGGTAAGGTAAGAGTTAAAGGATTGGGATTTGAAGTTGGATAATTCTTGCTTGACTTTTTTTGAGTAATAATTATAGGAACGGCGATCTGTGGGATGTCAGGTGCTTTGCCATAACACTCTGGTAGGGCGTTTGGTTTGGATTAACTCGAGGATGTGTTGAGGTAACTTATTTTTCTTAAGAATTATTGGGGAATGATTAGGGGGAGGAAGCAGTTCAGACTGCTTGTTGAATGGTGGTGGTAAAGGAGTGAACGGCATTATCAAGATCTTCAGAGGTTTCCAGGGTTATTCTGAGGACAATTTGTTCGGAAAGGATTTGATGGAACAGTATCCAGTTGACTGGATCTCTGATAAAGGACGATGGAGAGAGTTTAGGAATAGGAGCCAGTGATACTTGGAATATTAATGGACTGTGGTCTGAGGAAAGTTCATCGAGGCATGCAATGGAATAGTTGAGGGAACCTAAACCACTGTGGATGAAGAAATCAAGGATATCGGGATTTCAGTTAGGATCAGTGGGCCAGTAGGTAGGTGAGGTCGGGAGAACTAGGTTAAAACGTTGGGAATTGAGTGCAGACAGCAGTGTTCGGCCGCGAGAATTTGTGGTTCTTGAGCCCCATTGTTGATGCTTGGCGTTTAAGCCTGCACCCAGGATGAAATGGTGTCCTAAGGAATTGAGGAAGGAACTTGGGTATTAGAGATGGATTGGTAAGGAGGGCAATACGCTGATGCAACGGTAATAGGAAAGGAGAAGGTTTTGATTATGATAGCTGTGGATTGCAGTAAATCATGGGTAGGTAATGGGAGTAGGTGGTGAGAAAGGTATTGCTGCACAATGACTGCAGTGCTGGCATATGCTCTACCATCAGCATGGTCAGTACAGTATGTGGAGTATTGTGGTATTTTTAAGGTTTGTTTTTTGGTTAGTTGAGTTTCCGTAATAAGGGCTACATCAACGTTCTTGTCTAGTAGTAGAGCTGTCAGTTCGTCAGTGTGATTTTTAACACCATTTGCATTCCAAAGGAGAATGGATAAGGGTTTGGAGGAAATCATTTAAGAATTTTTTGAGGGAGGGATGAGGTGGGATAATAGATTTGTAAGGAGAGATATCAGTGGGGTAACAAGGGATTTGAATTCAGTGAGGAAAGATGCCAGCAAACTGGTAAGGTCTGTGGCTTGTGATGGAGGAGGAATGTGATGTTGAGGGTTTTGTACTTTAGGAGGGATAGGATATTGAAGTTGGGATTGGGGTTCCTGTTGCGGCAGGGCCTCACATTTGTCAGTTGGGGCTCTGCCTCCTAGTAACTGTGAAAAAGAAACTTAAGAGTCTACTATTTAAGCAGGTCCTCTTCTGGGCTTAAGAGATTTCTTCTTGGTTCCCGGGTTTGCAAAATTTATTTTTGATATTTTTGTAGACTTGGCAGCCCTTGTAGTTGGCAGGATGTCCTTCCAGGCATAAAACACATACAGTGGGAGTAGATTTCATTTTATTACATTCACTAGTCTTGTGTGACTCTCCGCATTTCACGCATCTTGGAATGTGGTGGCAGTAAGTTTTGGTGTGGCCATATGCTTGGCAATTATGACACTGGACGATTTCTCTTTTAGTGTATGGTTTTTCAACCTTAACACTAGTATAGTATAATCTTCTAATTTCATATATTTTATCAACTCCTGCTGAGGGTTCTAAATCTATGAAAAATATGGGTAACGGTATTTTTCTATTAGCACCGGGATACATCTCTTGTCGTTCTTCATTAGATTGGTGACCTGTCGGACTTTGAAACCTTGAGCCGTCAGAGTAGAGGGGTGCAAATTTCGGATTACTACCCTCAATGAACGCTCTTGCTTCAATTGGTAGGTGTGAAAATCTGCCTTTGTGTCGGATAGATATTTAATAATTTGGCGGTATGAATCAGCTGTGGCTGGTGATATTTTAATATCATTAGTCCAGCTTAAACAGGAGTAGCTACTAGGAGTCGTAATTTTATTTAAATATGTGCATAACGGGAAATTTTATAAATTTTTAACGAAGATTGGAGGTGGTGGTCGAGGTTCTCTGGGAATGGGTGCAGATTCCATCGCCTCTTTTTCATTTTGCAGTACTTCGTAAGGATTCGGGGTGAAAATGGGAGAATCATCTAAGGATTGTATCCTTAGATGATTCCGCCTGAGGTTGAGTTTCTTCTGTTGCTTTAGGTGGAGTCGTTCTTTTCGATTGGCAACTTTTTTTTTCACAGGTGATGAACGTGGTGTTGATCCGGTGGAGCGAGATCTCGTTATTTCACCCTTAGAAGACATGAGTTAATGGTAAAATCGCATAATACATCGAAATAAAGTAAAGGAAGAGAAAACAAATAAAAAAAAAAAAGAAAATAAAAAAAATTTTAAAACATGCTGCGTGACCTTGATTTTGTTTCAGTGTCGCGAAAAGACCTCTTCCTTAAGGCCCCAAGCCCAACTGACTACGTTGGGCCAGGTACTCATGGCCGTGCGATAAGGGAACTGACCTCTATACACCGGTTTCACTTCACACGATTATACACAATAAATAACAACTGTACTCACTGTGGCTTAGTGCATATTATAGTCCAGGTGTTTAGCTCACGTATAGTCACAATTTAATTAAAAAATAACACTAATTTCCCAAGAAAAAGTGAATATATCTAAGAGACGAGATAACTGTGTATATTATAATCGCGCATGCGCAGAACTGGAGTTATTTTCTAAAAAAGTTTAGAAATACTTTCAGTGATTCTAATGCTAAAGATAGTAAATGCTAAAATATAATAATAAAGTAAACAACAAATTTCAATATAGATCTTTTATTAATAATTTCAACAATTTATTGAACAATTATACTTTAAAATAAAAGTACTCTTTTTTTTTATAACGATGATAAAATAAATGATAATAAAATGATATTGTTATTTAGGAAAAATAAAAACAGGATAAAACTATTTACATGATGGCTTTAGCTTAAAGACTCTATTTACAAAATAAATGAATGCACATATACATATATAATATATATACACACACTCACTTACGTAGAGAATATTACTCTTCTATTCTTCAGTAACTTCCATATCTTTATCTTTAGATTTTTTCTTCTTTTTCTTTTTCTCTAATTTTACCTAAATTAACAGAACAATTATCAAAAATTAAAAAAAAACTAGTAAACCTCTAACATATCCAATTATATTTTCTGCAAGGTTAAATTATATGCTTCAGCATAAAATTTAGTAAATACTTAAAATTTAAAATATAGAATCTTCCATATATATAGGGTAACATATCAAAGCATATTAATATATATATGTTCATGGTCACAGGGAGTAACTAAATTTTACTCAGTAGGTAGAAGAAAAATAAAATTTAGAATCTCAGAAGTCTTCTGCACATTATGAAAAGTTGGTATCTGAAACTTTAAATCTCTTTGAGGTCTATATGAGAACTGTGGAGCTATGCACTTCTTCAGTGTGCAGAAGGCTTGAAAGATGATTACATAACTCATGAAGACCATTTTTCAATTTATGAAATTATTCTCTACGACCATAGATATATCTATTCAATTATAAACAAACAAATTTAATTTTTGGTATAACTTATATATTTAATTAGTTAGTAATATATATAGATCATCAATCATATATATATATCAAGTCATAAATCATTAACTGAATCAGGGATTAAATTCCTGGAAAGCCACATAGGGTCAGTGAAGTACTCAAGAGTAGTTTTGGTGCATTTTTGACAAAGACCAATAAGGGGCTGAATCCTCCTACCTCCCCCCGAAAAATAACAATATCGTTCTATGCGATTAAAGAGATAATTTTGGTATATAAAAAAACAACAGACCTATGGCCAAAAATGTGCTTTTTGATTTATGTAGAACAGAAACACGAAGGTCTGGTGAAAACTTGATATTTACTAGTTTATAGCACATCAAAGTAAAGTGATTAAATTTCTAACATAAACTTACTTCAACATCATTTTCAATATCATTAACTGCAGAAGAGATGGGTGTTTCTTCTTCCTCTGGCCTTTCAGCATCATTAGCCTTGGACTTCTTCTTCTTTTTCTTTTTAGGTTTTTCACTTGAGTTCAAGAGTTCTTGAGTTGGAGATTGATTTGAAAGTTTCCGCTGTAAAATATGATAAATATATTTACTAAAGGTAATATAAACTGAACATTATAAAAAAATAAGATTTTTTAAAGAAAATAGATGGTAAATACTCACTGAGTTGCCCGGAAAATAATGCAGGATTGTGGTAAAAAAAGGAAGATTTACAAATGTTTTATTTAATCAAAATAATCTACACTACAACAAACATTATCGTTTGGAAGAGGATTAATAAGTTGACATTCTTCATACAAATGAATAATGCAGTTAACATAAATAGTTTGTTATATAGAGCGGTATTTTAAAGAAAACTCAAAATCCTGCATTATTTCTGGACAACCCAATAGAATAAATTGGATGATTTTATAAAAGTAACTTAATTATTTGGAAAGAACCTATTAAATAATAAGAATCTATTAAATAATAGCATAATTTAACCATTCATAGACCAAATTCATATGAAATCCAATTTTAATTATTTTTTGCTTTCTTAGCATCTTATTTTTTATAAGAAATGTACTGATTATCAATTTTTGTAAAAAGAAAAAATCAACAAATTAGAAAGGTTTTTGGTAAGTTATTTAGGAAACATGGCCAATACTGAATAATATTTTATTTGTCATGTATGTTTTCTTTTATCTTATGAAATAGAGGAAATACTAAACGGAAAATTAAGCAAGAGGAGATCTCAGAACATATTTGAATAATTTAAACTCAACTACTGTGAACTTGAAAAAATCATTTCTCAGAAAAAATAATCTCATATATTATTTCTGAATAAATATCCCTTCCTTTTCCAGCTCTCAGAAGTGATGGATTTTGGTTCCTAATTCTATAACAGGACTCAATAAAAGCAGGAGGTTTCAAACCATGTCATGATTACAAATTAAACAGGACTTTCGTTTTTTTGAGTTTCATTTTTTTTTTTTTCAATGGATATTACGCATATACTACTCGCTATTATACGCTAATATACTACGCATATTAGTTATTAAACTGTTTATTGCATTGTAAAGTTTACTACAAAGGATTACGAGATTTTCATGGCCTGCCATAAATAGGTCAAAAAATTTTTTGTACTAATTTTAAGCGGATAATGTTTTAATTTCACAAAGGAAAAATTCATCAAATTATTCACTAATTTAATTTTTTAAATGGTTACATGATAATTTTTTGGAATAAATAGACATTGATACCCAATTATTTAAATAAAATATCAGATCTAGAATGATTAAACTACAGTAAATGTATTTAAGGTTATAAACATGTGCTTTATATATCCATGAAATATTTTTATAATTCACTTCTTCTTTCACATAAGTACTATGAAATAGTTTTGTAAACAATACCATTTCCTTGATTAGGTGGATTTTAAATATTTTTTTCAAACTTAAAAAAAGTTTACATTTAGTTAGTAACTTTCATTTAATTTCCTGAAAAACATGTGATTTCCATTAAATAATATTAGTTTTCACAAATTATTATTTATAATTTTTCGTCACTCTCCATTACTTTCTACGACTGTCTATATTAGATATTGTTTTTTCTAAAATCTCTACTTTCCAACAATATATTATGTGTATAACTCCTGACTAGTATTTCCGGAAATTCATTTTCGACCTCAATAAACATTTTCCTGCAGTATAGGACTTCAGTGGGAGTCCGACGAAAAAAACAAAACAAATTTCCCTTTTTTCTCTATTTTTTAATTAACAAATTCTTTCAAAAGTTATATATAGCATTTTTTTGTAACTCTTAATAATGAGAGATGGGTAATTATTTAAAATAAACCAAACTAAAGGTACTTTTGAGGTAGACATGTTAAACATTTAAGCCTTGCAAAGGGACATCAATGGAGAAACAACCTCAATGATATTAAACAACAATTAATTATATAATGATACACCGGGTTTAATCAAAATCATTGGAGCTGTTTTTGAGAAAATTGTAAGAATGTGTTTCAGCGTTGATATAAAGTGCCAGTGCAACTTCCGGTTAGTCGATTTTAATGAAAAAGTTGCTGTCCATCCAAAGCATACACCTATATTAAATAGGTAATATCAGTTTCGTATGACTTTTGGTTTTGGAGCTAGACTTGCCACATACACACACACATACAGACCATTTTGCAGAACTTGGTTATTTAGACTCAGGGGACCTCAAAACGTGTATTTCCATTGAAAACTTTGATTCGAAAATTTTCACGATTGCAATACTTTCCTTTACTATATAGATAAGTGAAACTAAAAAACTTACCACGTATCACTACAATTCATGAAGGATTGGATGTTCAATATTTAGAAGGAAAGTACTGTTACATGGATAATTAGGAACAGAGGTTAAGTTATTTGACTGAGATCATGCTCAAATATCAGGGTTTTTTTTTCTCCTTCTTTTAATCGAATAACTAAGAATAACCACCACTTTATAGAAGAGAGGCTGGGTGCACTCCAGAAGGGTCCCCAGCCAAAGCAAGACTTGAACCCAGGACAGAGAGAATAAGAGGACAGTCCCTCATGGACTGAGCAGACCTGCTCCTCATGCTACGAAAAAGATTAAGATGAAAGCCAGGCTAGCAATTATAGTAGAGTAATTGCTTACTTAGTCTTAACTGCATAAGAAGTTGTTAATGCTCATAGTTTTAGTATCATTATTTATTATTTTAAATAATAACTTTGTTTTGTTTTCATTTAGAAAAGTAATTAATTTAAAATAAAAAATAAAAGAAATAAACGCTGTGAGCATCAATATAAGTACTGTTTCATGATCATCGGTAATGCAAGGAGGTTCTTGACTGAGATCACGCTTAACCTTCAGATTATTTCCTCTATCAATGAGGAGTACTCGCTTTACAGAAGCTGACTCAGGAGGATCTTTCTATTACAGCCGAACTTGAACCCAGGATCAAGAGAGTAGGAGCATTGTACCTTACACCCTGAGGAGCCCCATTCTCATTGTTACTAAGTATACATTTAATTAATTAAGACTGATCTCGGGCTACAAACTCCATTAGGGTTTCTCTAGATTTTTATTCTATCAACTGATGCATTGAACACAATAAGAAAAAGAACAGCTATTATTGGTTTTCGTTAAATAAAAAGGTCAAATAGCTTATCTTTTATGTGAAAAATAAATGGCATTTTTTCATTTCTAAACCTCGTCTGTATCTGATCAGATCAGTGGTAGAGCTATTAAATTTTAGTTATCTCGTCAACAATTCTTAGCATATAGGCAACAACTTTTAGCACATTTAATAAATAATAATTATTATCTATCAGGCTTCTCATAACAAAGCAAGTATTGGACAGTCGAGATTTCATCCTATTTCAATTTCAAAGTTGACTAATGAACAGTTAAACTGATCAGTTTTAATAGGATTTTCGAGAAAAAAAATTACTTATTCTCGTTGTAAAAATATGGTGTATGGTGGAAAACTTACGTTTACGTTTAATGTTAATAAATAGTTGCTATCTGTGGTAATTAAAGGAGATAGCCACATGAAACACAAAAGACTGCCAATAAAAAAAAAAGTATGGAATGCATGGGCATGAATTAACAATATGTAAATTTAGAACTAAAAACAGAGGACATAAACTTTTCTAACCTTTTTATCAGTATTATCTCCGTCTTCCCACATGGGCTCATCTTTAATTTCTTTCTTGATTGTGGCTTCATTTTTTTCAGAACTAAAATAAGACAAATTTGTAAGATAGATAAAACTATAATAACTAAATTGGAATAGCTCTTGTATGCTAGAGAAAATAATGGATAATATATAGCTCGCTGTTAAAAATTTAACAGAAAGGCAATATTTTGAAGTTAGATGTTGGAAACAATGATTTGTTGTTGAATTACAAAAAATTGAATATACTTGACATTTATAACTACTTATCAATGCTCCTAAATCAATAAATAAATATGTAGAGAAGCTTGTTAATGCAGTTAAGACGATCAAAAAGAGCTTTTGTTATTTTTGTGTTCTGAATCGTTAAGCTTTTCATTTTTTTTAAATTTAGGATGTGATTATCATTCTCTCTATCTATCTCATTATTAATTCTATATTATTTTCTTTAACAATATTCCATCAATTTGAAACATATAATAGATAACAAATAAATTAAAGAGAAGGCTAAAATTAAAGATACTTACGAATAATCTACATATCCTTTCAGCCATTCTGAAGGGGTATTTTCATTTGGTTTGCCATATTTATCGAGAAGTCCCTGTTTAATCAATTGTTTCTTCATTGTAGCCTGTACAAAATTAAGATGAATAAATATACATCAAAAGATCAAGATGAATAATATAGTACTACCAATAATATTTTAACCAAGGCTGGCGCCTAAATCATAAGAATAAATAAAAGTGTGTAGAAAAGAAAATTATTAAAATAATTATTCCAAAGATCTTGATATTAAGAACAATTTTTATAACTTTCATGAGAAAAAATAATTATATAAAACCATACAATTCGATCCTGAAAATGATAAGTAAGCTTATCAGAGCTTTTGAATGAACATTTTTTATTTAATTAAATAACATTAAATTCTAAGTCCAATATGTACTTGACATTATAAATTTGTTCCAGAAATATGGAGAAAATCGGCTATCATAAAACAACAATTTTTACCAACTTTTCTTGAGACACAACAGAGGCTTCTCGAGCTACAAATCTATGTACTATAGAAATGGCTGTTCTAAATTAAGGTCTAGAACAAAGGTCTTAAATGTTTCATACTTAATGTCCATCAACAATCTTTACTCTTAATAGGCATATCAAAGTATATATTTTTTCATATCATCGATTGTTTTTAACTTACACATAAATAGACATTTATACCCATGGCACATATTCCCAAGTGGCCTCCAACATTGCACAGTGGGTATGTTTTTTCACTCTACTCTTATTAGTAGTTGGGTCACAAATAGTCCGTATAATGGTTCTAAAACAAGCCACAGTACTTTCGTGATAGGTAACATACGGGGGTTTATATTGTGTTCATACATTAATATTTTCTCTGCAAACTGGTTTCTCTTACGCCTCAGTTTTAAAAATTATCTTTATCATACATTGCTCAGATATGTACGAAACAAGTATAGTTGGGGCAGCAGAGAACTTTCCCTTGATAGAATATCAGTTGCATCATTCCCTGTAATGCTGCAATGACTGGAGTGTTCTTGTACTAAAAAATATACGAACTGTGTTCTAAACAATTTTTAATTTAATACAACCATTTCTATGGAATATAAATTTGTAGGTCACTCATTATTATAATGGATACTAGGCAAGGACAGTAAAAATTGTTATTATTTGAGTCAATTTTGACCCTATTTCTGGATCAACTTTATCTTATACATATCAAATGTTAGGTGCAAAATTCTATGGTCATTAATTTTTTAATTAAAAATGTTGTAGCTAGGAAGTTTGTGTCAAAGAATTGTGCAAAACTAGCACACTTCTTCTTAACGTCAATAATGCATTTAAAACAATTGCAGCCTAATTAGGCAGTAACAAAATAATCTTACCTTTTTACCAAGACCCCACTTTTTCGGATAGGTATCTCGATCCATTACCACCCTTTTAATTTTTGCTACGAATCCATGATCACAGCTAGCAATCGTAGACGTAGTCATCATGGCAGTTGCTGCAAAAATAGATCACAATAGATAAAAATAGATGTATAAAATTTAGATATATTATATAAATAGAATGTAAACCTAAGTAAACTGTAACAGAAAATATTACTTTTAGATAAAGATTTTGCATTTAATCAAATAATTATTAAGTGAAAAATTAGCAGAACATATTCTCAGCCATACAAAAAAAAAAAAAAGTACAAGACAGAAAAATACTGTTTACACACACACATAAATAGACAAAAAAATAAACAAAATTGCACTGTAAATAAGCGACGGTTATAAATTTCTTAAGTGAAATGCTCGTGGAAGAGTAGATTCAGAAAGTAAACAAAACAACTCAACAGACAATGGAACACGACGAAGATTTCATAGAACAAACTGGTAAACCGACCGATCACTTGTGAATTGACAGATTCTCACTAAGTCAGTGAATCGACGGATTTCAGCTGAGTTGCACTAGGAAATCTTTCAGCCTTATAGCATTGTTCGCTGAGTTGTTTTGTTTACTTTCGGAATCTACACTTCTACAAGCATTTCACACTTCAAACATTCATAACCTGTGCTTATTTACATTATTATTTTGTTAATTTTTTCTCTGTTTGTTTTATTTATATATGTGTAGTTTTTTTATCTCTCTTGTACTTTTATTTTTAATAATCTATTATTATGTAAATACTTAATTTAACATTTCAAACTACAGATATTTATAACCAATGTTTAATTATATCACTATTTTGTTAATTTATTTAATTTTCCTCTCCATTTGGTTTATTTATAAATGCATAGAGTTGTTTTCTCTCTCTTGTACTTTAATTTTAAATAATACTATAGAATCGACCGATTCCGAGTGAATCATGATTCTTTTGTATGAATTAGTTGAGAGTACGATTGTTTCAGAAAAATCGACTCTGATTCGATTCATCTGCCCATCTCTAATGTTAGGTCGAGTTTAATTTCAAAGTAAATCACTATGGAAGATAGAAAATTGATTGAGTGCTTAAAAATACATTAAGATGATCAATACCTATACAAATAGCTTCTCCTTTAGTTGTCATTACAACTATTTCTTCATCCAATTCAATTCCATCCTCATATTTCAAAACTCCTGGTAACATAATTTTAGCACCATAACAAACAGCATTTACCTGAAATCAAAATTTAAAAAATTGTAATTTTTAATGAATTCATACAAAACCAAAAAAGTAAAAAATATGTAGCTGAAAAGTAATGACATTAATCAGGTATACAGGTGTAAGCTAATAAATTTTATGATGAATTGACGTCATTGGTAATACGAAATTGATGGAAAATCAATATTTAAGATTTTAATGAGTGAACAATCTCATTTTTTTTTTTACAGTTAAATTAGCAAAAGTCTCTTTATACGATAAAAATATATAAATCAAAATGTTAACTGATTAAAGGGACAAAAGCCTTCATTTTAATTTTGCAGATCAAAATTTTGGACAAGTTATGGTTGATTATGATAGAATAATTGAGATAATTATTGTATTGTCTATTGGTTAAGAAAATATTTTAAAAACTAACAAACTGATTTGGTTTTTACATTAAAAATGTGTTTACATGTTTCATATAAACATACACAATATTAAACAACACAAATCAACTAACATGGTCATTTATATTGTTCTGTTTAAGAGAAATATTTTGGTTTAAACTATTTTTATTTTGAATGGTAAAAAATCAATAAGAATTAAAAATATTTTTTAAAAACAAAGTAGAAATGCAAATATTAATAATAAGCAACATTAATACCTATACACTTTCAGCAAGCTTTCTTTGATTGGTGCCATCTAGATCTTTTGATTAACTTTTGTCATTACATAACTTTAAATATTGAAAGCTATTATAATATTAAATTTAACAAATCTAAAAATAAATCTTTTCCAACAAATCACTAGAAAAAGTACAATAAAATAGAAAAGAAAATTACCGCACTATCTTTCATAACAATCCTTTTATAATGGACAAGTAATCCTTCAAGCGGTCTAATAACCTTCCTGAGATAGCTTTCGTCACGATGATTATCATAAAGCCATTGAGCATCCAAAATATCATGCATCGTATACATTCCACTATCTTCAGAATTGAAACCTAAAAATTTTCAAACAGATTAGAATTGATTTACACCGGAAAAAGAAGTAGGGGTATAATTGTTTGAGATTTTTTTCTCCAACTACCTCCTACCTGACCATTTCTGGCACACAGAAGAGTTTGTTTTAGAGGTACAACCAAACCTGTTCAACCAAGATGGAAAGATCGAGATCCATGAGAAAGTTTAAGTTTACATGGTTGGCTATCACAGCCTCGTTTGAGAGACATAGGAAGTCTACTATATCTTATAACTATAATACTTTGTTACACTTAAAACAAAAGTAAACAGAATATAATCTCATAATAACCTCCAACACGAATTCACAAAATTAGCTCATCTGACAGACCCAAGACTGTGTTACATTGAGTATGCTAGTGGCCATATGTAACACAAAAATCTTTAATAAATTTTTCAACTTTAACACATTCAAGAGTTTACAATACCTAGAACTGGTCGCATGATTTCTAGTATATTATAGTCACTCAAAGATTTAATTAGGTAGTAATAAATATTTTAATTTTTTTTAAATATTAACATTATGTATTAAACAAAGTATTTAGTAAACAAGCTAACACGAATTAGTGTAAAAACAAAATGAACTTCTTATGAGTTTCAATTAATGCCACATCTAATTGTTAGCAAATTAAACTGCGTGCCATCCCAAGAAAATCAATTTCTACAAAGACATTAAGTATGATTAAAACTAATCCTATTCTAACCAGAATGGAAACATCGATTTATCCCACAAAATAAATAAATTTCAATCAAACTATATCAGAATCTAACCGGTGCTGCAAGACTCAAGAATGTAAAAGCTTCCACCATCAAGTATTATGGTGCCTACAAAGTATTATAATCCGTTTTAACATGAGAGGTTAGGTTTAAGAATCTATTGAACCTCTAATAATTTAATAATCTATAATAAAGTCTTGACAGATTTTATCAATTAATAACCCAAAACAAAACTTTAAAAAAAATTATATTTTATAATTGGAATAATGTTAATTCAACAACATTAAAAGCCTGTAAGTCCAACTTAAGTATTAGATTAAATCACAATTTAGTAAATAATTTTACTTAATGTATATATGTATTTTATACAAAAATTATACATAAAATCTGCATTCGACTTGCCTGATTTATTTCTTCGTAATTCGATCATTTGACCACCAACTCCTAACAATAAACCTATATGCACACATATGGTACGAATATATGTACCAGCTTCGCATTTCCACCATGCCACACCTAGAAAATTAAAACAATTCATTACAAATTACTTCCATAACAATAATAATAATAATAATAAATCAATAAAACAAAAACCTATTCTTTTAGCAGGATCGTAATCAATAAGTTTGCAATCATAGATTGTTCTAATTCTCAACTGTCTCTTAACAGCAGAAATCAGAGGAGGCCGTTGAAACTGAGTAGATTTAAAGACATCCATCGCCCATTTCACCTGTTAGATTATTAATTAATATTATTGAGACATACTTAACAATATCTAAATAATAATAAATTAGAGGATTTCTTCATTTATTCAATAAAACAAATACATACCCGATCTTTATCTTCAACAGCTTCATGAAGTTTAAAAACACTAATATACTCTTTACCCGCTGATTGTTGTGATTTCACAAGCCGGGTGGCTCTCTCAATACAAACAACTAAGCAACCTGAAAACAAATATATGAAATTTAAACAAAAAAAAAATTTAGTCCCTTCAAAATTTAAGGTTTTTATTCTAAGATAGAAATAATCTGAAAAACAAATTTAAAAAATGTACGTCTGTGGCTTTTCTCACTGACTACTGGGCAGATTGTTTTGAAATTAATTATTACAGTCAGATGTCACCCGAGGAAGATCCTCAGAACCTGACATTACCATGTATCTTTTTTAAGTCTTCTCCTTGAACTCCTATAAATTAAAGTACATTAAAAGAAGTTATTATGAATGCAGAATTTTGTTTGTAAATAACTCAAAAAAATGTACTTTAATTGTGATGTTTAGAAGCAAATTTTCAAAGGTAAAATTAAATTCCCTAAAAGGGTAAAAACATGATATACTTCCTCGAATATTAAAAATCAAAGTTCTTAACTACAACGTCTTGATCAAATTTACAGAATGTCTTAAGCCTTGATAGCTAGTAGTAGTGGAATATTGGCTTTTTCAATGTACCCTGATTTTTTTTTCACGCAATTTACAAAATTTTTAAGTTTTGGACAATTGTCATGCTTATTCTAAAACTCTGTGAGCTCATTTCCCAACTTATATAGCTCTACACGTGAAACTTCTCAAACAATCTTTAATAGAGTTTGATGAAGAAACCAAAACCATTATATGAGAATCTATATGCACTAACTTATGACAAAAAAAAATGGAACAAGAGCATTGCAAATAGAGTTTGATGAAGAAACCAAAACCATTATATGAGAATCTATATGCACTAACTTATGACAAAAAAAAATGGAACAAGAGCATTGCAGAACTTCTAAGCAACACCTCCATTGAACAATTGATCAACATTGTTAAAAGAGCTGCAGATACCGAAAATGTTTCTATAAACAGCATGTTGAGGTTGCAGTATATGGAACAAGTTTAAGGGACCCTTCTCTACATTCAAGTAGATTGAGTTGGGAATTGGGAATTACATTTATAAAGTGTTAAATCAATCATGTCTGACTTTCACTTTCGTGCAGCAGGTCAAATTTTTTATGTGAAATGAGCGGAGAAAGAAACAGTAAAAGAAAAATATGGACATGAATTCAAAAAATGTAATGAAGGCTATTAGTGAAATGGTAGCAGACAGGATCATAGAAGAAACTATTGTGAAATTCATAGAAATAGTAGGAATTACACAAGGTCAAGGTATGACTGATTCTATTTTATCAAAATGGATTTATTCTTGATATGGAATCATCAGAAGTCTTGGGAAATTTCTGACAGCAAAGTTTTTTGTTCTCAGACCAACACATAGAATTTTCAGTCATTGAGACAAGCACAAGATGAATCTGATCTTGCAAAGCTATCAAGTTGGTTAATGCTTCATAATTATTTGAATGAAATACAATTAGAAATACATCGTTAATAAGAAGTGATACAGTGGTATTGAATCCTCTGCAGTTGTTTACTAGGATTGCTGCAGAGCTTAAATCAAGTGAACATTTACGATGTTATAATGAAGGGCAGGAAATGGACATCTGAATTTGAATTGACCAATGAAATTGTGAATCAGATAAAACAAAGATTGTAGTTATGTCTTAAATAGACATAACTTCAATCAAGTTATGTCATACGTAATGATTTCCCTGCTATTTTGCTGGCACCCATGTTGATGGAAAACAAGGAAGAGTGAGAAGTATAAATAAATAAGGTGTTGAATATTTAATAAAAACTTGCTTCAAATAAGTATTCTATATAACAATAATTCATTTGTTTATGAATATTGTGTAACAATAAATAAATAATAACAAAATTGTATTTTTTGTTCCATTGTTACAAATAATTTATAATACAAATAATTCAACAACATACAAAAGAATATTAACTAATTACAATAAATGCATTGATTAATTTTCAAATCCATGAGGCTACCTATGATAAAACAGATAAAACTAACCTGATGTCTTGGGATCTAAGGTCCCTGAATGTCCTGTTTTCTCCACACGAAGAATTCGTTTGATCCAGGCAACAACTTCATGAGAACTTGGATTGGAAGGTTTATCAAGATTTACATAACCTGATCGAATATAATCAGTGATGTTTCTTTGTAACGGTGAAGAACCATGAGTCAGTGGTGTAAAATGATTTGTTTTGGTGTGCAACTGGGTGTAGTTCTGAAAAAAATAACAAACAATTAATAAAATAACATCTTTAAAAAAAATCAAAATGGTTATAAAGAAGTATATAAAGTTAAAGTAACAATTATGATAAAGACAATTGTCTCTCATTAATATGAAATAGGTGAGCGACCAAATTATTCCGTTTGTATTAATTAAATTCGGCTCAAATTTTTAATATATAATGTAAAATTACAAATCCAATAAAATTTGTATTTTTAAATAAAAAAATCTTAGGACAACTGTTTTTTTTGTTTTTAGCCAGTTACTGGTGCACAAATATTATGGTATTATAATCTCACTCACAGTTTTTGTAGGGTATAGCTATTTAAGTCACAATTAAGGTGTTACAGAGAATTGTTTACTATATATTTGTACCTAGTTTGTATTGGCACATAATTTTGCTATAACTGAATATTTTGTATTAACTGGGAGATTTAAAAATATGACAGGAAATTATTATTGGAAGCTATTTTGGACAGAGCTGAGCTAATACGTCATAAAATTTTTTGTATTAATAGTGTTCAGGGATCAACACATTAAATACAAAAAAAAAATTAAAACAATTCTGAACTTCACCACCATTTTACTGGCCTCCATTTTTCTGAAAACTTTTCCTGTTCAGTTAATCCAATTCCTTTGGTGAAGTGTGCACACCGTCAATTACTTTCTTCAGAAATCACAGAAAAATGAGTTACTAAACCTAAGAGAACAACCTGGAGGAGGATAAGCTTTTTTATTTTTTTCTCCTTTATTCAATTATCAAATTCTTTCAAAAAATATATTTAGCATTTTTTCATAACTTTTAATAATGAGAGATAGTTAATTATTTGGAATGAACTAAATTAAAGGTACTTTAGAGGAAGACACATATGAACATTGGGCATTTAAGCCCTCTAAAGTGACCAACAGGGATAAGACCTAAACAGTAATAAAGACCACTTAATTATACAACAATACACTGAGTTTAATCAAAATCGTTACAGCCGTTTTTGAGAAAATTGTAAAAATGTGTTTCACCATCGATATAATGCACTTCCGGTTAGCAGATTTTAAGAAAAAAGTTGCTAGGACATCATAGGTATATACCTATCTTAAATACTTAGTATCAGTACAACTTTTCGTTTTCAAGCTTAAGTGTTCACACCCACACAGACCATTTTTCAGGACTTGGTTATTTGGACTAAGGATACCTCAAAACGTCTATTTCCGTTGAAAAGTCAGACTCAAAAATTTTCATGATCGCAATACTTACCCTTACTATATATTACATATATGAGTAAGTGAAAGTAAAAATAGAAATATTTATTTTATCTTTTAACAACAAAATTGTTAAGTGCACAAATTCCATTTCTTTTCTTTGAATTCGGTAATATGCAATATAATCAATGTTTTGAATCATTCCTTTAATATAATCATGTATCAAATTTCAGTGATCCAACCTCACACAGTCCACACCAATTATCAAAGTTTTGCAGAACTTATATTTTTAAAAACTATTTATTTAAAAGTTCTGTTGATTTCATTAAAAAAAGAAAGGGGAGCAGCTAAGAGTACAAATTAATAATGCAAAATTTAATATTCACATTAACAGTTGTACAGTAAAACATATGTTCTCAAATCATGATTAACTTACTGAATCCCACCCTCATTTCGAAAATATACAAAGACCAAAAATAATTTTAATTTGACTGTAGGATTCTAACACTGGAGGGTATTTTATTCTATCTAAATTGCAACATTGTCCTAGTAAACTTGCTGAGTTTGTCTTTTAACCAATCGTAACATTTTTTTTGCTCCCTAACTACCAAGGTAGGAAAGCTTTATATTCGTGTGAGGTTAAAAAAAATGTTGCGCTCAAAAGTGAAAATTTCCACTGGTGTTTCACGTTTCAGACATCCAGGATCAAATTTGGTTCGGTATCTGTCTGCCTGTAGTCAAATCGATATAAGTATATCACCTACTACAGTTTATCCAATTTTCAGGAATTGTGTGGGTTGGTACCTAGATGGTCCCATATCAACTTAATCAAATTCAATCCAGCACTTCCGCTTACACAAATATATTTTTTTAGATATACCAGAATTTAAGAAAGGGCTGGTTCTATATGGCTTGAAGTTGGAAAAAAGATAAATATTGGTAAACATTTGTTATCACATTCGTTCACAGATGGGGCATTTAGAAGAGAAATTAGGATATTATTTCAAACCGGGCTAGTTTCAAGCAATTCGATACAAATTTGACCAAGCATTGAACAATCAGCCAAAAAATGAACTGGTAGGTAACAGAGTGGACAATCCGTATATCCCCTGTCAAATGTCAAAAATATTACCCACCAATGATTTCAATAACAACAAATTTTCCATATGATATTGAAATTTTGAAAAGACACATAATTCCATGCCCTAGAAGACATCAGAAAAGTATTAACACAAATGATAAATGGGTGAATACATATATATATATATATATATATATATATATATATATATATATATATATATATATATAATTTTTTTTTTTTAATTTTTAAGATGTGTCAATATATATATATATAGTGACACACCTTAAAAATTAAAAAAAAAATTATATATATATATATATATATATATATATGTATTCACCCATTTATCATTTGTGTTAATACTTTTCTGATGTCTTCTAGGGCATGGAATTACGTGTCTTTTCAAGATATATATATATATATATATATATATATATATATATATATATATATATATATATATATATACATACATCATCTTGTAGTGTTCTACAAGTCAACTTCTGCAAATTGTTTAACAACAATTCCTAAAAAATTCCTTTTATTTTTTAAATAAAACCAAATAATAACAGACTAATCTTTTGATAAAATCATGTTCTTATGACACCTTGTCCTGTTATGAAAATTATTGGATTTTCAATAGGCAGCATTGCCTTATTAATTATTACACAGATTATATAAAAAACTGAAGAGGATCCCATTATTTATGTTAAAAAACAGAGATCAAACGTTTTTGAAAAAATGGAATAAACAGAAGTTGTTTTAAGTCATCTAAGTGTATTTCATGAGCTATTATCCGATTTTAATACATATCTTCAGTTATCATATATATATATATATATATTAGTATATATATATATATATATGAAGATATGTATTAAAATCGGATAATAGCTCATGAAATACACTTAGATGACTTAAAACAACTTCTGTTTATTCCATTTTTTCAAAAACGTTTGATCTCTGTTTTTTAACATAAATAATGGGATCCTCTTCAGTTTTTTAATTGAGCATCGATACTCAATTAAGTGGACTAATATATATATATATAGTGACACATCTTAAAAATTGAGAGAAACAAGAATAAGTAAACTTATTTTGTGGTGTACCGACATTTTAAGTCAAATTGTAGGTCTTTAACAGGACAACAAGCAAGAATTGTAGTGTTCTACAAGAACAAGCAAGAATTGCAGTGTTCTACAAGTCAACTTCTGCAAATTGTTTAACAACAATTCCTTAAAAATTCCTTTTATTTTTTAAATAAAACCAAATAATAACAGACTAATCTTTTGATAAAATCATGTTCTTATGACACCTTGTCCTGTTATGAAAATTATTGGATTTTCAATAGGCAGCATTGCCTTATTAATTATTACACAGATTATATAAAACTCATCCTTGGAGTTTTTTAAATTGAAAATATTAATAGAAGGGCAGAAATGAGAACATTTTTAGCAACTCTTTTGAATAATCTATTGGTATTACAAGTAACATTTTATATATTAAAGAACTCATTTCAAAATGAAGAAACCGCAGTAATTTATTGTTATAATGTTTAACCATAAAAATAACATAAGTTTAAACTGAAATTGATTTGGCTACAATTGGTGGTAGAGGTAATCGAAGGTTTGAAGACCCCAAAACTGAAATATCAAAAGTTATTGTTTCTCTTAATAGGTGTTAAGTGATAAAAAAAACAACAAAATATATATATATATATATATATATCTTCAACAAGATACATCTATTTAAAGAAATACTGAAAAAATCACTACAATTTATCTTGTTTTGAGTATCATCCATAAAGGTCAAAAACGATTGATCGAGTGGTTTTTAAACCAAGGTTAACCAACTAATCCTTATAAAAGCAAAGAAGTTCTTTTAATTGTATGTACCAGACTGAATATTTACTATTCCATATGTGAAGAATATGACAACCAGAGTGAAAGCATATCAATAAAAGAAAGCTAAGACATGAAAATTGTGGCTTTGATAAATATAGTAAATCAATAAATGAAAAACTAAGTACATGAATAAATAGAGAATATCCTAATATATAATTAATACTGGTAACTACAGCCTTTAACAATCAAAGCAAAGACTGAAGAAAGGTGGGGGGAAAACATGCCACCTAAGATTTCAAATTAAGAAGAAAGATAAAATGGCATAAATACCAAAAAAATATTACCTTCATCAGAAGGGGCCAATGTGCACTGTGAACTTCTGGTATTTCAGTTGATGGTTTAATATGAAATTCACCTTCATCTGTAAAATCTTCAAGACTCTTCATTTTTTTAGACTTTTTCTTTTTAATTTCGGTTTCTAAAATAACGAAAATAGTTAATGACTTAAAATAACATAAATTAAATGATATTAGAGGGGAAGCTTACCCATTTTCAACAAAGCCAGAACCACTACCAAACTGGAGAAGCACGTGCTATGCAAGCCGCCGGGTGTTTACTAACACTACATCGATATACAAAGAAGTAGTGTGTCATAACATGTGTACTACTAGCAATATAACAAAGAGGTACAGAGAATTCGGATAACTTATTGTTGCATGTTTAACATCAAACATTAAAATAAATTGTTAAACATAAATAATGCTAAAATATATTACTTGAATAAAGACAAAATTATTTCTTTCAATTTCGATATTAGCCTTACTGGAATCGATAAGTAGCGAGCAGGTTATTATTCCGTGAAGTTTTCAAAGTGTTATATTATATAGTAAATTTTAATTTTAAGATTTTACAGTTTATTAATCGTGAAAATGCCCAAAGATAGACATGGGAGGACGAGACTGTCAAAAAGTGTTCTTGAAATGAAAGTACGTTTTATAATGTTACAAAATTCCTCAAAATCTATAGATTCTATAACTAATGATAAATATTTGAGGATGTCTATTAAAGATATTAATTTATCAGGAATTAAATCGTAGAAAATGTAATAATTATTGAAATAGTTTTTGATAATAACTCTAACTTCCAACTAGGTCTAACTTAGTGAGTGAATAGAAAATTTGAACTTTATCCTCAACAATCTTTTTGGTTTGAAATTCCTATTTTGTTTTAGAATTGATAACAAATAAATTATTATTTATACACAAGTTAATAAAATATGGAATTTTGTTTTTACTTTAATCATGACCATTTTATGTATTAATTTCATTTGTTACATTGTCTGATGAGTCTATATAAATTTTATGAAAATGTTCTTCAGTCTTTTCTGAAAGAAAATTATAAAATTTTGTAAATATTGATTGATATTTACTTTACACAAATCAGTTATCTTCACGATTACATTTATTTTTCCATAGCTCATTTATGTACTTCTGAGAAATAAGTTCAGTCTTCTATGTGATTTCTGCTATTGAACTGAATGTTCTATTACACTTTATTAATTCTACTAATTAAAATTTTGTAAATTCAATATCTGGACAGTAAACTTAACACATGACGAATCAACTTATTACATACTCTCACTGTAAACATGTATTGGTCAATGATGAATAAGAGCTGTGTTCTTCTTTCTCAAGTGATGCCTCCCTATCATTTATAGAATATCTTACAATTAGATGGATTAACTGATTTATTCTTACATTTTTATCTGTAGAAATTTGTTAATTTTTACTTATTCAAGGAATCTTCAACTATAAACATAACTTTTTCTTTAATTTTATTTCAGTGTTATAAACTCCTATATTTTAATAATTAATACAGGTTTAAAAATCAAATTTTCTTTTTTTTTAGTTTATGCAAAGAAGTAAACAACGAATCTTGGCTGAGGAGGAAGCTGATGAAAGTAGAGCAGTTCATGAAACGGAAATAACTGAAGAAATGAAAAATGCTCAGTAGGTTAAAAAAAATCTATTCTGTATTATTACTAGAAGTATACTTATTGTTTTTATTTTAACACACTTATATATACAATATTATTACAATTAAAAAAATTTTCATCACTGTTACAGTTTGAATTTGAGATTAATTTTTCAAGTTTTGACACAAAATTAAAGAAAGGAGACATTCAGTTTTCTGATGTGGCATTAGGCTTCAAGTTTTAATCAGTCTTCAACTTCATTTAATTTCCTTTGTTTTTGCTTCCTCACTACCCAAATTAGGGAAACACATTTTACTTTCACTTACATATATATATATATATATATATAATATGTAGTATGGGGAAGTATTGCAATCGTGAACATTTTTTAATCTGAATTTTCAATAGAAATAGACGTTTTGAGGTCCCCTGAGTCCAAATAACCAAGTCCCGCAAAATGTTGTGTGTGCGTGTGCGTGTAAACAGCCTAGCTCAAAAATGAAAAGTTGTATGGTAGTGAAATTGTCCTTTTAAGGTTTTTATAATTTCTAGGAGAGTAATATATATGATATATTATATATTTTTATCAATTTTATGCATGTTTCTAATTTAATAAACAATTAGCTTGAACAAATCTTGTTTTATTTTTTGGAAACTTCAAAGTTGTAAAATTCAGAAATATTTATGTTTAATGTATGTTGAAGAATGTGTGTATTCTAGGGTTAATATAGTTCTCGGACAGATTTTTAAGAATGGTGCTAACACTTTTTATTTTATTCGTTAATAATGATTGGTTAAGAAGGGATTAAAAATTGTGTAGTGTCACTTTTGTTTACAAATATATTTTTTTGTGTCAGGTGAAAACATGTATTTACATGTCTTGACTGGGATTTTAAAATGATCAACAATTTCAGCATTTATAATTTTCTTTAACCATTATAACTGCTGTAAAACTAACAACCCTTAAAGTTTTCAGGATTTTTTTTTCAATCAAAGTGACTTAAAGAAACTGAACATTAAGTTTTTTAATGAACCATGACTTATTTTAACTTTCATAATTTATATTAAGACTTAATGTTATTTTGAAGTCAACTGTGATAAATATATTAGTGTCCCCTAAATTTTTCCGCACCGTGTTTAGTATGACCTTCAGCCGGCTGTTTGTAAACATGCAGACTCACTTATATATTGTCCATTTATGGCGTCGATTTCAGTCTCACAGCTCTTTCAAAGTACACTTCATTGGTAACAAAGTCTCCTTGAAAATCTTTTCTCTCTTCCCTTCCATCCCCCCAAAAAAGGAAGAAACTTATAGGATATTCTAATGTTTATGTAGTATTCTTTACTTGTATATTCAAACTTATAGTCTAATTTATGAATATTGCGTCTAATTTATTAATAGATAATTAATATGTAGTTTATTTTTCAGGAACAAATTCGCCATTGTCTCAAGCTATGTCCCATGTCAAGATTTAATTATAGGGAGAGTTTCCTATGGGGGAATGAATCCAGAAATTGAAAAACTCATGGCTGGGAAAGAAGTTGAACCAGTCCCTGATCAATCTAGTATGGAGAGGGATATTACAAACTGGGAAATGCTGAAGCTTAGCAGTGTTGCTCAAAGTATGGCAAACAAGTTTTCAACAAAAAAATCAAGAAACAAAGCAATGAAACGATTGAAAAATGAAAAATAAAGAGCTCATGTTCATACAATCTATTTTAAATATAATATTGTACATAGGATTTATTTTACGTATGAGATGAAATATACATATATTACATGCAATCTTAAATGCTATCTTAGGATACCATAATGTTTCAATTTTTTAGAATCAAGTACACCAACACTACATAAGCAAACGAGTGCAGCTCCTTGTTCTGCCCAACGTTTATTTTTCTCCCTGAAAAGTAAATACTGTTAGAAAATATAAATTGGGAAACAGAATAAGTAATACAGACCTTATAAGAGTTATAACCAATGGATAGTTTCTTCAAAAGCTACCATGGCCTCAAGAGTTAATGAAAATTACTAATTAAAAATAGATTTAAATAATTTTTTAGCAGCTTTGTGTCTACCTCTTGTGTTTATTAGTTCTCTGTTTCGAACAACACGAGGGACTCCAACAAGCTTGCTGGTTATCAGTGAAGCACTAAACTAATATAAGTAAAGTAATTTTCAAAGCTAATGAATTTTATTAAGTTAGTAGTTTTAAATTAGTTTCAGTAATAAATAAGGAGAAGTGTTCAGACCATTAATTATACTGCCATATATAAAAGTAATATGATTTCCCGGTATTCTAAATGATCTAAATTATCTCAAGTTTTATGCTAATGATAAAAGAGTTAAGGGAGGAATAATGAATAGTTTCCTGTCTCGAATTATTATTTCTTACTTATTATAATACTTCCAAAAATAGAATTTCAAATAACAAATTTATCAAGGGGGGAAATTATATATACAAAAAGAAATAAAAAAAAAACCAGTATTATTGAAAATAGTTTTAAAAAATTACCAGAAAGATGACCTGTATTTGTTGCCATTAACAGTTACAGTTGATTGAAAAAGCTTATCAACTTGCTTAGTTTCATAAAAAGGAATTTTATAGCCCTGACTTTTTGTCCACATTAGAAGTTTACTTTTGGGAAGATCAGGATCTCTTGGATAAAGACTCCTTAAAAATGATATTTCCATTTCTATTATATCTATTTCATTACAAGGTGGTTGATAGTTTACTGGACAAACATCTCGTCTTCCAATTAAGCCTTCATTTTGTTGCTTTTCATGAGTTGTTTCAAAATAATCCTGCATATCCCACAGTTCACTATAAATAAAAATTATATATTTATAATTTTGAAAAAAAGAGTATTTTATGTTCATAATTATCAACTATACACTACTACCGTCTACAATTATATCGTCCAATGGAGCAGACACAAATTTTTTGGTATTATAAGGAATAAGGAAATTTTGTTAACTTTCTGAGGACTATTTTATTTGCGACTCATTTCTTATAATAGAAAACAGAGTGTTTTGTTGAGAAACTTTAAATAAAAGAGAAAAATTGTGACCTGCCATTCGTAATACATTTAGCTATTGGTGATGAAATAAACTTTTTAACAAAATTTAATTAGAAATAGAAGTTATTTTTATCAGATTTTTAACTTCCTACTATTACTATATTAATTTTATTATTTAATTTAATTAATTTAGTAAACACTATGAAATAGGGTATAGGGTTCATGGTAACAAAGAAATTCAATAAAGATATATTAGACTTTAAGAAAATAAATAATAGAATAGCTATTTTGGTTCTGAAAGTCACCAACTATCAATCATACGATTGCTTGCACCTACTATGTCTACTCCTAAGAGGGAAATTGACATTCTTATTGAGAGCTCAAAAGAAGTTGGTCAAGTTTGAAAAGGAAAAATAATTGTATTATTGTAATAGTAGACTTCAATGGACATATTGGAGAAAGATTCGAAGCAGAAGGCATAATGTGGATAAATACATTTGGAAGGAGGAATGAAGGAGAAACCAGAATAATCAACTTAGCCAAAGTCTGCATATTAGAAATACATATTTAAAACAAAATGCATAACAAATGAGCATGGATGTCATCAATAGGTCAAAAATATAAGATGATCAATTTGCTAATAAATCAAATTGCTTTAGTGAAAAACCTTGAAGTTATTAAGAGCCTAAATTTCACCTCAGATCATATAATGATTAGAGGAAAAATACATTTAAAGAAAGGCGACCATTAAAATATGTTAACAGGGAATTGAAATTACAAAATGAAGAGGTAGTAAAAATATTTAGGAAAAAACTGGAAGAGACAATTGAAGAATCAAAGGAAGAAACGACCTAACTAACTCGGGATACAAGTAAAATATAGCCAAATGATACCAATTATTAAAGAATGTTCCACCAATCCCCAAACACTTTCAATAAAGTCAAGATTGAATTAGCTCTCACCAAATACAGTAAAACTCTTCAGATTAAGGTGGACTCTTGTAGCCTAAATCATTTCTTGTAAATGATATATTACAAGGAAAGACGGATGCAACTGCAATCACTGAAATCAATAGACTATTAAAGAAGACCTAGACAACTACAGGAAAAACATGATCATTAATATAATGCCAAAAAATAAATCAATTTAGCAACTTAAAAGATCTCTCATTTGGATAGGTAACCTTAAAAATAAAAATAAAACCTGATCATAGCAAGAGCTGACATATCAAAGGTAGCAACAGAATTCTTCATGGCTTTATATAAAAAAGATGGAAAAGGAGCTGAAGACATTTCCATAAATTTAGGAGAGGATGATGAAACAGTTCATAATAATAGATGAAGTAATAAAAACAATAAAAAATTTAAAGAATGAAAAAGCCCAGGACCTAATGGTGTAAAGAATGAGTTTCTACAAGCAGGTGGAGAGATATTGGCAAAAAAATTATTAGAATTATTTAATTTAATTTTGGAGAGAAAAGAAGTTCCTGGACAATGGAAATTAACAAAAATTGCTATCCTGTTTAAGAAAGACAATAGAAAACGGTTGGATAACTATCAAACAATCTCATTGTACTCTACAATCACAATATTATTTTCAACCACAGTAAAAAAATGCTTAACAAAACAGATTATGAAGACTATAACTATTGAACAAGCTGGATTCGAAGCATATTCAAAGCCCTCAGGACTATCGGAATACAGAACAGATATATACAAAGATATGTCAGCATACATTGAAATGGATAAAACAAGAAAATCTTTCCCGGTGGAAAAATGTGTGAGACAGTGCAAGCAACTCTCCCCAATTCCCTTCATTTTGGTCCTGTAGTTAGTTTTCTGAAACCTGGATTGAGAAGAAAAAGAAGGAGTTAAAGTAGATGGGAGGTGGTTAAACAACCTACGCTTTGCAGATGATATTCTGCTTTTTGCTACAAATAGAATATAAATGATGCACTATGCTGAAGGAACTAATCCCAGAATGTAAAAAAGTAGGCTTAACCTCAAATTACAATAAGAAAAATAGTGAAGAAATAAGAACAAGTTATATTTATATAGAATACACAAATGAGCAAATCTACCTGGGGCACCTTGTTTTCTTCACCGATAGAACCAATGAAGAATATCAGATTTGGAAGAAATACTGGCCCCTAAAATGTATTATGAAACGTCTGCCAAGTAAAGTCAGTATAGCTTCCTCACCATTTTCATTGGCTAAAAAATATCTGTATTACAAGGTCTAAAATTTTTCGTATGAGAATAAAATCTGTGGGACAAGCTGTTTTCGGAAATTCAGTAATACCTCAACATATGTAGGTTTGATTTCCATGGGCTTTGTTCAACAACGAATATTGAAATAAGAAACAGTTCTAATTTACTGATTGCATATTTGATAATTCATGATTGGAATAAAAATTCCATTGTATACTGAACATTAATTTGTGTGAAAATTGAGTGTTTTACATGAGAACATTAGAATTGCATTAAATGAGAACTAATTGTTTCTTTATGATTTATTAGTATAATTTTATATTTTATTGTCCTTTGCTATTTTCCAACATAGCAGACTGCTTACATCAGTTGCAAACTACAAAATACAACCTTTAGCACAAATACAATATTGTTGAACATTTTAACATACGACCTTTTGCTACTAACAGTAGTGATATATACTTAATAGGCATGTTTTCACTCATAAAATGGATGAAACAAAAAATCCATAAGAAAAATTTAAATGTTTGTTTGTTCCAAATTAACAAGATCAATACTTTTTTCAGTCAGAACAAAACTAATTTAGCTGGAATTCGATAGTCCCTTCTTCCGAAGACAGCAATTCCCACAATGTAATAACGTCCATAATTTGAAGAAAATCACACAAATGGTACAAAAATAAACAATGGAATAACTTATACCTTATAAGAGATGAGAAGGGAGGTTATGTGAGGAGCTTAGCAAACCCAAAGGTTCGATGCCGACACCACCAATTGATGTCTACATTCTTCCATCTGCCGGCCTCCATCTAAACCCAACTCCACCAGATCAGCCTTCATGCAATCATCCCACCTTTGCTTTGGTCTACCTCCTTGCTAGTCAATACAGCACATATTAACTTTTTAGGAATTCTTTCGTTACTGACCCCAGCGATTTTATATGCTCATTTTATTCGCCTCAACTTAATCATCTCAATTATATTAACCAGATACATTTCACGCAATTCAGTATTGTGTAACCGCCGAAAGTCTCCGGTTGACTAATCCTTTTTCGGTCCGAATATTCTGCGCAATACTTAATTTTCAAAAACCTTAAGACGTAGCTCATCCCTTAATGTAAGTGGCCACATTTCGCATCCATAAAGAACCGTAGGAAGGATAATGGTTTTGTACATTCTAATTTTTAAGTTTCAGGACAGGAGGTGAGAACTAAGTAGTTTTGACAATGAAAAAGAACAAGCATTTCCTGTCTTCAACCTAACCTTAATATCCTCTTCAATTTCGTTTTTTTTTTTTTTTGAGATCGTAGACCCTAGATATCTAAAATTCTGTATGTGTTCAAACACATTATCATCGAAATTGTCACTGTTTTTGGAGCTAACCATATATTTTGTCTTATTTGTATTTATCTCGAGTCCTATTTCTTTACCGGCTTTCATCAAGCATATAATTGCATAAGTGAGATAAAAAATTTAGAGATCAAAGATTTAGAGTGATATTGTATCAGTTTATTGCAAAAATTCATTAAGTAGTGTTTTAAAGAATTAAATAGTGAAGTAATTTGATGATTTTTTTTCTTCAGTGAAATGAAAATATTGTGCATTTAGTTTAACTATTTTTTGACAATTAATTGAGTAGGTGTTATTTTGATGCTTTTTATGAGCTTTCGCACTGATAAATATTGAAATTTAGAAATAAGTACTTGAATGTTTAACTCCAACAAAAGTGTACTAACTGAGTATTTGCAATAAACCAAAAATATGATTAATCTTGTATATTAAATGAAAAACTGTAAGTACTTTTAGTACCATAATCCAATTTCTTATAATTATTATTAGAATACAAAAAAATTATTCTCAAATTATAGCTATTGATATTACAAGAACTTACATAAAGGAAAATAAAAATATGTGCTCCTATGTTTTAAAACGCAGGAAGACATTTTTATTCTCTTAAAGATTTATTCATATCTTACACTTGATATTTGGTATCTTACGTACCATATCTGCTGGAGGGTTTGAGTTTCTAAAAATTTTTTTCCTTTCTCCGTGTCTTGTAATTCACGCAACATGTTTTGAACACAGTATTTCGTATTTGAAGGCGAGTTATCATAGTCAACCGCATACTTAAGATAAGCTTTAATCACATCATCTAAAGGTTTCTTGCCAAATCTAGAAAATACTGATACATTCCATTCGGCAGCTCGAGCAACCATTACACTGCTACATTTAGTCTTTTCTTTAAAATGAATAATGTCTTCAAAGGTATCTATTTCCTTTGATCCTCCACTAAAAATATAAAATTTTTAATATATATTTTTCTATTCCTTTATAAATAAATAAAAGAATCATATGAATCATATGAAATTCATATTAGGCTTTACAGAAAAAAAAATTATATATATCTGTACTGAACTCCATTGTTCATTTAATAATATTGATAGATAACTTCAAAGATGTTTAATTTTATAGATTGAAGTAAAAAAAATATTATAGTTTGAAGTAAAAAAATATTTAAGATTTGACTACATTCTACAATCCTTAATTATTTATTATCTTTGCTTTTTTCATATACAGGTTTATTTAAACACATATATTTCATATTGAGTTAAAATATTTATGAGGCTTAGATTAGAAGACATTGTTTAACTCAAGAAAGTAGATATTCCAAAATACTAGGGGATATTCTGCTTTTCACTTTGAGTTGTAGCGTAAATAATTTTCATCACCAGCTACGATACAACATAGAAAACGTTTTGTTTTTTGTTGCAGCATTTCAATTGATATGGTACCAAATTCCCTTGCTTCTGAACCATTCCAAGTGTTGAAACCATTCTCTGCATGTTCTTTATGATAGAGCATGATTATCATAAGTTTCCTTAAGAATTAAATGCCCTTCAGCTGCAGTTTTGTTTTGGAAAAAAAAATAGTATAATAAAATTCCTGACAAAAACAATTTAGAAGATACAAATTTCACCATGTTTGAAGAAATATGAAAAATATATACAGTTCAAGGATTTAAAATAGATGCACAATATACAATTAAATATTATCAGATGCATGTAGATAATCAAAAATTCTATAGATAACAAATGGCAGAAACTTATTCAACACACTCGATATTTTTATTTTATTATGTTTTTTTTTTTTATAAATTTCAATTGTTTGTTAAGTTTTTTCCTGGCTGGTTTTATTGTTTTTTCGTTTACCCCCTACCTCGCCGTTTCTGGCATGGGAGAGTGGTGTTCAAGAGATACAACCCAAAGCTATTCTAACCAGAGTGGAAAGGTTTGAGATTCATTATAATACGCTATAAAATAAATTTCAACCCTGTCAGGCCAAAATCAAACTGGTGTTACTAAACTCCAGAATGCTGAAGCAGGCAACACTGTAACAAACTTGGCTAACTTGGCCTGTGATTTTATTGTATTATTATTTATTATACAGAATTTATTTATTATTTATTTTATTAACTTAAAATTAGGCCACAGTTATAAATATTGTTAGCAGTGTCTTTTCTTTGAGACAATACACCCATCCACCGGTCAACTGTTAAAAAATATATTTATTATTAAAATATCCACTTATCAGTCACTAAGCTGAACTGAAAAAAAAGAATATACAAAAAAAATATATATATGAATGGTTACTTATAACATCTTTGAAGTTAATTATAGAATAAAGATTATTCTAAGACATAGTTTTAATTGTGGATTGATGGTTGACTTTAATGAATAATTTAAGAGAAGAATGGTTGAAGTGATCAGTCAAAACAAAAAAATAGTAAAAATAAATAATTATATCAGTATATTCATCACGGCTAAGAAAAAAACAGATATCTATTCTTAGCCCTGAACTTTGGGTCGAAACGTCAGTAAAAATAAAAATAAATATACTTCTTTATTTTTACTATATATATTTTTTTTACTGATTACTCCAACCATTCTTCTCTTCAATAAAACGTATATTTACTGAATTATCAATTAAAATAGCAAATTCAGTATACTCATCTTTAAAAGAATAGAAAAAAATCTATTTATTTATATTTTGTATGATATGGTCACACTGTATATTACAAATCAAGGTAGTGCATGTCAGAAATGGCCAGATAAATATAAAAACAAAAATGAAATGGATATTGGAAGTATTGAAATCAAGATATCATAGGAAAAAAAGTTGAGAAAGTGCAATAAAAACTATTAATTTCAGAGAAGGTTTAGTATGGACAAAGTTATTAATACTTATTTTAGTAAACTTTTATTAAAAAGAAATAAAGAAATCATACTTAGCAATAACAGGAATTGACAGTGATTCCGATATCATTTGTAAAAACTCAATGCGATTGGAGTGTTGCTGTCTTTCATATTTAGTTCTTCCGTGAACTGCAATTGCTGCTATCCCACAAGATTCCAATCTTTTACATAGCTTAAGAGTTTCATCCAGATCTTCCAAGACCCTTATTTTACAGGTGACAGGACATTTCACACCAGAAATAACTTTTTTTAAAATATTCTCAGCTTTTTCAGGTTGATATAATAATGCAGCACCCATTCCACCTTTAATCGAAAACTCCTTTGGACAACCCATATTAATATCTATGCCAGCCACATCACTTTCCCTTTAAAGAAATAAATATTACTTGAGCAAACTAAATAACAATAAAGTAATTGATAAGATATATATAATTATAAATTATAGCTTATTACAATAAACAGTAGCAGAAGTTTGGCAGGTATAAGTACCCATAAATAAAAAAGTTTTATTTTCTAGTGTGCTGACATTTTGAACTTCTTCTAATCAAAGACAAACTCAGTAAGAAAGAGAAAGAAAAACATAAGAAGATAAAATAGTAATAATTAATCAAATATGTATGTGTAAATAATCAAAAATATTTATGAACAGGATGTGTTGGGAGGAATGAACCAAACACCAGAAGTCGGTTGCTCATTGGAAAATAAATTAAAAAAACTCATGTTCTTATACGATTTTTAACATTTTATTGGCTAATTACAAAAAGCAATATTTCACACATATATTATGCTATTCAGTTATTGAAGTCATAGGCGCAGACTTCGGGGGAGGAAAGGGGACAAAAATATTGTTTTGTCCTCCCAATATTTCGAGAAACAAAAATAAAATCAAAATTAATAACAATTAATCTACATGAATGAAGGGCTCCGGGCAGCCATTTAATGGATCTTGATGAGGTTCTGTTGGAAGCTGTTGAGTCAAATCCGTTAACAATTACTCACAAACTTGCCAGAGAGTGTGGTGTTGAAAGATATTGTTAGTCGCTATCTACTCTCCATGGGGAACGGGAAAAGTAGCAGTAGATTGGTCACTCATGAACTTACTCCTCAGCAATCAGCTAAGAGATAAGACATTTTTGAAAATTTATTGAAAACTCTTGCCTTATCCACCATATAGTCCAGACCTCGCTCCATCGGATTACTACTTATTTAGAACCATGGCCCATTTTTTTCAAGGGGAAAAATTTGATAATTTTGCGGAAGTTGAAATTGTGGTCCAAGAGTTCTTTGACAGCCATCCCAAAGAATGGTATCAGTGTGGGATCGAGCAATTGGCTAGCAGTGTTTTATATCAAAGAAATAATAATACAAATATTTGGTTGAAAAACGGTCACTTTTTTTTATTAGTTTCTCATAAATAATTTAGTTTCTAAATTATTAAAAAAAGCATAATAATTATCCACATGACACCAACTGTACAATTTCTGTTTAATAAATGCTCTCATTAAGAAGCACCATGGATCAAACAAATGAGAGCCTGCCAGTCAGATCTTGACCCAGATGTACATATTACAAATAGTAAATAGTATTAGTATATTTTTCTTTTCAAAAAAGCTCTATTTTAAGTTCATTTTGTTTAAATTTAATTCATTGCCCTCATTTGATTTCAATATAATGACCAGTGCCGTTATTGACAGTCAAAGGTGGATGAATATAGCAACAGAATAGGCTATTATAGACCCACTCTGTATTTATTTCCAATTTGAAAAAAATATTTATGTAATAAAATTCTCTGACTTTTCCTATTTTTCCATATTGGTCGGCACCCAGCTAGAAGTAGGTACAGAAGTAGTATTTCACCAGATCCTATGCTCTTATAATTGGAATTGTTGTAGTTCAAAGATAATCTATTAACATATCCGAGGATTTTATGATTCATTCGAGTGCACCCTTCTATTTTTACATGATGAATTTATTACATTTCTTGCAGCAAATTTGAAGCATCGGTAAATTTAGAGTTCATTTCACTGCCCCGAACCTTCAAATAAAAATAAAAATATGTAATATATTCAATTACTTTGTTAACATAATATTTTTAAATACACCAAAACTCATATACAAAAAATAAATAAAAAATACGTATATATATATATATATATATTTTTTTTTTTTTTAAATAGTATTACATTGTTTGTTTTACAATATTAATATTTATTATTTTTTGTTCTTCCCTACCTCGCCTTTTAGGCTATACGGGATTTTCCTGGGCCGGAGGGTGAGGGCGGGGAATTTAAAATTCTCTCCAGCACCGGGATGCGTACTCATACTTTTTTAATCTTCCCAAATCTCCTATCCGGTTGCCAGGCAACTCGTGGTGCAGTGCACACGCTTTACCCCATTCGGCCACCCCGCCCCCATTATATTTATTATGTTGTCACTCATAATTTTTATACATAATGTAAACTTCTGAGACTTTTTTTTGGGAGGGGAGGGAGGTTCTTCACCTGACATTGCCTCCCCCCCAACCAGAATGATAAGTCTGCGCCTATGATTGATGTCTTATTGTAATAAATTTAGAAAATACCACCATTGATTTCTAAACATTTTCGGATTTGTTTTCGAATGCGACAGTTACCCTCCTGAATGTTTCATATCTTCCTTTAATTAATTAGTGCATCCCGAGTGTCTACTTTTATGTTGTATACTTTATTTAAAAATTAGACTCATAAACAATAATTCAGTACAGTGAGGTCTGAGAATCTTGGAGTCAAACTAATTGGACCACTGTGACCAATCCAAAAATCTGGAAACCTTTCATCCATAAATATTGCCTCACCTGACAAGCAAAATGACCAGGAGCTCGGTCATGCTGAAAGTGCATTTATATTCTGATATTTATTGGAATATCTTCTAATAGTCCTTGTAATTCAAATCATAAAAAAATTTAGGTAGTAGTCCTCTGTGAGGTGATTATCTAAAATGAAAGGGCCAATTAAATAACTGCCGACAATATCACATTATACATTTACCAAAAACTTATTTTGAAAATTGCTTAGAGTTTTGCATCCCAAAAATTCACCAAGAAAATCAAGTAATAAAGTTTGCAATTTTTGATTTCTATTAAAATTCGTATTCCAGAGTTTGAAAGGACACTAAAAAAGAAGAAGATTTATGATAAATTATAACTCATTTAATACCATAGTCTGTATTTTTTTCTTATTCTGCACAAAAAGAAATAGATTGAGATATAATAAACTAAAAATCTGGCAAACCCAAAAATAAATAACAAAGTTTGTTTAAAATTATATAAATTTTTTTGTCTCTGCTCCTAGGGCCCAAAGCCTGGATATGTGTCTAATATTTTTTGGGGTAGTGTGGCCAAAATAAATTTGGCTTAAATTGGTGACCCACTGACTTTAAACTTCCTTTGTTAGTTCATTATTTGGAGGATTGTTGGTGGATGGAACCTGGAGATGTACAAACCAGGAGATTAACAACTTATTTAAATAGCCGAATATTATTCAGGTAATCAAACAGGACAAATTGCAGTGGGCAGGGTATGGAGGTGAAGAAGGGTTCCTCAGGAGGCTTTTGATGGAATCGCTGGAGGAAATCAGAAGACAAAGACTGAGACAGATGAATAGATGGAGTTGCAATTGACTCTTAGCAGAATTAAGCATATTTGTATTCATAGATATAAATACAAAATGTATTCATAAATATGGTACTGTATGATCAAAAATATAAATATAGATATTTCATATTTATTTTCAAGAAAGTCTAGCTCTGAACAAAAATATTTGCAATCATATTCAATAATACAAACATTGCTGCTGTATTAAAAATAATTAATGCAATCAAAATAGTAAAATTCTGCTGTGAAGAAAACTAAATATAATCATGATTATAAATTTATAAGTAATAAAATTAAAAAGTTTATATATAAATTATATTATATATTTCGACATTCTTCACTAACAGTATTCTTACATTTTTAAAGAGATTGATTCAACAAAACCATTACAGTCTAGAACTGATCCATATTTTGGAAAATACTAAACCATAAAATCTGCCACAGTAAAATTAATCCTGTTAGATGTTCTCAGCACACTTAACTGGAAATAATTGAAATCACTAAACCAGATAGTTTATTAAATGCTATACAATTTAAACTATGCATGGTCAATAACACGTTAATATTCTTAAACAAATTTTATATTAATAAATTGCATTTTTTTTTTGTCAGAGTTCTGTTCTATAACGTGGAAAAACATTTTCATATTCACATCAGGGGAAAAAAATGGTGAGAACAGTAAAAATATTTATTCAATAAGAAAGGATTTTAATTTAAAAGATAATGTGATTTTTAACTGCAAATATTTGTATTCAGATATGTAAATTTATAATATATTTATTTTTAATATATAATAACTATTTATATAAGGAATATTTATTAGTACGGATATGTAAATCTTTATAAATTATTTCTTAAAAGTGTTTATTTGTCAATACACCATATTGTTAATTCTATATAATATTCAATGATTAAGCACCCATTTTGAAGATTTTCTCCTTTCTGTGGAAATATAGTCATATCCCCCAAAATTTCGAGAAAAAAGGTAAGAAGGAAAAGAAACTTTATTTGCGAATAACTCAAAAAATATACATTTCGTTGTTTATGATTATTTAAAAGATTACTAAATTCCCTACAAAACAAATTCATCAAAATCAGATTATTATTAGATATGATACTTCATGTTAGTTAAAAACATAAATGAAGTTTCAAATTCATTTTATTTTCCTTAGTCAATTTTAATTACAAAGAAAATAATAATTGATTCCCCCATCTTATGTTACATTGCATTATTTTATTTTCTTATTATTCACTGATTCACTGATTATTGGTCACTGATCTATATACAGTTATTATTTTTTTTATTTTAATCTCCATACCCTGCAAAGCTGTCATACAGGGTCAAACTTATCTACATACTATGGGAATTATTCGCATGGGGCAACTAGTATAATAATATTCTTTATTGCACCTGTTAAATTCAAACCCAAAATCTATTTGTCCCATGAGTGCCATAACAAGAGTTGGCAACATTGACAGCAAATAAGTTTTCTATTCTTAAAATTATTGACTTGATTTTTGAAGTGAAAACTTCTGTGCATTGTTTTTTTGTGAGTAATGATTGAGACCGAGCCGTCATGCTCATTTGGGTAAGTTGGCTTCAGTGGTCTAATTTAAGTGTTTTAGCATTTGGATTAAAATTTCTCAGAAACTAAAAATCGAACCTGCATACTGTAAGCTAGGGAAATGTTTCACTATTTCATCCCCTTTGTAAATAGCTACTATTCAAAATTTTATTTTAACAAAACACAGAGTTAGAAAGTTGGAAAGAGGAAAAAATAGTACCAAAAACCAAATAATAACAAGTTTTGTTGAATATTTGGATTAAAATAAAGTTAGAGAGGTAAAAAATGAAAACAAAATTATATTTCAAGTTATTAATCTCGCCTGTTGATGTTTTCACTACTATCGTGTGGTCTAAAGTGCACACCGTAGTTTTGTTTATTACTGGCTCTGGTAATACGAGCTATAAAGTCTTTTCAGGAATATCAGGAATAGTTGTAACTGTAATATGCATTATTGTTGATGTATTTAGAATATATATAAATATATATCTATCTTGAATGATATATTAGGGGCATTGTTACAACATAGTTATTCTAACAGGACACTTTGACTGATCTCAACCACCTCTAGAACTCTCAGCAAACGTAAACCAACTTTTTCACCACTGATCGCGAAGGCTTGGCCATAATATTTGGGATTAATAAGTTTTACAATTATTTAGTTGAGCGACATTTTACATTACATACAGATCATAAGGCACAGCTAAGAATACTTGGATAAAAAAAAAATTAGCAAAAACAGAAACATTCAGATTGATAAAATGAAGTGTTTTAACTACACATTTGAGTACAAGACAGATAAAGAAATGAAAGCCAGGGATGCTCTCAGACTTCCATTACCTAGACTACTATAGAGACTTCTTCTTTACAGAAATTGGCAGTAATAATTCTGTTATTACAGCCAATTGTACTAATCGATGCTCACTCTTGTTGGCTAGAAATGCTTCCAGTGAAATCAGTTACAGTAGAAAAACCATCAGATATTAGAATCACTATTTCCAAACAAATTGTTTGTGACAATGGAGTGAAATAAATATTTACAACCCCCTATCAAAGTCGATCAAATGGGATTGTGGAACTTGCAATTAAAACATTTAAACAATTATTTCGAAACGATACTGCCTACACAGATAAGTAAGAACATTTGGGAGTGACACTGTTTGTGTACCGAACTGCAATAAACAGCTCAACAGGAAAAATACTGTTAATTGGAAGAAGATTGCATACAATATTCGATTGTTAAAAACCATCTGTGAGACATAAGATGAAAGAAAGCAGGATAAAATAAAAAAATGTACCACCATAGAAAGTGACAAGTTTTGAAGAAAGTGAGCATGTTTGAGTGAATTGTGAAGACCCAGAAGGATGGATAATAGGCATCATAATTAGGGGAAAAAGGGGGCCTCTTTCTTATGATATAGAAATGGGTGGGAAGCTAATGCGATTCCATTCTTACCACTAAAGGAAGCGATCAGAAATAAGGGGACATTTATTAACTCTGTTTTTGTACCTGTACCTAGTTTCTATGTAGCTAAAAATGTTATTGTATACAACGACATATACAGTAGAGGAAAACATGTTCGATATTCTCTCTTAGTACTGACAAAACCTAGTAATATAATAATGTAATATGGATTATTGTGGATGTATTTTGATTTTAATTAACACACATGCTGTTTATACATTGTTGAAAATATATAAATTGATATTTTTGGAACTTACCCCATATTTATTTTTATTTATTCACAATTCATTAAATAACACACACAAAAAAAGACATAATTACTCCGTGTCACAGGTTTAAACAATTTCCTTTCCATTTTATGAAAAAGTCCACCAAATTTTTGTTGAGGTTAATATTTTATTATTTTTAATATTCGGTAAGCAAACTGCAAAGATTTCCATAAAACTGAGGTTAATCCTATTTAATGTTCTTTACTTAATATTTATTTACATATTTAGATTAATTTAATATTCATTTTATTCAGCTCTAAATTTGAATTTTATTACGATCTTCACTATGAACAAGTCATTTAATTAAATCTCGTAAAGTACTCGGTACAGGGAGGTTGCCCTCTCATACCCTCCTAGATCAGCCGCTGTGTGAGGAATAAGTTATGCAGTGACCAAAATATCACACAGTATTCAAACAAGGAATCATAGTGGCTATTGCTTGTTTTTCCTCAGTTCTTCCCTTTAAATATTGAAATGGATGATTTTTCTTTTTCAATAATTTCAAGTTAATTAGTAATAAGTAAGTTTTTTAGCTTGACTGATCTGATAATTAGTATTCTATTTTCTTCACCTTCGTGACTTCAATGCAATCAGTATCAGGTTCCTCTATGTAGATTATCTCTATGAAAGGATTTGTTGCAAGCATTATTGTCTTAACTTGAAGTGAATTGTGAAAAAAAAAATTATGTTTACAATTCACTTATTTTTGGGTGGAGAGAAGGAGGGAATTTTAGTCTCGAAAATCGTATGAAATGGGAGCATGACCCAGTAGATTATGCCTTATTAATTACCATATAGGATATTAATTGAAAAGATTTAATCAAAGAGGAAACATGAAGATTTAAAAAAATTATATCAGATTTTAATCCTGTTATATGTAGTTATCATTAAAAAAGAAAAAAAAAAGGAGTATACTTAATGAATGAAAATAAATGTCTAATACAAAATGTAGGAAATTTAGCTCCTCATGAATATCAAAGATTTTTAGTTACACAGACAATATTACATGTCTGATTTTTATAAAAATTGTTTATGTTAATTTATCCATCAACATGAAAAATCCAATGACTGTTATTTTTTTATTATGTTATGTTATAAAATAATACTGTTATTATATTAAATATTTTTTTCTGGATTATTTTTACATTTAAAAATACATAACCAACTTAAAGGAGAATATTTTAGTACAAACTATTGCAAGAATATTTAAAAAAAAAACAGATTTTTTTGTTTTAATAATGAAATCCTAATCTCCACCCACCAAGTACTCTCTTTAGTTGATAGCCTATACAGTAAGTTATAAAAAATGAAAAATTATATCAAATCACTTATTGATGCTAACACGAGCTGAGCAACTTTTAATGCTCTATCAGGATCACTTGTCCCAATCTGGAGAATTACTTGAGACGTTTCTCTGGAGCAAGTCCGAAATACAACTGTTCCATCAGTTAGGTCAATGTAATCGATTGTCCCCAAAACCTCTGAAAACAGATATTAATAAGTTTATTAAGACTTTTTTTGTAATCAATAATTTAAAGAGATAATTGCTAGACAAAAACATAATAAACTAAAATTATCGTTGCTCAAGGAAGATTTTATTGAATTAAAATTATAACACAGACAGAAGGGACTGTTAATAGTAATGGTTGTTTGATATAAATATAAATCAATTATTATTAGTCCACATTATAATATAGATAATATTTAGCATAATAATGGAAATAGAGACGGTTTTGTTTATAGATAAATTGCCTCTATAGAATAAAGCAAAACTAAACCATATATTACCATTCTCTCTCCTTTTCGACCTTAATAATTTCCAGTCTATGATTTCTTCAGTGTATACTAAGTCAGCACCATAATCTAATGCTAACAATCTGGTAGGTAAGGTGCCAATTCGAACCATTGGTGCTAAAATTATTTTGTCTGAATATAGTTCGTTTTTCGACATTTTTTTTACGGAACTATACAAGTTATTTAAGGGAAAATCCTTAGTCAAGTATCAAACTTCAAGAGGTGCAGTCATGTTTCCAATTCAAATCAAGGTGACAAATGTAACAGCTCTTGTTACCTTATTGAAATCTACAATGCTTCAGTCTGAACCAGGGAGGTCGAAAGTTGAATTTGAAATGGAAAAGGTTGAATTTGACTTGGAAAAATTTGAAATTGACTTGGCAATGCAAGAGAAGCATTTCTTATGCTAGAAAAGGTAGCTAAGAAGTTTGAACTTGCTGTCAACGAAACTAAAACGAAATATATGTAAGCGGGACCGGTGCGTTCCCAGAAAGGGCATATTGAGATTGGAATATATAAGTTTGAGAGGGTACAACATTTCCTGTACTGGGAACTGACATGAATTCAGATGGGGATGTATCTCAAGATATCAAACGGCGTATCGCACGTCCAGGTGCTATTTTGGCCTACCTAACTTTTTAAAATTAGGTATATTACTAATGAGAACAAAGTAAGGCTTAGCATTCGCCCGGTCCTTGTGTATGGATCAGAAGCTTGGGCGTGCAATAAGGCCGATGAAGATAGACTAATGATTTTTGAGAGAATGATACTCTGAAGAATTTTCGGTCCGATACGAGAAGGTAATGCCTGGAGGAGAAGAAAAAAATCGAGAGATCTACTCTCTTCAAAAGTGATGTTAATAGATGGATCAATGTGAGGAGGCTCGGATGAGCAGCACACCTCGCTAGGATGGATGAGAATAAAATTCCCAAAAAATTATCCATGGAAACTCTCTATCAAGCTGGAAGAGTGGGACAACCCACGCAGATGCCAGGAATATCCTTGGAATAACGGACTCGATGACTGCTGAGCAGAATAGAGATGAACGGCGGAAACGTTTGGAGAAGACCCTGGTTCAGTAATGAATTGTAGCACCGTATACTTATATATATGTTTGTTCAGTAAGTGTAGGGCAATGAATAGAGAGCACTGAAGTAGATGGATTGGCGGATTCGCCTGTTCCCTCGAACCGGAGAAAACATCTTAAATTCACATTCACTTCATTTACACTAGTTAGATAAAATGCTTGTTAGATAAATTTTGTATTTTAATTCTGGTCGTCTGGTTGTGACCTGTGAACTTTTCCTTTCCAACCAAATCTTCCTCTTTCACTTCCATTTCAAAATTTTAAACTGTTTAAATCTTTATTTCACTGATTTGTATCAGAAAGGTTATTGAATATATGAAAACAACTGCGTATAATGAAATATGAAACTTATTATAGCTTAAAATATTTAAGTTTTTAAAATTTTCCAAATTTTAAAGCTACAGTTCGAAATCGATTAGGTTTATATAGCTTATTCTGGTCTCAAATTGTGATAAAGTTAATCTAGTTTTAAAATGTGTAGAATGTTTTTTGTTTATAATATGTCCCTTCATGGTAAAAATGGGGAAATCCGAAACCGATTGAGGCAGGCTTTCGAGGTCGAAAACTAAGATCTTATATCTCAGTCACATCCCATACAAGAAAAAAACTTTACCTTTTACCACTACTTGGTGTAACTTAGACCCCCACTTTTCATAACAAGAATATTGGACTACAGCCTTCGGCGTAAATGCCATACACAAGGATGTTATGGAACGGTATACATACCGTATTAGTTCCAGGTTAGCTCTTAACTGTTCCAGCTCCAATCAGTTTCGAGTGTCAATTTGCTTAATCTTCTCATTTCTCGTCCTCTAACTAATGTAGAAGGATAATTAGACCATTTAGGGTTCGGATGTGGGAGCGGGGTAGCTCAGTGGATGAGCACAAGATAAGTAATTTTTCATCACCTATAGATCGACCATGTGGCCGGCAGACCGTACTGGGACACACTCAACCTCTATACATTAGGTAGCCTTAATTAAACAATTACTTAAGAGGGAAAACCTGGTGGTTGAGCGTGATTTCGGCCCATTCACCTCCCTGCACAACTGTTAGCCATATACCAGTACATCGTCGAATAGTAATGAACATAAGACTAAGGTTACCAGACGTCCCGCGGCGTTTAAGGAAAGTTCCGATTTTTGGAAAGAATGAAGGACAAGCTAGAGAACATTAGGAGAACCGGAAGAGAATATATGAGGATGGAGAGAGGATATGAGTTTTATATTGATTTTTTTAAAGATAAAAAAATAATTAATAATAAATTAAAATTTAAAAAAATAAATAAGTGCAGTCTCTACTCGATCACTTAGACCACTACGGCGCGGGTTCGATTCCCGCATGGAGACGGTGACGTCCCCACCCTGAGATTCACAGGAAGGTGAGCGACTCCTATATCTTCCAACAGCATAGCTCCTGATCCTCCAGATTAGGGGTTGGGCACAGGGGCATTAATTAACCATATCCCGTAAATAACTACAGGACGGAGAAGTCTGCAAAAGGGTTGCAAACCATCCTAATAAAGAGAGAGTGATTCGTGATCGCGTCCGGTTATTATAAACCACGTGCACTCTGAATATCTATTACAGTATCGAAAACAAACGATCGCAGCTGTCGCAAGGTACAGCCCCGTAGCTACTATGGAAGCTTTTTTTTTTTTTTTTTTTTTTTTTTTTAGCTTTAATTTTTTATTCACACCTGTCATAATGGTAATGACAACCAGTGAATGTGAGGTCGATTGCAAAATATAATGTCATGAAAGGCATGAGGAGGATCAGTGCCCAGCGGCACTAGGGACGTAATGACAGAAATCAATAAGTCAGAGAGGCGTTAGAAAAAAATATGTATTATTTTTGTTGATTTTATAATGTTAAACTTTAATAATTCCGAATAATTGTTGAGGACTGATCATCGAGACCTGCTTGACAAAATTCGCATTCTTGATCAGTTGTCGAATTCGACCACCATTGTTTGGACTTAATAAACAACCCATAAGTAATATTTTTAATAAGGTATTATTTTAATATATATATATATATATATATATATATATATATATATATATATATATATATATTGATAAGGAAAAGGTTAAATCTGGAGCATCAGCTAATTAACTTAATTTGCTACTTCGATTACCGAAATTTTGTTACCTTCAATACGTTTTATAACATTTTGAAAAAGAGCTGCCTGGTTGTGTAGAAACTGCTGGTACAAGACATTTAAGTAAACTAAAAAACTGTTTTATTGTTGAAGCCATATCGCTCTCAAAATACGTCTTTATGGCTTAATTCTCTAACTTATTTCAGCTGGATACTATGTCACCTGATTAACTTTTGATCCAGATTATCATTATGTACAATTTATTAATGTGACAATTAATTAGGACTATCGTCCCCTCTTCCCCAGTCAATCTTGTCCCGCTTTACCAATGTTAATATCTGGTCTCCTCTGGTAGAGGTGTTTTTTATTATTTTTTTTTTATGTATGGTCTGGATGTATAAAATAAAAAAGAAACGATGTCTATGTTCTCAAATTTCCTTTTTTAAAAAAAGCAACTTTGTAAAACTAAATATTTAAGGAGTGATAGGATACCTCGAGAATTACAAAAAAATGTATGTAAATAATGGTCCGAGTATCCGCAGAAAAGTTAAAAATTCAAGTCTAGTGTTTTATAAATAGTCCGTAAGTTACTATTTATGTATTAACTAAAAACTGTTTAATTTGAGTAATTAACAATTGCTTCACAGAAAAGAAGACAAAATTGACTTTAAACGAAAATAGAGTATGTCATTGCTAAAACCATTAAAGAAAAATTTTGTTTTGTTTACTATTAAGCAATTGCTAATTACTTAAATTAAATATTTTTTTGTTATAGCTTCCTATTCAGCCACAGATGGGGCTGTACTACATAAATTTTTCATAACTTTCTGGACGTACTAAAAAACACAAAAGTGAATTTTCAACTTTTCTGAAGGAAATCGGACCATTGTTTGTATGAAAACTTGTAACTATTGAGGTCTACTATTACCATTTAAATATTTGCCTCTACTTACGGGACTTCCATGATGTGAAAAGTGCGCATTTATTTTAAAATGGTATTAAAACAAACCATGAAGTTATGAAACACCAGATAAAATTGTGATAACTGTATTAGATAACGCTAGTGATGATTCAGACAGTAGTAAGGAAACCAATAAAACTATTTATTTTTAAATATATTAAAAACTTAAATTTGAAGTTAAAATAAAATAAAAATTATAATTAATTTCCTATATGCATTTCTTAATTTTATAACCACCATATCGGTTTATTTAGATAAGTTGTGAAATAATGTCCAACATTATTTTCTCTAAAAATAAGAATGTTTCTTGTCAAACATAAAACAAATAGAAATGGTTTTGATTTGTTTTGAATATTATCTTTTAGAAATAAATTGCTTTAAAGTTTATACATAACTTTATTTTACATTTGTTTATACTGCGAACAAATATAAAATAAAGTTATGCACGTATTATAAAAGAAGTTATAAAAAAATATTAATAAAAGAAAGAAAATTTCTCCATACGATATTGGAAGAAGGGAGATAGAAATTAATAAATTAAAAGCGCTGGACAAATTCAATAAGCCTAGATCAAGCAGCCTCAGAACGCAGCTATTAAGCAGTACATAGCTTGGAACTCATTCATTAACGTCTCCAATTCCAGATTGGGGTAGAGCTAATTATCCAAGGACAGGTCTAAGCAGTTCAGAACAGAGCTATTAAGCTGTCGATAGTGGAGTTGTCTTGGAACTCATTCACTAACGGCTCCAAATACAGTTTCGAGCGAACTAATGATCAAAGGACAAATCTAAATAGTTCAGAGCGGAGCTATTAAGATGTGCACGTTGGAGCCGTTCCAAAAGGTTCCAGGTGCGTATTAGGCTGCGACTGGAACAGCTCCTCCTGTTTCTAAGCATCCTTATTCTTATAGTAGATAATGAAGAGTAAGGTGTTACGCGTTGTCTTCCTCGCTCTTGTTTCTGGTTGGCGATTATTTCTTGTGAATATCTGTTCACAATCAAGGACTCCTAAGTGCAAAGAAGTCGGACGATTCTCACCAAGTCAGTACAAATTATAGATATTATAGCTAGATCACAGATGGGCTTAAAAAGACTTTCTTATCCATAGAGTCAGCAAGACAGGTAATGGGTCTAAGTATTAACCAAGCTAAGACCAAATATACAAGGTGATTGCCAACTCACCAAGGCCACCACCACCTACAGTTACATTTGAAAAGGAAAATAATTTCGTGTATCTAGGGTCCTTAGTTTGTGCAGAAAATATGCTTAGTCAAGAAGTACAGAGAAGAATTACGTCATCTAATTGGTTTTATTTTGGCCTAGATAAAATTTTAAGAAGTCATTTGCTGGCTAGATTCATTAAGATCGCTGTGTACAAATCTCTTATCAGACCTATGGCTCAGAGACATGCCCATTATTAGGAATAGACGCCATAAGGTTGTAGGTTTTCGAAAGAAAAATCCTAAGAAGGTTGTTTGGTCCTGAAGGATGTTTGAACCAATATATGCTAAGGCATTATGTTGTGTTGTACCAAATTTACCGAGAACCAGATGTGGTGTAGTTTATACGACTCTCTAGCTTAACATGAGCTGGGCAGGTCGTAAGGATGGATGGGGACTCACCAATCAAGAGGCTACTGTTCGGGTATGTGGATGGCAGAAGAAAAAAAAGGTCGGCCATCAGTAATGGGTAGATGAAGCCGAATACAGAGAAGCTTCTGGACACTAGAGCTAGGCGCAGACCCTTGTACAAGCCAAATGTAGGCGACGTATTGATGCGGCGAAGACCCGTACCGGGTTATAGTGCCTGTGATGATGATGAATACCTGTTCATTCCGCTTACCATGGAGATGGTTGTCGTACTGTAGAAGTTTTTAAATTATATTTTCTTATCTCTTTACTCTATTGGTTATCGTCGTTCGTGATCTTCAAAAGTCATGCGTTTTGTAACAAATTTAAAATGTTTTATTTGAATGCATAAATCATTGTAATTTGTTCATTTATTTACCGTGAATTGTTTATTAATATCAAATTAAATTTATTCACTCATTGATCAAAATGTTTTATTTTAAGAACTTTTTTCTCAGATCTCAAAATATTTTATTGAATTCATCTAAATTTAATATCATCCCTAAGATTAAAAGGAACTATGCTGGTACATTTGATTTGATTTTATATATTTAGAATGGTTATAAGTCATTGGTTTTTGGTACTGTAAGCTTTTTCCTCATGCTTTTTTTCAGCTCTACCAAAAAGATTCTATAAGAACACTGCAATTTTATATTCTGATGGGCATTATGAAATAACTTTGGACCACAGGAAATTGAAAACCCCTAAAGGAAAGGATTTTAAAGTAGAAAACGAAATTTTAGCATTGTGTATAGCTACAGAATGGGACTCACAGTTCGGTGAGATAGACAGAAGTTCTATGCATTTAGTAGGCATCTACACTGACTTTGGTGAAGTGATTTGAAAAGGAAAAAAAAATTGATTATTTTTTTTGTTTCATAATTCAGACAGCGTTATGTAATACAGCTATTGATAATGTTAACAACTTGACAAAAGAGGACATAACTTCTAATATCCTTAATTATTTGGAAACTGATACTCTTCTATTTCAGTCTCATGTAAGTTTCTTGTTATTTATTATTCTATTTTTAATTCTTATATAGAATCAGATTTACTTATGTCCCCGTTTTGCCTCAAGTTTGATTAATTAAGTAATTAGCTTGCTCTACAGAAACGTAACAGTTTAACACTGAGACTGGGACCAAAGTTGGAGGAAGTTTGGGGAAAATGGTCTAGTATCAATTTCCAATTAACTATTCAAATTAATGTCATGTCAAGGAATATTATGAATGAAATATGGTAGGCACTAAACTTCTGACAACAGGAGGTTATATAAGTTTGTAATCTCAATATGAATTATTAAAAGAAGTTAGTTGACTGTACTACATATCATGGCTGATAAATAGCTAGGACACAGTCATTTAAGGTTTTTATTGGTGCCAACGTTTCAACCCAAGCATGTGGGTCATCATCAAAGCTGAAAATTGTTTAATATAATCAGAGATATAATATTGTAAGACAGATAATGGTTAATAAAATAATCACTATATCTTCATTATTAGCTGTTATCTGTCTTATAATATTATATCCCTTCCTGCACAAAGCCGTTCTTCTCCACCTTCGGACTCCAAGTGTCCTCAGGTCCTCCTCCACGTCTTCCACTCACTGAAACCTGGGATGTCCCCTTCTTCATCCTCCACCAGAGTGTCCCTTCAGAAGCTTCTTCAAGGTATGCCGCTCTTACATCCTCTGTAAATGCCGCAGCCACCTAATTCTATTCTTGTTGATGCAGGTGACAATATCCGGGGCCTTGAATAAATCATAGAGTTCTTGATTAATTATCTGCTCTCACCGATCTCTTTCTCTCAAGGGACCAAAAATCTTACTCAGAACTTTTCTCTCCCACACATTGAGCACTTGTTCTGACTTCCTGGTGAGAACCCATGTTTCACTTCCATATGCCACTGTTCTAATAACACGAATCTAATAAGGCCTTCTTTAACTGCCAGAGGAACACCTTTGACTTAAGCACTTTTCCAAGCGTTCAGCAACATCTACTGTCGGCCATCGTGCATGACTTTATTTTTGCTAGTATGTCATTATTTTTATTTATATTGGCCACAAGGTATTTAAACACCTGTACCTGCTCGAAAAAGTACTCTCCAGTACTAAGACCATTCCTTGCCCCCCAATCACCCCGGGATTATAGATCATTATTTCCAAAACAGTGTTGAATAGAAAGGGAAACAGGGGCTCTCCTTGCCTTAATATTTTGTTGATATGGAAGCAACTGGACTTAGCACTTAGTATTTTTACTTTTTGTTGTGTTCGTTCCTAAGTTATATGCACTAATCGTATCAGTTTTTCCGCGATATCCATCTTTGCCATGGCCTGATACAAGTTGTCTCAATCTACACTGTCGTATGCTTGCTTTTAGTCAATGAAGAGGTAGTGTAGATCAATATTGTATTCATAGTATTTCTCCTGCATGAATCTTATGCTTGAAATATGGTCAATAGTGGATCTACCCCTTCTGAATCCACTCTAGTAATCCCTGACCTCTCTCTCAGAGTACTGGAGTGGAGTATCCTGCTCATCAACAAAATGGAGAAAACTTTGTATGCTGTGTTTAGCAACACATTTTCTCTAGTTTTCACATTCCATTTTGTTTCCCTTCTTATAAACTGGGCATATTAATGCAGTGGACCAGTCTTTTGGCATCTCTTCTGACATCCAGGTGTCAAAAAACAGATGGTATATTTGCTCGGCCAATGCTTCTCCTCCATGCTTCCACAGCTTTGCAAGAATCTTATCCTCTCCTGGAGGCTTGTAATTTTTTAGGGATGCTTTTTTAAAATTTTTTTGTAATTAATAGGCTTGTAATTTTTTACGGATGTAAAAATTTCTGCAACCGCTTCCTTTTCTGTCGGTTCATCTCTATTTATCTGCGGCTCATCTGTAACATCTCTATTTATAAGCGCCGATCTGATGCACATAGGTTGGCTTGAAACAAGTTCCTCTGGCATTTCTGGGTTTAGGAGCTTCTTGAAATATTGAGACCACCTATTAACAAAATCCAGTGGATTTCCCAGCAGCTCGCCATTATCATTCTTTATAAAGCTTATCCTTGGTTTAGAATCTCCCTTGAATTTAGTTTAGTTTAGAATTTTTCTCTTTCAGGATACTGAAGAACTGCCTTTAGTTTCTCTGCCCAAACTCTTTCATTTGGAGGAACTTGGCTTTCTCCACTTTTCGCTTACTTTTCCTGCACCTGGTCTTGAGTCATCTCCTTAGGGCTTTACGCCTTTCTATAAACTCTGAGGGATGATTCTAGACAAAATTTCTATTTCCATGATTAAAAAAGTTCATTTGATGCATGGGCTGATCCTGAATGGAAAATAATTTAATACCAATTTTCAAGTCTTTCTTAAGATACTTTCAGGAGGTCTAATATGATTACTGTATTGTTGCATACAATTCGGGAATACAGAGATATGCTCTTCATGGATGGGTACTGTGATAGCAGCAGTTCAGCAGTCGTATTAGACCTCTTGAAAGTCCCTGTTATCATTGACTTCAGTAATTTAAATTACTGTTTTCTTCTACTTTATTACAAAAGTACTTTCTTTATTTTTTGTTATTTAAGTTAATTTTTTTAACTGTTTCTATTTATTTATATTTTTTAGAATGATGAAGTATATGATGTACAGCAAAAGGAATGGCAGCCTGTTATCAAGTGGTTTTGTGATAGATATGGGGTTGAAATTTCACCAACTCGCGATATGATTGGACCGGAAATATCTAAACAAACAAGAGAAATAATTGAACGACATTTTTTGTCATATGATTTAGCACCCTTACATGGTTTGTTATCTAAAATTCACTTTTTGTTGTGAATCTTTATAGAAAATATATTTCATTGAGTTTCTTCCTTCAGGCTTCATGTTTGCTGTCGAAGCTTTGAAGTCAGTTATTCTTACATTATGTTGTGTTGACCGAAGGCTGTCTGTTGACCAAGTTGTTTTATTGTCCCGATTAGAAGAAGAGTATCAGGTACCATTTAATTTTATTTTTGCAAAAAGTTATATTTATTATGCAAACATTTTTTAGATATTTTGAGGCATGAATGAATGTATGACAACTTTTCTCTTTAGTTTTGTTTAGAACAGGGGTCTCCCAACCATGGGCCTGACAAGTTTCTTTGATTAATAATAATAATATTTGTCTAGCGAACCAGAAGTTTCGGTGCTGACACCACCAATCACTTATTACACACCTCCCTCTTATTACACACCTCCTCATACATCCTTATTTTATATATTACTAACTTTACCCGGCCACGCACTGCTGTGGCTTAACCTGGCAAAATGAAAAAGAAAGAAAATAGAAAGCACATATGATTAGATTAGTAGCAAAGGACATCTGTCATTTTTTAAAAGTTGGGAAACAAATTTGTCTGTAAAATGGCTTCAATTGAAACTAATTCTAATTGTTTTTTTTTCATGATTCAAATTGAACATTCATAATCATCTGAGTAAATACGCCGTCATTCATAATCATCAGAAACAGTCTGAGTTGAACTTATAAAACTAAATTAAAAAATTAATTGAAAAAATGTATAATAAGGAGAATCATATAAATTCTTCAAATGATAATTTCAATTACTGTAGTAATTACAAAATTTTCGATTAATCAATAAAAAAAAAAAAAAAATGCTTGCTGACGTTCGGTAGTGAGGAAGCAAAAGGAAACTGCCTTTTCTGAAGAGAAAGCAGTAAATGTTTAAAACTCAATAACTCTGCAACGAATCGTCCGATTTCGATGATTTTTTTTATATTTTGCCAGCAATTCAGAAATCTTTCATATAAATATATGATAATAATTTAACGCCTTCATGAGGAATAAATAAATAAAATCTCCTAATGCATTTTAATTTTTTATCTCCACTTCTAATATGCTTGCGGGGGTACGGTTTGTTGCAATTTGTGCAATTTACGTGGCCCCAAACCCCTGATTTTTTTCGTGTTTGGTGGAGTCATTATTAAGTTATCACACTGTTTGTAGTTTCCGAAATAAAATTGAAGGCCCACCCTTGACGAAAATATGAGACAAAAAAATTTTTTTTTTTCGATTCCAGTGAAAATTGGTAATTGAGGGTTTATCGAGGTGCGAAATACAAATGCGAACTTTGTTTTTCCTTAAAAAAATAATTTAACCCACTTTACTCCTACGGCCGCTAGAAATAGTTTTATTTCGGAGATAATGCTTATCTATTTCGATGACATATTTTTTATTTTGACGGCAAATCAAGAATCTTTCAAATAAATGTGGTTATTATCAGTCAAAAATTGTGTACTTTTTTAGTTATCGTCAATTAAATATTGAATTCATCGTAAAATTTTTCAGCTTGTTTTCGGGAAAGTATGTTATACACATAAATTAAAAGGGTTTCAAGGGGAAGACTTTAGCCAAGTTTCGTTAAAATCGGTAAAGCCGTTTTGGCACTACAGTTTATAGCGACACATTTTTTTGCGGCTTTGAACAGAAAAACATTTACATTTTTATTTTTTTTACATATATAAAATTATCGTAAGACAGAAGTACTATGCCAGAAACCTTCCCAGGAGTGTACGGAACAACTTCCCAAAGTTTCATGGCGATCGGTTGAATGGTTTAGTAATGCACTAAGGACAAACAGACGGACAGACAGACATTCATTTTTATATATATAGATTTTTATCTATCTATTTTTATTTATTTCTCACTATTTATATTATATGTTATCTTGTCTTTCCTTAGCCCTGAAACTTGGCCGAAACAGGCATAAAGGAAATAAAAATAAATATACTCACATAAATTTATTTTTACTTTGTATTATGACTGAAAATCCCAACTAACTTCTGTTCAATTATTTACTACAATCAACCATTGATCCGCTATGGAGAAATAAAAAATAGTTATTTATCATAGCATGAAAACATAGTTTTCTGAATATTATTTTATAATAGTAATTGGAATGTTGGTAGTTTATATATAGTTTGGTCTCCTATTATGTTCTTCCTTTTCAATGTTTGTAGACTGGTTGTTGGGGAAGAGTGGAATGGGCACATGATGTAAGTCAATATGATCTCCAAGCAAGAGTTTCTGCTGCTGTGCTTTTCATCCATTTGAATTCCATGTCAGAAGAAGTGAAGTCTAAATTGGGTTCTGTTCATCGTTAAATACTGCAGAGAAATAATTAAGTAAATTAAATTGAAATTTGTTCTCTACAATGTAGAGCTTTATGTATAATATATGGTAAAATATATACATATTAGTATTAATGTAAAGAGTATTACAATATGTCAATCCTATTCTACTTATGGTTTCAATTTGATAGTTTGTTTGATTGATAATATACAGTTTATATATTTATAATGATGAACATCTGTAGTGTTATTACTCTTATTATTCTTTCTTTTTCGTTATTTTTGTTTTTTTAAAACTAGGTTCATATGTGACAATTACAACCTTAAACTACAGAAGTTATTATCAAATTACATATATTTATTTAGATGTTTTCAAGTTATTTCGGAATTTCTCAGAACTAGGAACTTTATGTTATATAAAATTTTTCAAGATGTGTCATAAAACTGAAATTTACTTATTTTATTGCTCAAAACCATTTTTACTTTCACTAACTTAGATCTGTAATATATAGTAAGAGTAAGTATTGGGATTGTGTTCTTCCCTCAATATGGCTATGTCAGGGAGTAAAAAAAAAAGTTAGTGGTCCTTCTTAGGTACTTCCGAATAAACCTTCCAAATGGCAGTTTTGCCGAACATGAACATGCTGTGTGGTTTGTTCATTTTGGCCACATGCACACAGAGAACTGGGTTCTTTCTTGAAGAGGTGTGATTTTATGTGGTTATGTTCAGTTCTGAGACGAAAAATGACATCTTGTTGCCTTCCGGTTAGCTTGAAATAATGATTTAGGTGACTTGCTTTCCACCTCTGGCTTATGGCTGCTTTGTTAATAGTTTTGCACTGCTACAATCTAGGAAGGCTACTAATTTGGGGGAGCAATGTTTCTTTTTCGGCCAATTGGTCTGCAATTTGATTCCCCATTAGCCCAGTTTCCATATCCCTGGAATCCATAGTAGAACCACTCTTAGTACTGCACTTTTAGGTCTTCCAGCTAATGTACCTAGTGTGCTCTTCCACTTATTTTTGAGGCATTCAAGAACAGATGCTGCATCTGTCAGGAATACAATGCATGAAAACAGGCACCTCTTAAGACTATTTAGAAATGGAGTCATGTTTGCCTCTATAGTTCGTTGAGACGAGTCCAGTGAGGAGATCTTTTTCGAGAACGTTTATTGGGAAATTCAATATGGATGCCTCCATCTCCAGTTTCAATGGCATTTTTAGCAGACCCATCTGTGTATACCCTCATCCATTTATTTTTAGTATAGGCCGAGTTAATGTGCTCTAAAATGCAGGCTTTGGCTTCCAGAATAATTAGATCACTTTTCTGTTATGCCTGAAATCTTTGCAGTGATTTTCGCTCTGATCTCTTGTGTCCAAGGTGGGCAGTCTTTAGCAAGCTTCATGGTTTCTGCTTTAGTATCACATTGGGGATGCTTTTCGATCAATTGATTTGTTTTATGTAGAGGACTTTCACGCTTCATCTGATTGTGGTTTCTCTTTCCAACTCTCTCTTTAAGGGGGTAGTTTGGAATAAAGCCTGCTTTCATTCATAACTTAAGGAGTTTAATGTCTCTCCTGTTTTCCATTTTTACTTTCACTTACCTAAATATGAAATATATAGTAAAGGAAAGTATTGTGATTGTGAAAATTTTCGAATCTCAGTTTTCAACGGAAATACACATTTTGAGGTGCCTTCACTCTAAATAACCAAGTCCCGCAAAATGGTCTGTGTGTGTGTTATCAATCTAGCTCAAAAACGAAAAGTCGTACGAAAATCATCTAAAACTAAACCATCATTATCTATATTTTCTAAATATTTTCAAATTAAAATATTGAATATTACTTTTAAACAGAGGTTGTGCAATCTAAAATAATAAACACTGCAACTCTAACCTCAAACACATTCTGTGTAACTGAATAAATGACTGGAGGTCATGTGACCACCTTGAGCCTTCCCATTGCCCAAAATGAAACATTTCAGTCTGTTTGGAACTAAGCTGGACATGGGACATTTATTTGCTCTGAATCTCCATATCTCAGCACTTATTTTAAATAGGACTTTTTTTTACTGATCTCAAGTGAAATATGGGGTAGGAATAGCATGCAAGCTTTCCAAATCAGCTGTTAATTCAAATTTTTATTTTTGTGGACATGTTTTCTTTTGTTTGGACTCTCCTCAATTGTTCTCAGACTGAGTAATGGACAATGGCCATATTAGAAGAGTTGAGTTCCCTCAACAAAAATCATTCCTGGGATTTAGTACTGAAGTTGACCCACCAGAAGGTGATTAATGTTTCAATGTACTTAGCAGAAATAAGTCTGTTTTTCAGTATAAGTATTTTCAGATAACAGAAAAGTGGAAGTAAAAATTATAGACATTATATTTATTTACATTTCATTGTAGGTTTTTTTATTTGTTTAATTATCCTTATGTGTACAAATTTTAATTTTATATTGCTGTAATCTATACAATTAAATATTAAATAATACCAACAATAGCATTTATGAAAACCACATTTGTATAAGTATAGTTAAAGTTGAAGTTACAGAAACCAGATGGCACACGAAACACCCTGTTGAATGTGAGTGCATGTGAACGGCTTTATGTAATAATTTGATATAAAAAGTGCATCTTTTAATGGAGAGCTGAAAGTTGAACTCTTCATGAAACAACTAGAAGGGTATGAATTGAATCGAATGGGTTTGCTGTCTCCACAAAACCATCTATGGACTCCAAAAATCTCCAAGATGCTGGAACTAAATGTTTTATAATTTCAGGAGTAAATGTGACCTTACTCAGAGCAAAAATTATTCCTGACTTTTTTTTAACTCAAAGAAGACTTTAATGATGATCCGTAACATTGATGAATGGTTGTTTGCAGAAATGAACATGATTTGACTTAATTCATTGCAGTTCTGAGTGACAGTTTCTAGGTGAAAGTCAGTGATACCGAAGTTTTCCTTGGACTACAAATTCAAAGACTGGAAGATCTATGAATTATCATCTTTCAGGAAGCCTATAATCAGGAAATACTGAACAGATTTTGAATGGAAAATGCAAACCCTGTATCAATACCGATTGAAAATAAAAGTGGAGACTGAACTTAAGCCGAATAACCATAAACTTCAAGAAAAATTAATCAAAGTACTTAGTAATTTAATTTCATGAAATTTTGCTAGATGACATTTTCCAATCAATCAACTTTGCATTTAAGGGTTTGTAATATTGACCTTCTAAGTCAAACTTTCTATTTTTTCTTCAACTGTAAGAATTTAACTACAAAAATTTGGAAAATTCTGATTAATAAAAAAAAAAAATATTTATTCAGGTACCAAAGAGAAACTATAAATAATCACAAAAATAATTTATTTTAAAATGAGATATTTACAAGTTGTTCAATAACTTATGCTGCCAGGCGCTGAAAAAAAAAAAAAAAATCAAGTTAAAAATTATATATTGTCATATAAATTCTACCACCTAAATCAAATATTACTTTTATTTAACTCTACATGAAATAAATAGTGAGGGAAAGTACTATGATAGAGTAAAATTTTAACCATGTATGTGAACAGTCCAGCGGTGTTTTGAAAGGAGGTAGTGTGGTGCAATTTGTGCCATCAAAATTTTTGGCGGGAGCAAATTTTTATAATCATTTGAATATTTGAGGAGGGCACATTTTGAAAGGATTTTGAATTCTTGTAGGGAATCATATTTTTTAATTTTAGGTTTAATTTCAAACCTGAGAAAAGGAAAAAAAAAACAGAAAAAACTACAGCAAGAGTAATTGTATATCAACTACAATCTTTCCTAATTCTGCTTTTGATTTTGCCATGCTAAGAGGATGGGATAATAACATTTCTTGGGAGAGGGGGGCATGTGCCATCAACTTTGGGAGAATGGGCACCCCTGGGATAGTCTCGATCAAAAATGAAAAGTGTGCCTGAAATTTCAGTGAGAAACTGAAATTGTGCATCTTGAGTATCTATCTATGCTTGGAATATTAAATTACATTTTTCCCTAAAATCGACTTACCAGAAGTGTCACTTTATTACTATCTATTCTACAATTTTACCTCAAAAATAGCTCTAACAATATTGATTATCCTCATTATACTAGTGTACAAACAATTATGTGGTTTTTAATTATATACATATATTGTTGGAATGCTAAATATTTAAAAAAAATTAATGCATAACATATATGGTTGCCGAAGGTAATCTAGAGTGACAAATAAAAAATATGAATAGATATTTCTCTAAACCAATAATATTTAGCAGAAATCAAATGTTTTCATGTAAACTTTTACAATTATTTAATTGGTTAATTAAGCTTAACAATCAGAAACATATAATGCATGGAATTGTTTAAAAACTATTTTACTGTACTTTAATGAAAAAATGCATGAAGAAGTGGAGGCCAATGAAAATATTTTTAATAATATTAATGGATTGAAAAAAACATAAAGTAAAAATGATAAAATTTAATAATTTCAGCTCTCATAATAGATTTAAATAATTAAATATTAATTTGACCTCATTTAGCTGAAGAGAATCAATGCATAATATGTGCGAAAATAAGTTAGATGTAGTTTTGAATGATACAAGTCTTTACAATTTTTAACAGAAAAGCACAACCTTGTATCTTAGGTATTTTTTAATAGAAATGAAAGTTGATTCTTTTAAGAACAGTTTTTCTTTCAACAAAGCCTATTCTTTATTAACAATAAATAAATATTTTAATTATAAAAATCAAAGAGCTATAAAGTTAATTCTTGATCAATCTATTGATATAATAGAAATATTTTGTGATGAATCAAAGCAAAATAAAATTAAGCTAGCGACAAAAGAAAATATTGACATAATGCAATGAAAAACTCTGAAATCCATTTCGTTAAATGCTATAGATCTAGCTTCTATAGATACTACAATCCTTACTTATTTATAGATTGAAGATTTCTTTGCACTTTCAAACCTATATATAAAGAGCTCCAAAACTGGAGTTCTATGGGTTTATATGTATGGACTGATAGAGTATAATTTTTTCATTGTCTACCATCAACATACTTAATCACAATATCATTTAACTTATACTTGAGGTTAGTGAAACTATGGAATGGCCAAACATGTAGATTGGTTCCCTTCAACTAAATGCCATACAATTAGCTTTACTTGTGCCGACATTTAATTATTTAAATAAGATGGTATATGAAAATTGTGAGAATACACCTAATTATTAGTTAAAAGGAGTTATGCAGCTAACTAGATGTATGTAGTATGTAGTTAACTGGATTAATTTGTACACTCCCACGATTGAGTGATAACATGCCTGATGAAATATATGTTTCCAAGATGTTTTGCGGTTGAATTATGGTATCAATTATAAGAAGGATGTCATTTAAAATTAAATTAAGTAATATTTTTACCTCTTGAAAAGATGTGAGAATTGAGTTAGGTGATGTTAGAATTTATAGGCATACAATCCTTTTTAACAAAACAATATCATAAAAATATATATAAATTTTAATATATATATATATATATATATATATTTATTAAAAATGAGTATTAAAAAAAATATGTTACATGATGGGATCGTGTATATTTTATGTAATATTACTCAAGTTATTTATCGTGTATGACATATCCACAATAAACATAATATTTATCTTTTAAGCCCTAATGGGCAACATACCTGGTATGCATCTAATCTTTACTCTAGTTACCCAACCGATTTAAGAAAAGAATATGTATTACTAGTAACTTACATTCCAATACCTCAAGAAGATTTGAAGGCAAAAATTTTGAGCAAATTAATTTTTTTTAAAGGAAGGAGAAGGTCCGGGATGGCGGTCATAAATAGGCTGAATAGTGGCAAAACTATTTTATTAAAAGCCAACGTTTCGACCCGAATTTGCAGGTCTTCTTCAGGGAGGTGTGTTCAGCTAGGAGTTTCACTTAGAACTGAGTTCAGAAGAAGACCTGCAAAAGTCGGGTCGAAACGTTGGCTTTTAATAAAATAGTTTTGCCTCTATTCAGCCTATTTATGACCGCCACCCCGGACCATCTCCTTCCTTTATAATGCAACAGTCAACTATTAAATATTCAATTAAATTTTTTTTAGTAGTTTGTAGTTTTAACGTTTCTTCATTAATTATTTTAAGACAAAACTGAAACTCAAAGAATCCAAAAAACATACCAAGATATGAACACAATCAGTTCTCTGGAGGTGGCCTGAGATTTCTTAAAAAATCATCAAATTTAATCTTGCTCTTGCAAAGAACAAGTAATGAGTAAGGTTTATAATTATTAGCTTTCAATTGAGCAAGTCGTGCCTGAAAAATATAAATAAAATAACATAAATTTATATATTATACTACTGTTACATGAAATTTAGATTCAATAATGATTATCTACAACCAATATACCCATCATATGAGAGCTCTCACATTAGATATCAATAATTCTTCTGCCAAATAAATTTGAAGTATAAGTGAAATTCATACAAAAGATATCATATTTTAAATGTTAACAAACAATTGGTGAAACTACATACTTTTTAAAACAAACAATTGGTGAAACTACATACTTTTTAATAGTCCATTAATCTTGTGCATCAAGTAGTGGTAGTAGGTAATTTTTTTTTTCATGAATGGGATGTGACTGAGACGTAAAATCCAAAGTTTTGACCTTGGCAGCTCCTCCAGATCACTTTTGAATATCCCAAAACTGCTACACTTCAAATTTTTTTTTTTTTTTTTCAGTTTTCCCCCTATTTTGCCCATGAAGAAAAACGTTTTTGACAAAAAAATTCTACACAATTTAAAACTAGATTAAATTTAATACAATTTAAGACTACAATAAACTCAGTACACCTAATAGGTTTCGAACTACAGCTTTTCAAAATTTAGCGAATTTTCCAAACTTCAAAATTTTAAGCTATACTAATTTTCATATTTTATCATACACAAGTGCCTTTATATTTTCAATGACTGGTCTAATACGAGTAAGTAAAATAAACATTTATTCAATTTAACAATTTGAAGGGGGAGGGGTGGTGGAGTAGGATGAGGAAGGTTTGGAAGGAGAGGAGAAGTTTACTATTCACAACAAGATGACAGAAATTGAAATACAAAATTTATTTAACAAAAATTGACATCAATTGCATACAAAAAGTATGAATGAGAGTGCAAAGAAAATGTGAATTAAAGGTGTTTCCTCTACTTTGAAGGACCAACCAAATTCGCTATGACCAACTAAATTCGCCAATCCATCGCCTTCATAGCATCAATTAATACTATATTATATTAGGATTTCTCAATAAGGTTGGGATTTTCAACAAATAAATATTTTCATTCCACTTCAATAAGTCCAGGACAGAGAATAGGTATGGCACTGAAATATATATTTGAGATTTTGAATTAAAATAAACAACATTTAAATTTTTTTCTTACAATCTTTTAATTACTTTTTTACCTTGTAAAATGATCTACATTTATTTTTATATCATTTTACAAGGTATGCATTTTTCAGGTATGCTTAGCTCAAAAACTCAAGAGTGCAAATCATGAAAATTATAGAAATGGGGAATATTGGAATGCTTCTTGTGAGAATGATCTGTGAAGAATGACCTCTGGATCAATAATAAGGAACAAAATCAGATGCAAAATTAACGGAGCAAAGAATAGAGTTTGGACAACAATAGCTCATGAATGTGGAATAAATATAATAAGTAATTATTCAAATCACTGGCTTTAAACCAAATTACCTTCTGTATGGTGCAGATGTTACAATTTTACTGGATGAATTAAAACTGAAAAATTAAATAGTGACTGGACCAAAGACCGAAAACAGTGCCTAAAAATACCATCAAATCATATGACTACAACAAAACAATCTTCAATAAAAATTGAAAATACTATTGATTTATTGCAGGAGATATGGTGTTTGTAGAAAATGAAAAGATGAAACTAGAGGAACTGAAAATTGGATCATATAAAATTATTGAAAAATTTCAAACTCAATATACAATAGAACAGGTCACAAAAAACAGAATCAAATCTTTTTCATAAAACAAAACTTATTATAGTCTTTACTACCCTGAAGATACTAGAGAAGATTTTAGTGAAAAGTTGATTTTAATTTTCTTCTCCAAGTGGAGAGGTGTAAAGAAAATATATTTTCTTTATTTTTGAATATTGTTAAGTTCTACACAGAAGGTTATAAGATAATATATGTGTTTATAACAATGTGAAATGTGAAAAAAATATTTTAAGAAGTATTGTTAACAAAAGTGAATTGAAAAATTGGAAGAAAAAACTGTAAATGTTGTTTTTTTGAACACAAAGTTAATGCAATATAGTTATTTTGGTCATATATATATTCTCAAGAATCAGAACTATCACCTTCACAATGGAATTACAGACAATAAAAATCATAACATTATCAAGGCTTAGACAATGGACTAAACACAACAAACTTTATTTTAATTTAGAAAAAACAAAATATATAATCTTTACAAAAAAAAAATTGTATCAGAATTGGATGAACGACTGAGTATGGTAAGACTAACTAAATGAGACAAATTATCATATTTAGGACTACTTTTTGACAGAAAATTGAGCTGGAACAGACATTCTGAAAATCTTTATAATGACACATTACAAATTATAAATGGACTGTCAGTAGCTGCTAGAGCAAGGTTGTGGTGGCCAAGTGTGTTGGAGCACTGCATGTAATAGCATCCTCGCACCTAGCGACGCCGGTTCGAATCCAGCCTGGGAGGAGTTTTTCTATTTCATGGCGGACCCATGGAATGAAACTGAAACCTCCCACTCTGGTTAGAATAGGTTAGATTTAGAATAACCCTCCTCTCCCTCTGTATGCCTAAAATGGTGGGTAGGGAGTTATCCAATAAGAAATAAAAAAAACCGCTATATTTCCTAAGATGCTCTATGCTGTACAATGTAAGAAAAATTTGGTGAAGTTACAGAGCCTTCAGAGGATAATATCAATTAAGATATGTAAGGGCTATCGTACGTTTTCATTTGAGGCTATAATACTATTGGCAGGACTATCACCAATCCAAATGAAAATTGAAGCACGAACTACCTTATTTAATATTAGAAAAGGAAAGATAGGATACAAAGACCCAATATTGGAAAAACCCTTAAATACAAATTTTGATACTAATTGAAAAATAAAAATTCAGGACATTACTGCACCAGTTATTCATGAATAAGGATAAACCCCAAGAAACTCAATTGCCTCAAAAATGTTTCCATACTATGGGCTTCCTTCCTTCCTGCTTCTAATGAAGCATAAGGAGACACGCTGTCTTTAAAGACTTAAGATCTAATATGAAACATATTTTACAATGATATTTAAAATTGAAAATTTTGTTACCTGAATTGTTTTTAAACTATGGCAAAGGATTCGCGGAGTATTGAAAATCTGTCGAGAAGTAAATCCTTCAGAAAAAAGGAAATCAATAACTTCTTTTAGTTTTGCTACCTTCACTCTCATTACAGGAGGGTGCTTACGAGCAAACACATGAACTTCAGTTTCAGTCAAACCAAGCCTTTTACAAATATAATCCGTAACACTTTGGTAAGGGCTCAAGGCTAATCTATTATTTTCTTTATTTTGGGAGAGCCTAAAAAATAGACAAGACTTAAGATATTTAGGGATAATTAAAATTAATATAAAAACAATCAATCAAGATTTCATTTTGAATAAGTCATTAGTTACCTATGGAATACTACTTCACTACAGCGAAGGTGCCATGGTTTTATTGGATAACAGTTCATATTCTGAACAAGTAGAATCTGTTCTTCCAATTTCGCCAAGGAATATGCAAGTATCCACATATCATTCATTAGTTCTTCCTTATCTATTCCAGCTTCTAAAAAAAAATTACATATATATTGTTAACAGAGTTATATGCCAATTCTTATTTTAAGATGGTTAAATTAATTTTGCAAATTATATCCCAGATAAAAATGAAACAATTTATTGAAATGAAAATTGCATATCTTTGAATCCCTACACTCCTAAAAGATATAATGATATAAAGATAAAAAAGTAATCGATTAGCAATCACATTTTCTTCATAAAAAATTTGTCTTTGGCCTCTTTTTTTTTTCTGAAAAATAAATGTATACTTCAAGAATGAAAAATAATGCACCACAGTCAAGTTCTTTACATCTTTACACTATAGCATAAATGCAGACGAATACAGTAAATCTGTGTACAAAAAAAGACATAGTTTTGAATAGCTATTCCTATACTGCAACTGAGTACAAAATTACATTGAGCACACTAAAGATGGATTCTCGAAATAACTCTAGGATGTAAGAAAGTAGACTAAAACAACCCTCCGTAGTAGAATGCTGAGGTTAAGTTTATTCAGCACATTTCCCATCGCGTTCACTTCTCTTGATTTATAAATAACAGTGAGAAGCAATTTATCATATTGTTTTTGAGTTTTTCATTGAACTTTTACTTCTTCCAAAGAAATAAATATTGAAACAAACATCATTTATATTTCTAATCTAAAATAATTAATATCCTATATACTCTTTAAAATTATTAGGCACAATAACTATGGATAAGAATAATTATGAGGCAAGGAATGAAATAACAGTAATTTAATTGCAGCACTTATGAAATTAAAATTAAATTTATATTTTAAATGTATTTCTCAGTGTTCTACATTGTATAATTAGTAATTAATTAATGATTATACTTCTTCTTATTCGGTGTTTCGACCCATTATTTGAGTCATAGCCTGCTCAAGCTTAGACCGCCAGTCCTCCCTGTTCCATGCTGCTGCCTTCCAGTTCATAACACCGAGCAGAGATCTTGCGTCTGCAGCCACGCAGTCTTCCCAGCGCACATTTGCCCAGCTAAGATCTTGTAAGGAACTTCGTTTGGATCCATCCTTATGACGTGACCAGCCCAGCGAAGTCTTGATACCTTTAAGAATGTTGATACGTCTATTTCTTTGTACCTCGCTCTTATTTCAGCATTCGTTCTTCTTCTCCATGCACCTCCCTCATATATACCACCATATATACAGCGAAGCACTTTTCTTTCGAAACGGAGAAGGAGATGCTCAAGGGCTTTAGTTGTAGTCCAACATTCTGAGCCATATGTAAGAACTGGTCGTATAATTGTCTTATAAATTCTCACTTTCGAGGCCTTCGACAACACACTACTTCTCAAACGTTTATGTTGGGAGAAATAGGTGTGGTTTGTGGAGAGGATCCGTCTTTGGATTTCTTCTTCAATGGAGTTATTACGGTTGATCTGAGATCCTAGGTATATGAATGATTCCACTCTTTCAAATCTATGGCAATCTATCGGGACATTACTCCCACCATCTTAGGTAGGGTACACATATATTTTGTTTTTTTAACATTCACCATTAGGCCCAGTCTTGCTGCAGATTCCTCTAATGCTTTAAAAGCTTCTCTTATGGCGTTTAGAATCCTTCCCGCAAGATCCAAGTCATCCACGAATCCTAAAATCTATACTGAGGTTGGAAATAAAATCCAACCTCCATGTCTATATGATATTCCCCAGGAAACGCTCTTAGACAGGGCTAACAGAGGGGTTAAAGTCTCTCGGCAGCTTGAAGGGTATGAACAAAGATCAGATAATTAGATTCCAAATAATTGGGATTGGCTGAAGAGATGAGAGCAGCAAAGTAGACAAATTGGGAATCACAGAAACCAAGAAAAAAGATAGAAGCAAAGCAGAAATAGGGAAATACGTACTTATTTACTCAGGAGTAAAACACCAAAAGTGGAGTGGTGTGCATCTTTTATAAAAACATCTAATCACAGACTGGAAAGTAATTAATGGTAGAATCCTACTGGTTAACATAAGAAATGCAGAGACACTTTATATTCTATTCATTGCTTGTGGACCCAATGAAAATGCCATATCCACTGAAAAAGACTAGTTCTTTGGAACACTGCAGAAGGAGCTAGATAATAGTGAGGGATTACGTATCATTATGGGGATCATAATGGAAGAGTTGGCAATGATTGAAAAAGTTGAAAGGACGGTTTAGGAGTTTATGATGAAGTGCACCTAAACAACAATGGTGAAAGGATATTGAATATCTGTATAGCAAATGAAATAATTGCAGCCAACAGTATCTTCTTCCATAAGATAATTCACATATACACCAGAGTAAAGGCAAACCACAAAAAACAGTCATTTATTAAGTACTTTTTAACACTTAGACAACATATTAAATGTAAAAACAAAAAGAGGATTCAAAATCAGCAGTGACCATTACCTACTTATGATGAATATGGTTATTGCTAAAGAAAACCAAGTGAAACAATGAGTGAATCCCGAAGTAATAATAATAATTAAACCACATAAACTGAAAAAATCCTAAAGTGGCTACAGCATACCTAAAAGCAATCAAAGAGAAGGCTCTTAAATAACACCAATGGGAGAGTCAACAGGAAGAGGAAAGTTGGCAATCATTCATAGTTATAGAGACTGTAGAAGCGGCATGAGGAATAATAAAAATCAGCAATAGTACAAAAGAACAGCCTAGTGGACTGAAGTCATAAAAGAAGAGATCAAAAAGAAAAAAATAAGATGGAAACTGTATCTCGACACCAGTACCGATGCATATTACAACCTCTATAAAAAACAAAGCTGCAAAAAAAAAAATCCTGGGAAGAATTCGGAAATAAAAGAGGAAACTGGAGTTCCTTCCAGTCGACGCTAGAGGAAGTTTTTAGACTCAATTTTATGGGAGAATTTTTTTTCATGCCATTTACTAAATATTCATAACTCCTCAGGATTTTCTCTTATGTGAAACGTACTACAACAGTTAAAAAGATAAATTATTGTTCTTCAAAACCATAGCAATAATATTTAGATTTTACATTTTTATAAGGAATAAATAAAGAAAAACTCGCCAAAAGTTTTTATTTTTTATAGTTTTTATCTCCAACCCTAATATATTTGCGGGTGTCTGGATTGTGTCATTACATGTATATCATAGGGCCCTAAATTCATGCTAATTAAATAACTAATCATGTGAATAAGTAGAGCCTATGTTGAAGTTATAACGGTTTTTGTGATTTTCGAGAAAAAAAAAAAAATCGATGGGTATTGGTTGAAATTTTGAGCAAAAATTTTTTATTTTATGGAAATTCTCATATATAGGTTTTTTGAGCAGCGAAATACAAATCTCAACTTTTGTTTCTCGTTAAAAAAATATTGGAACCCACTTAACTCCATAGGTCAGTACTAATTGTTTCATAATTTTACTCATACTATAGCTGTATGCCAAATATATATTTTTTCTAAATCGGACAATTATTGAAAATAGGATTAGATGAACAAAATCTGGTATTTTGTCGAGATTTGATCCGAAAATAAGAATAAAGCAGATAGAGTATATATTATACACAGGTTATACTATGAAATATATTTTTTTTGGATAAACAATGATGACATTCATTTTCTGCACCTCTAAAAAACTTTAAATAAGAATTTTCATTGCATTCGAAAAATGTCAAATTTCTCCATATTTTGCCTCCTATTGATAGCTCTTATAAAATCCATTTATGTTTATTGCTGTTATAGTAGTAGTCTGTGGGCCAGACCCCCTTACCGTGCACCCCCCCCCCCCACATCCCTATAAATTGCATATCGTTGTGTTCCTTGTAACAATTTATTTAAAAAAAGCCAATGTTCCCACAAAAAAAAGTGAACGCACTGCCCCAAAATGGCGTCCAAAGATGGCGGATTGACGACTTTGACTTTAGTTAGTTTTTTGGTCACTGAGAATCAGCATTAAGCTTAATTTCCTCATAGTTGGTCTTTTATTAAAGCTGAATAGTTATAGAATAATAAAACATGAAGAAATATTAAAAAATAATTAGCTAAGGCTATGAAAAACACCAGTAAAGTCAATTTTTTTAACAAAAAAATTTTCAAGTTACAAATCAAACGTCGTTTGTAATTAAACGGCCTACAATAACGCAAAACGTGCTGAAATAAACCATCTGGAGAATATATTTCTCTTTCTGAAACGCTAATTATTTTTTACAAATGTTTAAGTAGTTCCGTAAAAAATGCACTTATGCGGCAGAAAAGCGGTACTGGCGTGGGTGCCTACAGGCCTCTACCACACCATTCAGTGCCCATAAATGGCTTAGTTATAGTGATATAATAACATTTTTGGTACATTATATTGGTTTTATTAACGAACAAATATTAATGCAATAATTTAATAGTAAAAAAAAAATTTTAAATTAAAAAAAAATTTATTATTATTTTTTTAAATTTTAACCTCCTTTATTCTATACGTAGGTCGTTTAAGAATACCTCAATTGTAAAAATGGTATAATTATAATAATAAAACTTAATTAAAAAATATTTTGCTAAATATCTTGATTTTTTTTTATTTAACGTTTGCAATTTAACACTGTATTTTGAATATTTACTGATTCTTGGAAGTAATTAAAATTTTTATATACTTCTCAGGAAATGAGTCATATTCATACCTTTTTTATAAACTAAAATAATATATACCTAATCTGAACTATATATAATGAATAGCTACCGGGTTGTTTAGTAAAACTCATATATCACTAATTAAAAAATTAATTTTTATTTCCTCTATTTTGTGCTGAAGTTGGACTATATCATAAATAAATAGGAAATTTTAATATTGAATGAATTATTCTCTATGCACAAAGAAATATATATATGTATATATTAATATATGTTTGGATTTGATCTCAAAATGAGGAAAAACGTGAACTTAAACGAGAAAATTGGAAAAATACATTAAACGAACGAGAAACGAAGTGCCAAAACCTCGGAATAGATAAAAAGGACCTGTATCCATTATATAGCTAAATGAATGTATAGTAGATAGATGAACAGAATATTTCAAGATGCTGCTAAAACGGGATAAATTGCAGTTTGGATGATATTAAGTGGACGATGTAGGTTTATTATGGTGAAAACCACTTGATTTTCGATTGCTGAAGGTGCACATCGGGACTATATTAACTTTGAAGCAGGATATAGAGAGGTATATCGAGAAAGTTATAGCTCATAGCTTTCCTTCTGTTTAGTGGATTTTCAAAAGATTTTTTAAGGGATCTAAAAGGAAAACGAGTTTTTCTGAAAGACAGTTAGATATTAGCATAATCCAAAGTGTGAGGCACTGAGCAGATAGAGAGCTATTTTTCTTTTTATGTGGACTTCTCTATAACCTGCCTTAAAGTGAAGACAGTCCCAATTTTCAACTTCTCTTCCAATGTGCAACTTGAGTTTCTCAATCCATATCACTCTGGCAATCGACAATATTTCTTATTCCAGCTTCTACGATTCTTGTGTATAATTTGTTTGGTACACTAAACAGGAATGGGTCTTGATGGGTATTACATTTCCTAGTACCTCCTCTCTTGTAAAGGTAAAAACCACAGTCCTTTCATATTATTTTTTAATATGCTTGTTGCCTATGTACGCGCAAAACTGTCAAAGCAGTTCGGTTTCGCCCTTTCCATCTTTCTTTGTGCAGAGAGAATAATACATTCAATATTAAAATTTCCTATTTTTTTATGATATGGTACAAATTCCGAACAATTCAAGAATAACGAGCTACAACTAATATAAGATACCTTAAAAAATCTTTTGAAAATCCACTAAACAGAAGGAAAGCTATGAGCTATAACTTTCTCGATGTACATCTCTATATTCATCTTCAAAGTTAATATAGTCCCGATGTGCACCTTCAGCAATCGAAAATAAAGTGGTTTTCACCATAATAAACCTACATCGTCAACTTAATATCATCCATACTGCAATTGATCCCGTTTTAGCAGCATCTTGAAATATTCTGTTCATCTATCTACTATACATTCATTTAGCTATATAATGGATATAACTGGTCCTTTTTATCTATTCCGAGGTTTTGGCACTTCCTTTCTCGTTCGCTTAATGTATTTTTCCAATTTTCTCGTTTAAGTTCACGTTTTTCCTCATTTTGAGATCAAATCCAAACAATCAGTTTTGGTTTATAGAAGAACTTATAGGGTCACCCTTTATATCTTTCTTTGTGCATAGAGAATAATTCATTCAATATTAAAATTTCCTATTTATTTATGATATAGTCCAACTTCTGCACAAAATAGAGGAAATAAAAATTAATTTTTTAATTAGTGATATATGAGTTTTACTAAACAACCCGGTAGCTATTCATTATATATAGTTCAGATTAGGTATATATTATTTTAGTTTATAAAAAAGGTATGAATATGACTCATTTCCTGGGAAGTATATAAAAATTTTAATTACTTCTAAGAATCAGTAAATATTCAAAACACAGTGTTAAATTGCAAACGTTAAATAAAAAAAAATCAAGATATTTAGCAAAATATTTTTTAATTAAGTTTTATTATTATAATTATACCATTTTTACAACTGAGGTATTCTTAAACGATCTACGTATAGAATAAAGGAGGTTAAAATTTAAAAAAATAATAATAAATTTTTTTTTTAAATTAAAATTTTTTTTTACTATTAAATTATTGCATTAATATTTGTTCGTTAATAAAACCAATATAATGTACCAAAAATGTTATTATATCACTATAACTAAGCCATTTATGGGCACTGAATGGTGTGGTAGAGGCCTGTAGGCACCCACGCCAGTACCGCTTTTCTGCCGCATAAGTGCATTTTTTACGGAACTACTCAAACATTTGTAAAAAATAATCAGCGTTTCAGAAAGAGAAATATATTCTCCAGATGGTTTATTTCAGCACGTTTTGGGTTATTGTAGGCCGTTTAATTACAAACGACGCTTGATTTGTAACTTGAAAATTTTTTTGTTAAAAAAATTGACTTTACTGGTGTTTTTCATAGCCTTAGCCAATTATTTTTTAATATTTCTTCATGTTTTATTATTCTATAACTATTCATCTTTAATAAAAGACCAACTATGAGGAAATTAAGCTTAATGCTGATTCTCAGTGACCAAAAAACTAACTAAAGTCAAAGTCGTCAATCCGCCATCTTTGGACGCCATTTTGGGGCAGTGCGTTCACTTTTTTTTGTGGGAACATTGGCTTTTTTTAAATAAATTGTTACAAGGAACACAACGATATGCAATTTATAGGGATGTGGGGGGGGTGCACGGTAAGGGGGTCTGGCCCACCGTGTATAGATATTACAACTATTAAATATTGAAGACATTTTCATTGCAATCGAAAAATAAATGTATTTTAATCTACTATAAAGCTATAAACATATTTGGTAAACATAAATAACTAGCAACAAAATTACAAAAACAAGACCTAAAACAAGGTTTGCTGTAAAACCTACATTCGTAGAAAGCACATTACTCGTTCCTTTAAAGGTTTGAGTGTTGGTGCTGCAAATGTCCTAAAATTTTTAGTTTTTGACTTTGTCATTTTTTTAGCAGTTCTATATATTTGTGAAATGTAAGTCAACTGCGTAAAATGAAACAATATTATGCAAAAATAGGATTATAACAATAACTTTCTTACCAATTAATTTAGTTACTTTTGAGTTAACAATCTCCATGTTTGCCTTTTCCAAGAATGGAAATTTTAATAATAAGCCATATGCTGTGGTTTCATTACACTGTAAATATAATTAATACTAATAATAATTGATTTCAAAGTAAATAATAAAAGTTTTTTCTAATAATTAACATAAATAAATTAATATATTCCTATTGCCAATTATTTGGTTGTTTAAAGTTATTAATTTAAATTAGAATGATAGGTGAATCACAATTTACAGTACAATACTGCAACGAACTATACAGCCCTTATCATTATCCTCTCTTCATTAGATGTGGATTGGGCTTGCGTGGTGTGCCCATGCTACATTCAATATGGTTCTAAAGCAGCAGAGAACTCTGTCTCATGAAAATATTATGTTAAGTATATCATAAAAATCAATATTTTTTAATAACATAGAAATGTTCCAATTTTATGAATGAATTTTATTGATATGAAATAAAATCAAAACGGGCAGAAATAGATCAGCATGTAACTAGCGAAAACATAGCTTTCTTCTCCCTCTCAAAGCTATTGCAATCCCGAAAAATCTCAAACTAAGGGTGTACAATGCTATGATAAAGCCAGTTCTAATATATGGCTGTGAGACCCGGACACTAACCAGCAATCTAGAAAAAAGTGTTGAAAGATTTGAGAGGAAAATCCTCCGCACGATAACCGGAGTGATCTGGGATCAGAGTACTAACACATGAAGAAGAAAGACCAATAAAGAATTGCTTACAGGAACTGGTCAATCAATATCCCATGATAAGAAGGCACAGAGATTAAGATGGGCAGGGCATGTAGCTCGTAGCAATCCATTTGGAAGTCTCTACGTAACAATGGAAGGCCAAAAAGCAGATGGATAGATAGAATCAACAGAGCTGCGTGCAGATAAATGGAAAGAAATAGCCCAAGAAGACAGGCAGAGATGGAGCAAGATTGTTCAGGCAGCAAAAGATCTACATGATCTATAATACCAACAGAAAAAAAAAAGATCAAATAATAACAAGAAAATAAAAACTTAATCCTATAAAAGTAGCTTTGATGAAGAGATGGGTTCAGGTAATGCTTAATCCATAAAAATAGGGTCTCATTTTGCTTTCATTGAAGCTAAATTACAACAATAAAGTAATATGTTGAATGTATGTTCACATAAAATTTAGGTTTTGAAATAATATAAATTAATGATGTAGAGATGGTTGACCGTTGATATAATATGAGAAGGAGTTAGTCGAGGGTGCGGTCAAATAAATAAATAAAAAAATTGAAATATATTAATTATTTTAATTTTTGCCGATGTTTCGACCCACTTTGCAGGTCGTCTTCAGGGCATAGGATGTGGCACTGCGGGAGGCAATTGAAACACTGAGTTTCAACTGCCTCCCGCAATGCCACATCCTACGCCCTGAAGACGACCTGCAAAGTGGGTCGAAACGTCGGCAAAAATTAAAATAATTAATATATTTCAATTTTTTTTTTTATTTATTTGACCGCATCCTCGACTAACTCCTTCTCATAAAATAAATTAACTTTCGGATCGAAGTTTTATTTTAAAAAATATATATTATTTAATAAAATTCCTCCACATCACGTTCTATCAATTCCTTTTGGATCATTACATATTTGTAATAAAGGGGGGAAAAAAAAAAATGAAAAGTATTAGTTAATAATGTACCTACAGTGGCACTACCCTTTAAGATGAACATAAATTTTGCTACTCTTCATCTCGCTGAAAATGTGTCATCAGAAATAAAATAATAGATTTTCCAATAACTATCGTTGTTTCTCTTGGATCTAGTAAAGTTCTAAGTGGTCAAAGACACGGAAAGATAGTTTGGTAAGAGATTTATCGGTAATTTATATAATTCTTGTGACGATGAATGCTACCTTTCACAGGTTGAATAACAATTCTTAGTAAACTACATATCGTTGGTGTATATCAAAAAGGCACTAAGAACATTTTTGTTGCAGCTGAACTTATGTTTTATTAGTAAATTTTAACCTTACTTACTAATACAAAAATACATTAAGTGCATCAAAATGAAATAAAAACCTTCTAGATCCCAATTATAGTTACATTAAGTGCACAGTGTCCACAAAGGGGAAATTTATCAAAATAGTTAATGATTTAGTTTTTTGAAATGCCACTTAATCATGATTTGCAATAAAGCAATGGTACGGATGTAATATCTTTTTCTTCTTCTTTTTAATACATAGTATCTATCAATTATTAAAATTAAAAAACCATCACATACCTTCATAATAGAACTTAGTGATTTTACTTGTTGCTGATAGTTGTTTGTATCATTTTCTGAGCTATTTTTATTTATTTCAAATTTTCGTCTCCTACCATTTGAGAAGTTTTCATCCAGGCCTTTTAAAACATTAAAATCATTCAAAATCCAAGAATTATTTTTTTCTCGAACAAATACATCTATCTCTGTATTTTACCTTTATATTTAAATTCTTTATAGTATACAGCAGAACTAACATATCCATTATTATTGTGTATAGATATTTTCTTTTTAATTATAGAAGATTTGCCAAGAAAGGATAAGCAAGATTTAAAAGTTGGCGAAGTTGTAAAAACATGAAACAAATCATTAGATATAACTTTAAAATGTGAGGAAAATAATGACATATTAGATATAAACAAGGAAATATAAAAGAAATCATAAAACGTTGATGAGCATTTGAGGAACACAGCCTCAAACCATTCGTTAAAGGTTACTGGAAGGTTCTGTTTACAATGTTAAGAATAGAGATGAGTCGTTCACGAAGGAACAAGTCTTAAAGAACAGAAGGAAAACGTTCACTAGTGTTGCCGAAATGTGATACTAAGACTCGTCTTGGTCTTGGGCACTCAGTCTTAGTATTATTGGTCTTGCGCAAGAGTCTCGCTACAGTCTTGCAATTACCTATTAGCCTATTACTATATAGATATTACTGTGGTTTTTGAGATAGGGAAAAGCTAACTAAGCCCGAATAAAATATTGCAAGAATTAATTGCAAAAGTATATTGGTGATACCCATTCTTTACATATAGTTACAATTCGATATTTTTTGGGGTTTTCACCTTTAACTCCTAAACGATGAATCAAAGCGAAAAATGTATTCTTTAATTAATGAACGTTAAATTTTGCGTCAAGCAAGTACATAAACTTTAAAATTTGGTTACGCGGTAAGGTATAAAACCACTGTCAACCAACGTTGATTTTTACCAAATTTGTCAAAAACTGAGACAAATTACTATAAATGGCTCTGTAACTTGGAAATGAGTTCCCTTAGAGGAAAACCCATAGAATCAATGTTGTAGAGCATCAAATTTTGCGTCAACTGAGTACCAACTAATTTAAAGCATGTCACTTGCTGCAAAAAAAATTGGTAATCTCCCGATGGCTAGAGATTGGTAATGAAGGTAAACGTGATTTTCAATATTTCAATAGTATGGGTGTTTATTCTACAGAGATATTTTTGTTTAGAGTGTGTTAGATGCAGTATAAGTCTCTTTTCCACCTTTCGACAGCAAAGGATTTTATTAAACGATATATCGAAAGATACCGAATTTTCTAAAGGAATAACGAATCCCGATTCGAGATATATATTGGTCAACAATAAAAATGTCAGTACTCAGTAGACGAAAATTTGATGCTCTATAACTTGGATGCTATGGGTTTTTCCTCTTAGGGAACTCATTTCCATGTTAGAGAACCATTTATAGTAATTTGTCTCAGTTTTTGACAAATTTGGTAAAAATCAGTGTTGGTTGAACGTGGTTTTATACCTTACAGCTTAACCAAATTTTAAAGTTTATGTACTTGTTTGACGCAAAAATTTTTTGACATAAACACTTTATTCAGAAATATTACAATTTGTCACAGTTTAAGGACACTTATAATAGAGTTCGGAGAGTGCATTCATACCGTATATACAAAAATATAAATAAATAAAGTAATAACAAAATAATAAGAAAAAAGAACAAAAGAGTAAAGAAAAAAAAATATATATACATAAGTAAATAAAATAGAAATAAAAGTAAAACAGACATCTTATATAAAACATACCTATATACATTATTTACAATTTGCCAGGTGATCTCCCAACCAATCCTGTCCCCTACACATGTGGAAGGAAAAGGGAGACTTAGGAGATCCCTACGCTTCTCCCTCAACCACTTCACTGGTATTTAAAACCAGCGGAGGATGAGTAAGAGCGCTACAGCCGCAGACACTCATGACTTGAGTGGAGAATCTGGCCATTGCTAGAATTCCAAAATATCCATATTTACAAAAGGTCTCGTGGCCACTGCCGCTTTAACCTACGAAGGGGATTGTAGGGATGGGTGGTGCTTGATAGGGATTGTACAACGGGATTTGGGTGATGAGAAAGGTTCTGGTGAAATTTGGAAAATTTGGCTGGGATAAGATCAAGAATAAATGGGATATTAAGGTCTTAATGTAGGGTTTTATTGGTTACATAGAAGGGAGCATCGACTATTGTACGGAGGACTTTAGACTGAAAGGATTGAATGCGTTTGATGTTAGAAAATTTAGCTGTTCCCCATAGTTCTAGTCCGTAAGTTCAGATGGGTTTCAGTATTGTCTTGTAGATCAGTAATTTGTTTTCACCAGAAAGTTTAGATTTTCTATTCAGTCGTCTATATAGCTGGCCATATCGTCTGTTAAGTTCCTGTCTTTTAAGTCTAGTGTGTGGATTCCATGTTAGTCGTCTGTCTAAGAGAAAGCCAAGATACCGGACTGTATCTGAGAAAGGAAGCTGGATGGAGTTAAAATAAACTGGTGGGCAGATATTACGCCGAAGGGTGAAGGTAATGTGTTTACATTTAGATTCGTTTACCTTGAGACGCAAAATTTAACGTTCTTTAATTTATACATTTTTTGTTTTGATGCATTGTTTAGGAGTTATAGGTGAAAACTCCAAAAAATATCGAAAAAAATCTGACTTTTTTGGCTGTAAAAAGTTTTCCCTTGGTGGCCCGCGTGTTTTCCCTTGGTGGCCCGCGTGTTTTCTCTTGGTGGTCCGCGTTAGCAATTTTGTTTTTTACATGCCTAAACCCATATATACAAGTTAAAAAAATAAAAACTTTTCTCAAATTTTTCACAATGGATTTCCCGTTTCGATCTTCAAATTATTTGCCTATTATTCTTTAAATCAGCCGCCAGTTTTTAAAGCAGCGGCTCTGTTACGGCATACAACATTCTTTTTACTCAGAATAACATACACTTTCGTAATTTACAATCGAACCTTCAAGTTGTCTTTAATATCATTTAAGTCTTATCCCCGTTGATGTCACTTTACAGGACTTAAATGCCCAATGTTCACATGCGTCTTCCTCTAAATTTATTAACTAATTCTAAACTTTTCATAGATACGTTTATAACCTTAAATATGTTTACTATAGTTTAATAACTCTAGATCTGATATTATATTTAGATACTTAGCTGTCAATTGGCCTTTTATTTCGAAAAATCATCATGTATTCAATGTAACCTTTTAGATACTTAAATTAGTGAATAGTTTGATGAAATCTCCTTTTGTGATATTCCAACAGTAACCACTTACAATTTGTGTGGCAACTTTTGACCTGCCCATGACAGGGAATGCAAATCTCTTAATTCCGTTTTAGTAAATTTTGCAATAGAAAATAATAGATTAATAAGTAATAGTCGTACAATCAATCCATAATCAACGGATCGTGCAATCCATAATCAACGGAACGTACAATCCATAATCAACCGTTGATATAATAAATAGGACTTTTGTTGTCATTTTAATGGTATTTATGATTTTTTAGCTTTAGCTGAGTTAAAAATGCAATTAAAAAATTTATAATAGCACAGCATGGCCTGAAAATAATTTCTATTCAAAGTTGAGCGGTAAGTGAAATTTGTGTGTTGCGCATACCAGATTTTTTAAACAATGTCATTGCCTTGATTAGGTAGAATTTAAATATTTTATTTAAACTTAAACATATTTTGACAGTTTACATTTACATTAAATTTCATTTAATTTCCTTGAAAACATGTGAAATATTATTAGTTTTCAAACATTATTATTTATAATTTGTTTGCCACGCTCCGTTACCCTCTACAACTTACTATATTATACACTGACAGGCGAAAAAATTCCACCCGCTGGATTTTTTCATGTTTTCATCTAAAAATATTTCTGCTTTGGATTGGTCTATTGTTTTTAATGAATAAATAGGTAATCTTTTTGTTTTTTTTCAATTATGAATGTTAATATAGAGGACAATAACCCTTAATCCTTTATTAAATGAAATGATTCTAGATTCCAATGTTTACTTTCTATGGAATCAAAATGTTTATTCAGTATCATTAGTTCAGTGCAGTTTCTTGCTGCACATTTCTTAGTCTCCGGTTTTTCATAAAAAAAAAAAAAAAAAAAAATCATATAATTGTACCAATGAAATTTATTTATTTTAGTTAAAAACCTTATTTTTAAGCCTTTTGTAGAACTTTAATATTTAAATATAAAACTTTGTATCAGCGAAATTTATAGTATTTTTATGGACAGAGAAATGCAACTTTTGAATACTATTAGAAAGTTATCTGCCGAAATAAGTGTTTTTCATTATCTCTAATGTCGAGATCAGAACAGACAGAAATGATTTTATCATTGATAGCATTATATACCAACCATTAATTTGAGATTTTTCTGAATTTCAATATCTTTGAAAGAGAGAAGAAGGCTCTGTTTTCCTAAGACAGGTTGACTATTCCCCTGCATGTTGAAGACTCAAGGCTTTATGGTTTGGATTTTTCCATTTATAACATAATAAATAAAGTACTTTCATATCAAAAATTGTTTACATCGCGGCTGAAAATAAGTGTTGTAAAGTTAAAATGATTTTATTCTATTTATTTTTTGTCTGATATAGTATCTTAAGTTTGCATCGTTTTAAATGGGGAGGGGGGGGGAGGAGAGGTGCATTTAGATTATCTTTTTTTCTGACTTTTTTTTCAATTTGTGATCTTTAACTTTTAAATAGTACATCCTAGCATATTGACAGCCATACTGCAAAAGCCTGTAAGAACAAAAATTTAAATATTCAGGAGACAAAAAAACTTTGCGCAACTTTTATTCTATTTTCGGTTCAATTTTTTTTTGTGGTCCTAAAACACATATGAATTGCTCTTTGTAACTATTTTGATTGTATTTCTGTCAAAATGTCTTTAAGACCTGTTTTCATAACTTACGGGAATTTATTTCTAACTTACAGATTGTTACTTACTTTGAAAAACATGTAAAACTCAGATTAAAGCAATTAAATTTATTATAGTGACATCCGTAACTATGTTAATAATGATCAAATCATAACAGCGTGAGGCTCTTAGCACCTTGGATGAAATATTGAGTAGCTACCTACCAGAACGACCATTGGAAATAAGATATTTATATACGGAAGGAAATGATGAGTGCAATCGATTTTTCTTAGGGGAGACGAGAAGGAGCTTCCATATAGAGGCCAGAAAAAGGAATGACAGAAGACAGTGACTAATGAATAAAAAAAAAGGAAGCAAACTCAGGGCATAGCAAATAAGAAAAAATTAAAATTATTTTAAAGTGTAGCATTCTCTGGTGCAAACAAACGTATAG